GAACTAAAAATTCAATATGCAAGGGAAATCAATTGAAAAATATGCCTTTTCGAGCCATCTACAGGGCCAGAGACATGTACATGTACATGTATGATGATTACTGTACAATCATGTACAATTACATGTACATTGTATACATATAGGTGTGCTGGTAAATCCTACAATTTTGAAGCCAACATAAAAAAGGAAGAAACCCCCCCCCCTTGGCTGCATTTTCTTGCATGTGTGCCTTTATAATAATATCCATCACCATAGCTTCTGGTACTTCTGCATGACAGGTACATGTACATGTACTTGACTGACAGGTACTTGAAATAGCTGTCAAAAGCCCAGAAAGTCGTTATTCAAGCAGTGAATATGACCTCGGGGCACTAAAAGCATGTCGCTATACGCGAATTGTCGTTATTCAGATAGTCGTTATATCCGAAGTAAAATGTATACAGTTAGATGGGACTTTGCTCTGGGCATGGAAATTCGGTCGTTATTCGCGAATTGTCGTTATATCCGCAGTCGTTATTAGCGAAGTTGACTGTAGCACCATTCACAAGACCCATGACATACAGTACATGTACGTGAACAGTTTCCACGGAGACGAGAATGCCATAACATACAGACTCATTTCCCTCTGGCCAGAGCCAAAGACTCGACTCACACATTCCAGACACCACGGGCACTGCGGAGGAGGCAATGGGTATTCAGTAACCATCGTCGTGTCCAGCAGTAATTCTATTGGAAATTGCCATCAGCAAGTACATTCTTGACAGTGTAGCAGGGGAGAAAGCAAGCAGCTAAACACATGGATAGAAAATTGTTACAAGTGGTGCAGATGTTCGACGCTCACGCAGTCTCGGGGGCAAACCCCAGTCTGTATTTTGTCTCCTGATCAAACGATGTTTTAGGCAGTCACGACATACGACGTACATGTAACTTGGTCTAGACCTTGAGCGTATTTTTGTGCAGACAAACCATGGTACTTGGTAGTATTGGCTATGCTGTATATATTTTAGGGTCAAAACGATATGCAAATTAACGATAACACTTTTAGCTTAAGGGGTCATCCACAAAATTAATATCGATATTTTTTTAGAGAAGATATTCGTTCGTTTTGGGGGGGAGGGGGTTTGGGCCCTGTTCGTCTCGTCTTTGTGAAAAAATATTGAACTCTATCTATGGACGGGCACTGTGCAAACATGTAGTTTATGACCTACACAAAGTGAAAGTCAACCTCGTGAATACACGAACATAGCCACGGCAAGGTTGTGCGACCGTGGCAACGTAAACCTAGGTTTATGGTGAATTTAGAGTTGCAGCTGGTCACGTTTCATGAGGACATACATGTACATGTAATCCTTCATTGCACTTCTAAAACAATATCGATCCTCTGCATAAACATGTGTATGTTCGTTTTGAGGGGGGAGGGAAGGGAGAAATGAACAAAATAATATCGTCTTGAAAAAAACATCGATATTTACGGACGGCCCCTAACGATCGATATATTGATATAACGATGTAGCACAGCTCTACTAAACGTGCGACACGCCAGTGAACAGCGCGGTCCGACTGACCCGGTACAGTAACCATGGTAACACCATGCATGCAGCACTACTACACAGTTATCCCCACTTCCGCTGCATAGCTCGCTGAGCATCCCATTGCTTTGTAAGTTGCTAATCCCTTCCCACTTTGTGTACGTGCTCTTCATTTTCTTTTTTCTCTTCTTCCGTGGTTGGTCTCACCCTCTCCTCAATTCAATTGGCTGTCTTGACATGCCACGAGGTGCAGAAATAAATAAATAAATAAATAAAATCATGGTGATGTTACATGCATTCTAGCACCTTACGTCATTGGCACACGGTGCATTAGGTATCGCTATAATTATCATTAGTGACAGCTAAGAATAATCGATAACGTCCTTAGCGATAAGCAAACGGTTAATCGGTCATATTGTTTCAGCCCTAAATTATATTATAATCAGAAGGACGGCTTACCGTGGCGGCACTATGCCATCCATAATATTCATTATACTTCAGTATTATAATCAGAAGGACGGCTTACCCTGGCGACACTTTACCATCCATAATATTGTTTAGTATGACACCCTTAACTAAGGAGTAATAGAAGTCGTAACACATTTCCCTGTAGAAATACGTGAGCATGTACAGTACGTGCAATCAATGTCTACGCACATCTCAATAATATTTGTCCATGCGGAACAAATCCTTTCCAACTTTCCGCTCAGTTTTCCGCCCCGTTCAAGTACTATGTCTGCAGCCAGCCTTTTCTGGAAGCGTAATATCGACTACACGTGTGGAAAAACGCTAGCAAGATGACTTTCTAAAATACATACAGTGAGCCCATACATGTACATATACAGTCATGTACATGTACGCGTGTATTGGCACCTGATAACATCAGTAGCGGACTCCAGGGGAGATTAGGTACTGACAATGTGACAATGTACTGACACTGTGCTTCCACAGCCTTCCAGTTCACAGTGTATGCTTTAGCTTAGGCCAAATAGAGTTCGTAAGCAGCAACTCTATGCCAACTCAGAAGAGAAACAACCACGCACAAGTACAAGTACGGCTTCTCGCTAACCAAACAAGCTGAAAAATTTGGCAATAGCATGCTTGCCTCGGTCGTTACGCACTATAGAAGCCGATAGCCACACAAGCTACCACGTTGCACAGAGTTTGCTCCTGTTTTAATAGTCTATGGCCTACAGCTATAAGGCTGATCTTCTAGGATATATAAGCCAATGATACTTTACACTCGTACAAACATCTGTCCGGCTGACCTGGTGACCTGGTGAACGTGCCTGGGCGTTGCAAGCAGAAGGAAAGTAGTGAACAGTAGACAGTGTAGGTTATTTATGATACGCAAAAGCGAAATGAAGAGTTAAAGTAGGCCAATAACTATGCGACTTTACTCTCCACAGGAGATCGTCACTCACGTCGTCACAATCCTGAGTGACAGGCTGACAGGATAGTGCACTAGTGGATTACATGTAGTCCGGTCTAAGTTGTCCGAATTGGGAAGGTTGTTTCCACGCAATCCATGGCCATCCCGCTGAGTTCTGGAAGAGGCGGGAAGTTTCAGACCATTTGCCATTATCGACTGCTTCGTGACATATAAAGCGTTTTTGTTGTGTCCTTATGGAAAACCCTTTCACTGACGTGAATTGACTAAGTTCTGACAGGGGAAACAAGCAGAAGCCCATTCAGCCCCCACCCATGATGGCAAGACATTCCACGGAAGGCAGTCGTCAGTCACTTGCCTACTCACACAAAAAGGTGTGATGGAGAAATCCAGTCCTACAAACTTACTTGCAAACTAGTACAGTTTATTATGCAGTTGCAGCAGTACGTAAAACCCTCGCAACGTCGTTTCTTCCCATGGCGAACTTCTGGGATCGATTCATCTCTCCTTGTACATGATTGTACAAGACTGTGTAATGTATACCAGGATCATTGGTGCACAGATAAGACTCAGTGCACACCGTTAGCGAGGCCCATCTCTCCACACACCGGCATTGCCATTGGGCACAACACTAGTGAGACTATGCAGAACATGATTGTACTGTACATGACTGTCTAACTGCATGCCACCACGGCCCACACTGGCCACAGGCTACACTGTACTGTTTTACAGTCAGGCTACAGTCAGTAGTTACTACCGCCTCTTGTAATGATGTGTGAGTGTTGTATGAATGTAAGTACAGGATGCTGCGTAGATAAAGACTCAAAAGAGGGCGCATTGGTGTCATCAATGACCATGCATATCAACAAAACCAACACCGTTTTTGCGGCACGGGCACTTCACGGCACTTCACGGCACTACCGCACTACTGAAGTATTGAAGTATTGACATAGTATTGCACACTCTGCATGGAACACCCAACAGATGTATAGCACACTATGCAGTGTACACCATACGTGATCATGTGCTGGTATGGTACAGCTCCTTGAGCACAAGGATTCACATCATTTGCATGAAACATCACTGCCATCCGTTCATGGCGAGATGGAGTGCATTCGACATCGAAGCAGTTTTAACCTTCATCACCAACAATAGTAACATCCATCGTTTGATAACCTGACTTCATGTTTAATACAAGTCATATAGTACAATGTAGCTGGCTACAATGATACCATCTTGCAGCAGGTGTATCTCTGTCTCTATCACATGCATAGAGCATAGAGCACTGTATGTCCCGGTAGTACGTGTACATGTGTATTGTAGATCCAGTGCACTAGCATTATGGCGAATGTACTGAGCCAGCCTCTACCACGAACTAAGCCGGGCACGTTCTACTAGTCTTTCTACTCTATAGTCATTGTACTGTGCCGCGTATGCAAACAGTTGATATAGAAACACTTCGAAGTACAGCTGGCATTATTTACCATCATCGGCTCCACTGCTCTATGCTATGCTACGTATGTCTTTGGTACATTTGTACCACAGTATTGTATTATCAATGCAAGGCGAACGTCAGAGTCATGTGACATGTCTTTTATTTGAATAGTTGGGTCTTTCAAGTACTGTCTGTACTGTCTGTACTGCTACATGACTTGTAGTACAGACTCACTCAGTACATCTAGCATGCATGGTGCCATTGGATGGTGCTGCTGAAAGCCGACCTAGTCACGTGACCCATGCTAACCAGCCGTCAGCCAAGACGGCAAGAGAACGACTAGGAGAGCTGACAGGTCTGCGGCAAAACACATCGAGTCATTCCGGAAATGTTCTGCACGCTGGGGGTGGTCTGATGGGCTATGTAGTGGCGAGCAGCTACATGTACGTCGCTACATGCTGGCATTCCGGTTCGCCTTCGGTCTAGGCCCAGGATAGCCACTGAACCAAAGAAGTGTACGTGGAACGCTTTCAGGACCGCCGCCCGCAGCAGTAACAGTACCTCCAACAGTCTCGTGACCCATATTGTTGGTAAAGTTAAAACGTGACAAGCTGGTCCAAGACCGGCCTGGCTTGAAAGCATTGGCTTGCACCGCTAAATAGCAGGTGTACTCTAAAGAAAATGGTCATACTAATCCCGAGGCTTCAGCGAACAGATCACAGGCACAAAGGTGATCAATAATTGAGAGTTCGTGTGTGTGCAGTTTGCATAAATCACTCTCACGAAAATGGCTAGGAGAACTGACCATCTACACCTAGCTAAAAGTTTAATGGACACTATCAACAAACTAGCTGCAGTTCCTTTCCAATGTCAGCCCCAAATATTCCTGGATACCAGTAAGAAACCGACCTTTGCTTCTGCAACTCCTCCGCACCTGTCTGCAACCGGCATCCCAGAATACCCTCACTCACTAGCCGCTGATGCAGGCCTACCGGGGTGTGAACGCGCTGCCCTGATCACGGCGCTTCAGCAGAATGCGATGCTGCGAGAAATGATTCGTCTTGTAATAGGTGAGAAGATTTTATTGCTCAAACTTTAACTTGAAATTGACCTCCTCTGTTGACTAGTACGACGATACACCATTGAGGCAAAAATCTTACAATCCAACACGAATACATGCATTCTATGTCCCCCCCCCCCCCCCCATTTCCTATGTTTGCTTTATCGATCACTATTGCGCACATTACCTCCCCCCCCCCCCCCACGTTCACGATTGCATACACTACCGCCCAAGGTAAGGATGATTGCCCGTTGGAACTGGTATGAGAGTGTTGAGAAGGAAGACTGCTCATCGTATCCCCAGAATGAATGCACAGGGATAATACAACAAACAGCTATCAGTAGTTTATTCAGGCTTTGAACGTATTATGTAATTCTCCCTCCCTCATTCTCTCTCTCCATCATTCTCCCTCTCTCTCTCTCTATCTATCTCTCTCACTCACTCTCTGTCTTCTACGCTTACTTCGATTTTCACAATCCTAAGTCCAAAATATTAATATTTTGGGGTTTGTTAGCTATCTCACTTCGTGTCCATGTTACAGTACAAAGGTCAGGGCGAACTAGAAGGTAATACTAAAATACATGAAAGAAAGAATTACTAAACGTAGAAATAAATGGGAAGGTGCATTGGTCTGTGGGACTGCCAAGATCATCTTTACTGTTGAGAGAGAGAGAGAGAGAGAGAGAGAGAGAGAGAGAGAGAGAGAGAGAGAGAGAGAGAGAGAGAGAGAGAGAGAGAGAGAGAGAGAGAGAGAGAGAGAGAGAGAGAGAGAGAGAGAGAGAGAGAGAGAGAGAGAGAGAGAGAGAGAGAGAGAGAGAGAGAGAGAGAGAGAGAGAGAGAGAGAGAGAGAGAGAGAGAGAGAGAGAGAGAGAGAGAGAGAGAGAGAGAGAGAGAGAGAGAGAGAGAGAGAGAGAGAGAGAGAGAGTATGATGAGAAATGGAACATTTTGAACTGACAATAATACTCCTGTTTTCCCGTCCCTACTCATCCTGGACACACTTTGGATGTGTAGACTTTCTAATGCAGGATACTTCAGCGGAAAGGAGCACTTCGTGTGAGGGGAAATCACAAGATGTTTCTACCCGTGGCGGTGTGAATCCCAACACCGTTGCCCGGCATGGTAAGTGTTTGACCCGGGCCTTCACTACTGGGGGTCCTAGAACCGGTATGTCGCGTTCACTTAGCTCACTCCAGGACCATGTAGCAATGGGTACTAGACTGAACAGTCCGAAGCACATAGTCATTGCACCGCAGCAGCTGCACAGGTTTATTACATCTCTCACAACCAGGGTCACGTCGCTCGCTGCCCCTGTCCCTTTCAAGTGCAAGTAACTGCGACTCTGAGTCTTTAGCACGGTGTGTCGCAAATACTCCCTTACAGAGTTAGCACGGTCGCAAAAAGTCCCTTACAGAGTTAGCACGGTGTGTCGCAAATACTCCCTTAGAGTTAGCACGGTGTGTCGCAAATACTCCCTTACACTTACAGAGTTAGCACGGTGTGTCGCAAAAACTCCCTTACACTTACAGAGTTAGCACGGTGTGTCGCAAATACTCCCTTAGAGTTAGCACGGTGTGTCGCAAAAACTCCCTTACACTTACAGAGTTAGCACGGTGTGTCGCAAATACATGTACTCCCTTACAGAGTCACTATCGACAACTGATTGCATGATTACCTACAAGACTAAGCGTAAAACAGTGATTTCCATGCCCTACATATTTTAGGAAACATTTTGAAATATCCACTGACCGTTGTTTCGGATTGTGCTAGCATAACCGGATCTAGCCACGCCCGTCACATTAGGAGGAAGTATAAGCATAGGTTCATGTACCGTAGATTGTAATCAGGTAGAAGAGGATACGTAAAGGTCATGAAGAGTTCTACCCAGTCAACCCCACCTGCAATGTCATGTAGGTATACTACAGGGTATGTAGCTGCCGCTGCTACCGTACTCCCTTGCAGCTGTGCTGAAGTACATGAGGGGCCGGATTTCCGTGTACGTGCTTGATCTACATTTCAAAGGAGGACGCAGCAGTTTTCTATACTGCCCCCACTAAAACACTGTAGCACTTGAATACCTGTGCGATGGACAGATTTCTAGTACTTGTCTGCGTGTACGGGTAGCAATAGTTACCGGTATGCTCAGCACTTCAACTGCATTGTACATCTACATCTACTGGAAATAGATTTACTTAATATCATTAAAATTGATGAGGTTCCAGACCACGTTTTGCTCGCATGGTTATTGACAATCACACTAGTGGTAAATCTAGTGGTAAATCATGCTTTGCTCGTTGCCTCGTGCCATACCATGCCCTACGTATAGTTCCTAAGGCAGGTTAGCAAGTATGGAAAGAACAATGACAGAGTACCATTGGGAACAGCTGGCTCCAATACTCGGAAGGTGCATTGTTCTGCATAAATTATGATAATCCGTTTACTAGTATTACATGTACATGTATACGAAGTATTGATACATGCAAAGTATAGGTTCATGCGACAGTTCCGTTGATCTTTAAACTCCTGGACAGTACACGTAAACGTAGGATAACATTAGTAGTAGGAAGGTGCGGTTATGGTTAAGTGCCTCAGTTACGTTTATAAACGCAACGGATGTACCAGTACACGTGCAGACGACCCACGCACATACGGGCACATACACAAATGCAATACCCTTGTTAGTGTGTGAAACTCAGAGTTAAAACACTTTCTCTACCCTTGTAAACACGTTGAGCATAGGATGCCACTCTAGAACGTGTATACAATGTACGTATACGTGCAGGTTGTTCAAACAAATATTTACCGTTACCTCATTAGAATTTTGCTTTTACTTCACAAGTATTGCTCTTGCACTCACTAATCAGTGGTGCCACTGGTCATCGGTCACCATCAATAAAAAAACTTCAAGTACATGCAAAGTGTAATGGTATACCGGACCGGTGGCTCTTCTACTCCCGGTCTGGACAAACAATGGAGCCTACAATGAAATGAGGAGGGACTTGCTGCATTTTCCCTTTCTACACAGACGTACCGACAAAATTCCTTTTCTTAGTATTAATCTAAGAGTAATTCACCACACCTTGAAATGAGAAGATAGACACAGGGTTACTACTATGGTACAATGTACACTGCACACTGCATGTCATGCCTATGCTTGGTGAGTCATTGTTCTGTCAAAACACGTGATAATTCCGATATTACCAGTTCTATTCTCTTGCCATCTAGCCGACACGTCCATGTACATGTACATGTACATGCACAGATCTACATGTACATGTATAGTGCTCATGTCACACTCACAGTGTCCTTTTTTGATAACGTTAGGCCCGTGAGTAAGGGGCCGTCCGTAAATATCGAACATTTTTCACAAAACGAAATAATTTCGTTATGGGGTGGGAGGGGGTTGACCAATTTCGTTTCAGAAAACATTGATTCATGTACATGGCTGTTGTATATGCATGTATGTCAACATTTTTTACGTTCTGAGGGGGAGGGAGGGAGGGGTTGGGTCTAAACTAAAATAATTCGTTTGGTGAAAAAAGTTCGATATTTACGGACGGCCCCTAAGGTCATTGCCCAATATTGTTGTTCTATACTGCAGCAGGCAACGTGAAAAGGTGCACAGAACAAGCAGAGCTGGCGGATATGAACGGAACTCCTGAGTCACCACCTCTAAGTGGTAAGGAGATGTACTTCCTCCTTGTTCTGTCTGCGTGTTGTTCGACCCTGGACTAATGTTAGGTCTTACTTTCTTGAATTGTGATTTAGCTGGACTGTTGTAGATTTTCCGTGTACGTCGAGTACCCAAACAATGGTGTGGTTCTAAATGTGACCACATGGCTTATCAAGATTCATACTTAGTACTAGCACGTCCTTGTACATTGCAGTACTGGTATAGAAATACTTACTGTGCGTGTATTTCAGTAAGACTATGAGGTAGTCACGCAACGGTAACTACAGACATTATGTATGGTACATACTGACAAGACACACACAATGGCTCTGTTGCCAGGAGCTAATTGTACATGTACATTAGTCAGCATGTTAATACATCAGGCAAATTCGTATACATCACTCAACGTGTAACAGGAAATCCAGATTTCCTCCAGCACTTCCTCCAGTTGTCTTCATTGAATGAAATAATCACTTGCGACGTGGGGTGTACATGCATCAAGTATATGTACATGATTGTATACATTTACATGTACTCACGCTTCAGAGGAATCAAAAGCGTTTCTGCTGTAACTCTGAGTTTCACGGTTTTAACCGATCATCAGACAGCAACTTGACTACAATTTTCAGACGATATGATTGATACATGACGTATAGGCTACTAGGCTCTACACCTTGGTGTAGTGGGCAGTGTCCCGAGCAATCACAACTCCCTCCGAGTTTACATTTGCATGTATCATACTGTGTATCAACGACGCCGTAGAGATCTAGCGCTTGGCAGGAAGCAGAGAATCACAGAGGTGTACCAAGGCATCCACTGACAGCCATGGACGAAAGATACTTCGGATATTTTACTGGCAGGGGTGTTGGAAGATATTGACACTTCGGATTAGGAGAGGGTTTAGTCCGTCTTGAATGGGGCTTTTTTCAGGACCACCAGATAGGAGAAGCCATTCATACATGCATGTTCACAACAGCTACATGTACATGTACGTTGCTAAAACCTCGCAAAAGTGCTCAAAACTACGAGGGCGGAGACAAAAGGCATAAGTTATTATGGAACGAGGCTGAAATATGTCGATGCTGAGAATTTCATGGTTGTTGGATAATCTTCTGACAACAATGTGTGCTACTTACAAGTACATTATCATACATGTACATGTACATGTACAAAAGGTACCTGTAGCTACACGTGCAAATGTACACAAGAATGCTGACCATTATGACACCAAAGAGAAGCAACTGAATGTACACGTATGTAATCGGTGGAGTCCCGGATTATACTGAGAACAGATAGGCAAGAGGTGAAGGAACGACTTTCCTGGCATTTGCATGTCAGTTTCAAAGGCTGAAATGGCTCGGCACAGCATCACTTCACATGAACTTCACCTAGATGAAGTGGTGGTCGTCCCACCCATTGGTGCACTGTCCAAGTTTGACATTGACCAAGGGCAAGGGGATCCGAAGAGTACAATGTAAGAGGATTTCAGGAGTGAGTCTGGGGCCAACAGTCAGTATGCTATACTGCTAATGTAAGGGTATTTCCGCTTGCAAAGTACATTAGCTTTGCGCTGACAAATCTCAATGCCATGGTGACATAGACTACTTATCTCTGATGCACCACTTCTCCAGCTGTATGTCAGACAAGGAATACAATGTGCATCGTCTAGGTGGTACCACCTTACGAAAAGTACTTCGAAGTAGTCTCATCCGAATAGTCCGGTTGGCCAAGACAATCCATCAATTTAATTACCCAATTGCTCTTTGTTTCCCAATGTTGTTTTGTTGTGATGTTGAGGAAAACATAACGCCGGTCAGATAACACGTAGAACACGTAGAACTGATAGTGTGATAGTACTATTAGCCAAGTCTTAGCCAAGTCAGCAGTATACATGTACGTACAATGTAGGGAGCGACAATACAGCAGACAATACAGCATACCAAAATCAATAGCTGCTTCAAAGCTAACCTATGCCGATAGGGCTGGAGATGAAATCATGGACACGCTTAGCCCAGTAGTACTGCACTGTACTGGTCTACGCTTGGGAGATACGGATATCGGTGGTCATGTCAGACCTTGTCATTTCCCAAACTTACATACTATGCTCTATGAAGGGTACAGTACCCTGTCCCTGAAAGACAACCATGTACCACCACACGCAATCTGGTGCAGATAGGACATCACTGGGCAGCCCTGGCATGTGCCGACATCACAGGGCAGCCCTGGCATGTGTCATGGAAGGATGTTGGTGTCTGCTACAATATCCACATCCTAATCGACTCTAGTCTGGTGCGGGGCGCATGAGCATGGCAGGGGATTAGATGATGTTGATTCCTGTAGCTACTGATACTGACATAATGTACAGCCTGAGGGAGGCAGAGCTTTGCTAACACAAAATGCAGACAGAGATTTTAGTTGAACCTCGCGCTTGACACAAAGCGGTCCTAAGGCAACGTTTTGGGAGACTTGTTGCCTGAGGGTTGCACCCTGAGAAACTCGTAATGCGGCTAAAACCTCGTTCCACATTATGTGTAATTGCTCGTTTACAAATTGGGCAGCCATTGTTTCATTGGCTGACGATTGGCTAATGAAACTTGTTGTTATGGCCATGTACCTGTTAGGCAGTTTCCTCTGAGACAAAAATACGATAATACTCATAAAAAGGAAAAGAGCCTGAAGTGTGTCCTTATGAATATTACCTGTTAGGCATTGCAAATATTATATTTTGAGACTGTGCCTCGAGGTGTTCCAGTACTGTCCCAGTCCTCGCCAGCCAGTGCTTCTCTCCACTTCATGCACACACACTGTGCGCCCACCATTAACAATAACAATATGGACAATAACAATATGTACAATAACAATATGTAGCTGAATAGTCTGCTTGCGACATGTCATAGAACATGATGTATGGTCCGACACGAACTACAATGTACATGTTATACAGCAAAGAGACTTCACGCTTACGCAAGAGTGCAAATATTTGGCCATTGTATTACTACTATTAGCAGCATATGGCGCATGCCATGTGACCTGCGGACGTGACGATACACGATAATATCCTAGTGTAAAGCGTACAATCTCATAATTACTAGATCATTCTTGTGGAATGCAAGGACGAACGTGGACAACTACTAAACGTTACTTCGGGGTGAACGTGACCACTGTCCTCTGTCTTCATCTCAGCAGCAGCACCACCATCTTGCTGTTGCAGTGTTGGAGTAGCTATCCAGGGTTCATTCTCACAGGTTTCAGAGCAGAAGATGGCAACTTGGGAGACTCAATTAGATTAATGTTAAGCTCCGACGGAAAGAGGATCTCTTCACCCTCTATTCAATTTATGACAACTTCAATCAATCTGTCACGACTTGGTCAAGCCACACGTAGCACACGATATCTCTCTTCAAGTAGAAGCCATTGACTAATTACTGCTACCCAAGGTCAACAAATGCTCTCAGGACACACAGGTAGCCTCTTCAGGACACCCTCACGGCCTGCTAGCATGCAAAACCTTCCTTGTTGTACTGTTGTACCTGGAAATCTTGACTTGCCACTCGACACCTACAATTTATGCTCAGCATGAGTACAGTTGAGTTTTGCAATGCGCGGGCGCGGCCTTTATTCCAAACATGCAGGTAGCTGTGCAGGCTAAAGCCAAGGAAAGGATGGAAATATCAGCAGCTGCAAACGGTATCCACACGTACATTCTTACACGTGATCACGAATTCCCACGAGTAATATACCAGCGCATTAGCATAGCTGAGTCGGGACCGGTGACGCCGGTATTTCGGCATGCAATACATCACAGCACGACTCGACGCTAAGCCGACTTGGCACGTTTCCTTAACTTCTACCGCTACTAATAACATGGTTATACCACTGCTGAGTAGGCAATTCATAAATTTCCTTGATTAGATACTTGTGAGCATTTCCTAGAGGCGGTCTGGGGTCTGGGCTGACAGACTGAGTGGCAGTGAGTGGCAGTGGCATAACACTAGTAGTTGACTACATGTACATCATCTTCAATGCATAATGTCCCGGTCTGGGGCAGACTGCAAACATTGGCCATGGCATGGGGTCTGCTATTGTCGACACAGCTTCAAACACAAAATTTACACGTACATCTACATGTACATTAGATTATCTGGTTCCGGTACACTCCATCAACAACAGCGGATAGGACAGTATGATAGGGTCTTTTGTTGCTACGGAAAACCGCTCACCACGTGACTTTCAGGATATTGGCCATATTTGGGCACTGTGCGAAATTGTCGGTATCTAGTGAAGTCTGAAGATTGAGTGCACGAGTCCTTTCATCCATACATCATGCATTATTTCCGTCCCATGTCACTACCCTCATGCGGCCATTTGCTATTAGTATATTACCAAGTCAACGTCGTGAGCAAGATAGGGACAAGATAGGGTTATGAGAAACTAACGACAAACCCACAGTAGCTTGGGCGAAGCTACATTTACATCTACATGTACTTTCTTATTATGATTTCCAAGAGAAGCTGGGGCAGTGGGTGTGACGACCACAAGACTGCACCAACTAGTGATCTCTCTTCAAGTGAACACGAGGAAGGAGAAATCACACTACTACTACTACATGTACTACTGTTTGATATTCAATAGACTGAACTACATGTATTTCATTTACACGCTCTGTTTATGGGAGTCAGTGGACACACTCATTCTAGATTTCTGATTTCCAGGGTTAGGGTGTTGAGTCAAGTCTGGATATACCTTGTATGAACAACGAATCCGACACTGATACGTTGCACATGGCATCACATACTTTGCATTAGTATTTTAGCTCCTAATTGTCGTCTGTGCAGTTTCTCTCACAGCCACACACCATGATACATGCCACAAAGAGGCGAGACCCTGTACAAGTATGATAGTACCGTATTTTCCGGGGTATAAGCCGCACTTTTTTTCGCTAAAAATCGGACCAAAATCGCCCCTGCGGCTTATACACCGAATATGCTTGCCCGAATGAATGCTTAGCATACATCAGTATGCATGCTGACGTCATGTGACATGTCATTCGACTCAGCTTCGCGCCTGTGTTGCTATCCCGGCACTTTTACTAGTTTTAGTGCGCGGGTTACACCACACGGTACGCGTATACGGGGATTCTATTTTTCATAATCTGATCTAACATGGTATTTAGCTCCATAACCATTATAAATTTGTAGAAAGGCCATTTGTCAATGAGTGTGAAAAATCTTGGTTTGTGGGTGCGGCTTATACTCCGAATACCAACTTTTAGTCAATATTTTGCCTCAAAAAGGGGGGTGCGGCTTATACCCCGGTGCGGCTTATACCCCGGAAAATACGGTATGTGTCCTGTTTCTCTGTGTTCCTATGCACGTAGAAATACAGTCTGAACACAGTGAAGGCTGCGATGATGATGACGACGATATGGAGTATGACATCTTGGAAACAATTCTCAAGGAGTTTGATGAGACGCCAGCCGAGATGCAGAACACAAAACAAGAAGGTGCTGACAGCGACAAGGCAAAAGCATCCCAGGCCCATTGTCACCCATCATATCTACAGACACCACCCACCTCAAGCAGCCTGCTGAACACTGCCCATACTTGCCACACTGCCGCCATCGCCACTGCTGCCACTACCACTGCCACTGCCGCAGACACTTCCGCCACTACCAGCCGCCGTCACTCTGATTACCCTACAGCACGTGGACGCCAAGCAGTAACAGCCGCTGCACTGCAAGCTATGACGTCACTCATGCAAAAGCAGAATATCTCGAACCGTCAGAGTAGTAATGCCCTGGTTGCAACCACTACGCCATCAATGCTGCGTGCACACCCATGCTCTACTCCCAGTACTTCCACCACAGCCATCGCCATCGCCACCACCGCTGGCACCAGCAATAGTAGCAGTGATAGACAAAAGAAGCAGTCTCCCTCTAAACCCAGACAGACCAGCATATCATCAGCAACATCAATGGAGGAAGTCAGGGGAGACTCTACTGCACTTCCCGCAATGCCTCTACGCGGAGCATCTGCAGCGTCTGTGCCGTCCGTATCGCCTGCCCATGCTGCCAACGTGTGTGCAGGTAATGTAGGTGTGGACATCATCACGCCAACCACACCAGTTTCATTCAGCTGTGCTGACGGACTATCTGCTAACTTATCTCCACCAGTATCAGGTACGTGTTCTGATAGCGTTCTGATAGCATTCTAATAGCGTTATGATGGAGTTTTGATGGCGTTTTCATAGCGTTCTGAACGTGGTCTGAACGTGATCTGAAGCAGGGAGCCCTACACACACCGGTATGTGTAGGGCTCCCTGGTCTGATGTTGGTTGGAGTTTGAAATACTACTTTTCAAGTAGCTGCACTGTTCCTCATTTTGAACAGTTCTTAGGCTAGTTTATATCACTAGATGCTAATATGCACATGTGCCGCATTGCCTAGCCTCAAGACAAAAACTACGATGCCAATACAAATGGGGGGGGGGTATTGGCAAACGTGACTAGAGTGGAATATAATCATGTCGACGTACTCAAGTGAAGACAAGCACCTGCTTCCCAGCCCTTCTTGACTATCTCGGTCATGTGGCCCTTGAAACGTTGGAGTCCCTTTGTCGTTTTCTCCGTCAAATTAATTGCAAGATCTTCCTGGAAGAAAACTTTCTCACTTGTAAGTGGAATATGACAATTTGTCTGGAAACGGATTCGAACACGATCAAAAAGTAATGTCAGTTTACCAAATATTCAGTTCTTTCAGGGTTTCGTGCCGGCAACTCTGCATGGTTGCCGGTTAGATCGGGTTGCTTGGACCAATCTGAACTCATACTCGTGTGATATAAGACAAACAAATCTGTGTATCCTATCCAAAACACTGCAGCCAAGTAAAGCAGGAAATAACTATGGTGAGAAAAAAAAGGAACAGACAGCGCCCAAGATAAAGACTGGGAGTGTGTGTGGGCGGCCGAGGCAGAGTGTCTGTAGTCTGTGACCAATGCGTTGGCTTGCAGCTACCAATTATTGGCAATACCTCAACCACATATCTCAAGAAGGAGGGGTGGGGGGTAACTTTGGTCTCTATATTATGAATATCTGTCCAATGTTATTATGGTGCATGTCCGTGAAAACAGAAAAGTGACTCCACAAGCACACGCCTGTACAAGTGACGCACGTTGTCGCTCCATGTATATGTACAACTGTGATTGTGTCAGTGTGTGCACTTCAAAGTACATTGTACATGTGCAAACACCTGTGCCCGTGGTCCAGGTGATTTGTATGCATACTCGTACACCATCACTGTCCAAATGCCCCCCCCCCCCCCCATCCCCCTCCGGATTTCCCCAGAATTCGATGACTCACCTTTGCCTTTGTTTGCATAAAGAGGAAACGCGCCCTATTATCACACTTTAATTACTGCTATGTTACCCCTACTACAGTCTGTCTGCAGTCTACATGTACAATTGTACATGGATGATCCACAGTGTCGCTCTGTTGCACTTCTGGTTCTGTGGCATATACATGTACATGTACTTGGGAGGTACTACTACTACTACTAGTACTAGTACTAGCAATACAGAGTGTGTAAAAACGATTCGCCCACTAGCAAGCTGTAGATATCAGTCATCATCAGTATGATGGGCAGCAAACCGTGACCGGCCGAGGTACAGAACGTCACATGTTACACTTCTCAGTTTCCAGACTGAGACAAGTGTTTCCTCCTTCCTAATACCATATTGCTGGCAGTGTCATCATCATCATTATTATCATCATTATCAGAGCCATGGGTCTACCTTGCTGTCTACCTTGCTGCATCTGACCCATGGGACAGATCCTTAGGAGAACGAAATTAGATTCATGCAAATATCAAGAGCACGCCGCACCTGCAATTATCATAGAATATGTCCTCTGGATAGGATGATAGGATACTACGCAGCTAGTACTATGGCACGATATCTCAACACATTCAGCATAGCAGCAGTAGATTATACATGTACATTGTACTGGTAACTGTTAGCTGTCGGGGCGTAGAGCTAGCAACAAAGTGCACTACTCAGACACGCAACAAGTATTAGTTACATGTAGTTTGCAATTTGGCGTGTGCTCATTACAACCGCAGGCAGCTGGAAGGAATACCAGGCACGCAGGCACGCAGGCAGCTGGAAGCCAGTACATGTTCAACTGTCAATACCATGGCAACGCAACTCGCCAGACCTCGGTCATAGACATAGCTCAGTACGACACTCCACACACACAGACATGAACTGTGCCTGTGCATGTGCATGTACATTGCAATGTACTTTAATACGGTAACTATACGAGCACAGTCATCACTGGCAGGAAAGACTGAAGGAAACACATCGATAATTGCACCATTTCTAGATTCTGTATTCTACACATGCATCGTACAATAGCGCTACACAGGCAGCATTGGTCATAGCACATGATGTAGAGTAATCAGTCAAGAGTACACTGGCAGCATTGATCATAGCACGTGATGTAGTTCAGTAGAGTAATCAGTCAACAGTATTATTATGCAGAGTAATCAGTCAACAGTACTTGCAAGTCTAATACCGTGTACCGGTAAGCTCCCAGTGCCAGTGGCAGGTTATAGTATGACTGTAGACTGCAGTGGATGTGAATCCTAACGTCCTAACGTTAGCATAGACCTAGTGCCAGTAGTGCCAGTAGTGCCAGTAGTGGATTACACGGACCCGGGTCGGTGCAGTGATTCCCGTGATAGGATAAGGACAGTTCAGTGTACACTGTACAACTTACTTACTACAAGACGTCAGCAGAGATGTACCAACAGAGTACTGCCATATGGTGAGACGACCAGAGCCTGCAGAGGCTGCAGAGGCTGCAGTCGAAGCAGAGCTTTCTACTTTCAGTCCTGAGGAAAACCGGATCCAGTCACTTAGACTATTACCGGTATCCGGAGTGTGTCTTGTTCGGAGGCAGTGATGTATTATTATGTGGTGCTGCTGTGTTGGCAATTATTATTATTTGGGTTGTGGAGTGTGCATACAATCATAGTGAGTCTACTAGTAGTCTGGCAACTAACTACTTGCCTGTTCGGCATACACACCGGTAGTTACAAGTCATAGCAAGAGTACATAACCCCCCAGAGTGTGCAACGCCGATCCAGCTCTGTGTAGGGTCTTGGTCGAGCGGAATCGGATCTTCTGATGTCATGCGTACACTTCACACCAGCGCAAGGCCGGTCTCGAGGCAGGGCACCATTGTTTTTGATCCAAGAGCACCCGCGACTCCCCGGGTTCCCCTCAGATGTGTACGGTATTATGACGCAAAGATCCGATTCCGCTCGACCAAGACCCTATGCAGAGCTGGATCAGGCGTTGCACACTCTGGGGGGTTATGTACTCTTGGTCATAGTGAGTCTAGTCTGGCGACCTTCCTCTTATCCTGCTACAATACATACTACAATGTAGAGTCTTCTGACTGTTACAGTACTGTGTACTACAGGTACGGGTATTACAGGCGGGGGGGGGGGGCACATGGTACATGTACATGGTTGCGGGTATTACGGCCGGGGGGGGGGGCACATGGTACATGTACATGGTTGCGGGTATTGCGGCGAGTACCAACATGTACAGCGTGTGGGAGAAATAACCACTGAACCAGGGCTGGGATCTAGGACAGCATGAAGACAGGTAATACGTGTGTGCTAACGGTTGGCAGCGTACTGAGTTCTAAATCTTGTAATCCCGGGATCTAGGGACTGGTTGAGGATTGGTAGATCATAGCTAGCTGTTTATGTTGGTGCTAGGTGTAACGAAGTGACTCGTTGGATTGGTTACTTAGGCGAAACCAGAGCTACCTCTTGTGCTGTTTGTAGCAATATGCTGATCCGTGCTCACGTCACCGATTATTCCAACAATACTGTCAATAGTTTATCATTGTAACCAATCTCCACTGACTCCAGGCTCCAGTCCACAATCCGCACACAGTCACCACACATGGTACACAGCCGCCAAACACTGCACTGTCTCCAGTCCACAATCCGCACACAGTCCCCACACATGGTACACAGCCGCCAAACACTGCACTGTCTGCAGTCCGCAATCCGCACACAGTCAATATACCACACGGACACACCGCCTGCCAGGCCACACTCGAACCATAGTATTAGTAGCAGATCTGACCACTGTAGAACTGGCAGGGTGGAGACATTCCTGTATAAGCTCTCAAACTTCCCAAAACGATTCGCACACGGGACATGTGTCCCTAGCAGTTACTAAGTACAATTGACAAACGAGTGTAGTAGATATGATAGCCACAGCTGTTAGGAATACACACTTGAGCATACTCCCCTAAAGTCACACATTGCTCACTGTTCCATAATGGATTTCCCCACTAACCAATATGCCTCCGAAATCACTCTGACAAATCTTCTACTGGCGATAGAGGAACTAAAAAGTGATTTTCTAGAAGCTCTTCACGTTGAAACTATGGAAACTGACAACGCAGACTTTGTGAAAGGTGGGACAAGATAGTTATGCTGAGGAATAACGTTAGAGGAATGATGGATAGGACTTGTAACCATGCTAAGCACACAGCTAACATGTTTCCTGTTATTCGTACTTGTACTGCAGGACCGCAATTCTCCAACACTCTATTCGACAATGCTATGGATGATTGCGATCTGTTCGCCTGGTCTGACGCTTCGCCGCTATCTCTACCTGGACAATCATGTGACTTGATGAATGAAGACTTTCACTCCCCTGCCTCGGACACAGGTTCGTCATTTCACATTCCATCCTCGCAGAATTCCCCAGCTCAACAAGTCGCCCAGAAATCTGCGGGAGAGCAAAGTCCTGAAAGCATCACGGTTGCTATGCCAATGTCAGCAACAACAGGTAAAGCAACAACAAATCACAAAATTAATAATATCGATTACATGTACGTCATAGTAGTAGTATCCATCGGATGAATGTAGTTCAAAACCCAGATATCTGTGTCCCGCTCATCCGTGTAATTCTACTGGTCATCGAGATACAAAATCTGAATTTGGGAATACATGACGCACGTTCTTGTTTTGAAGCTTCTCACCATCATGTATACCGGTATGTATGGTTATAACACTGTGACAGAAATTGCACGTTCCCCTCCAAAATGACCAAATGTTGTAAACACAATTGTGCTAAGACCATGAGTATTGAACACATGCTGACTACTGAGCAGCACTGGTAGGCATCACGGTCTCAGGTCACTGCCACTGGATTGCGACTTGAGAAGTCACGTGACCATGAAGGTGAGAGCAAGAAGTTATGAGCCCCATGTCAATGACATGTTGTCTTGTGTTGTTCTCTTGTAGAAACGCTAAGTCCACCAGCCACACCCAGCGATAAGTCAACACTACGCACCAGTCATATCAACAGCAAAGAAGCCGCCATTGCTGACATAGGTACAGTATTACAATCATGTTAATTACATGTATATTACAGTCCGGTTTCGATTTTGCAACACGACTAAAACAATGGAGTTACGAAAGTGTTACTGTACACGCATGATACAGTTCCATATCCCATATCATGGAAAAATGCACCGTATAGAGTTTTAATGCAGCCATGCCCTCGTCAAGGAGGACTGCGTTTCCAGTACCCATCTTTTGGAGATATACCGTTGACACTATAGTTGTAGCTGTCCATACCCATGGCACAGGTACTAGGTATTGTCAAATTGCTGATTATCGTTATCTCTATCAAACCAGTCCACACTCACTAGTACCACTAGCATAACACAATGTCTGAATGATGTACATGTATGCACTTACATGCTACTGTATCACAGCACACTGATGTAGTATGCACCAACATGTGTACATCATGTACATGTATATATATATAATCATGTACATGTACCGCCATGATGGCACCGTCGATATCAATATCGAAATGAAAATATTTACTGGGTTGGAAGGAGGTAAGCAAGATGGTACCACCTCCATATCCATCAGTACATCTGTATACTTCAAGTACGCACACTGTCACAGTGACACTAGTCTCAACATCACTTTAACCAGCTAGGTGTTTGTGTGGCCATCTACCATGCTTTCTATGTTCAGGACGAAGCCTACTGATGACACAGCAACTCTCACAGAATTTCAACATGCTCCCACCATCACCAGTACAGTTCCCGATGCACAAAGAAGAAAACCCTGGTAAGTAGTCGTGTACCAGTAGAGAGAGCAGATCCTCTTGTACCAGTAGAGAGAGCAGATCCTCTTGTACCAGCAGATGTACACCAGGACACATCCGGTACTTGGAAGTACATGAACCGGGTATCTACATGTATACCACTGAACCATTGGGACATGTATGTGCTCCCTTCTAGAGATCTCTACAAGTGCATAATAGTCATGCACTACAGAACAATTGGCACTGAGGCACTGAGGCTACATGAACACCTAATACACTGTATTGTAGATCTGATGGTGTAACGTGATCAACCTCAATCTACATAACCACTAAGTACACAATCTACGTAACAAGCCTTGGACCACAAAGTTAGTTTTCCCTTTAAGTTCCACTCACGTTCCATCAGGCTCCATCAATTTTAAGTAATTGTCTGCACTAACTCTTTCAACAAGTACATACGAATTCGCTGTTTGGTGCACTCAGTGTTGTTTTCGGTGTGTGATTGCAGTTCAACTGTGGGAATTTCTACTAGAGTGCCTGTACTTCGATTGTTATGAACACATAATTCGCTGGAGCAACAAAGAAGAAGGTGCGTTCAAGATTGTCGATTCTCAGTTGCTGTCTGGTCTCTGGGGACTCTACAAGAAACGACTGGAGATGAACTTCGACAAGATGTCCAGAGCCATGCGATACTACTACAGAAAGGTAAGACCATACTGGCAACACTGACACTCACATGTATTTCATGCAGTCCAAGCAGTTAGTACAGTTGACTACAGTTCATGCAGGTAATACAGTTCATGCAGGTAATACAGTTCATGCAGGTAATACAGTTCATGCAGGTAATACAGTTCATGCAGGTAATACAGTTCATGCAGGTAATACAGTTCATGCAGGTAATACAGTTCATGCAGGTAATACAGTTCATGCAGGTAATACAGTTCATGCAGGTAATACAGCTTAAACTGAACACAGGTAATACTGGTCACACATGTAATACAGTAAATACGGGCAACAATTGCCCATCGGGAACTATGAACAATACCGATGTACACGGTTGCTACTTTTGAAGTACATAACTTCTTCCCCGAAGAACCTTTCCCCACTGCCTCTCAGTCTTCCACCTTTCCCACTACTTCAACCAACCTCTCATCCCCCCCCCCCCCCCCCCCCCCCTGTGCCAACCTCTCCCAACATGGCTGATTCAGGTTTTTCGTACAATCATTGTGACTCGTAGCATTATATGTACTGGCATATGGTGCCTGCCCTGCCTACCTGGTGTTGCTATGACTACTACGATGTTCCCATGGTTACACATGTAGACTACATCTGCAGCATAGTGATGGTAATACATGTACTGCCACCACTGTACTCATAAACACTTTGTTAGTCCAGCACCCTTCCTAATCCAGCCGAATTTCAGTAGCACAAATGGTGCCGGATTATCCAGGGACCTCTGGATTGCTATGACATGCACACGCCTACCTGTACTTGTAGCTGCTAGCATACCACAATACCACAATACCACAATGCCACAATGCCACAATACCACAATGCCACAATGCCACAATACCACAATGCAACAATGCCACAATGCCACAATACCACAATGCCACAATGCAGCAGCTGTATTACACCTAAATTGTCGCCGATGCATGCTTGTACTGTAGTGTATGTATCTCAACATGCAACTGTTATCTGTGTGGCCTATTGATTATACCACTCTACCTGCTCTCTGTGAATGTGCAGGACATTCTAGAGAAGAAATACTGTGGCAAAACAGTTCAGAGGCTGGAGTATGTTTTCAAGGGCAAGAGCAGCTTTTCAACTTTCCGTCCACCAGCATACGCCACACCAGGTCGGTTCTTCAGATCTCAGGCACTGTGCTCACCGAATCAGCTAAACTTCCCATTCAGTCTTAACACCCTGCCACCACAGAGTGTTGGTATGTACGGGAATGGACTTGGCACTACCTTGCTGCCAGCGAATGGTTTCTTCGGCAATCTCGATCTTCCGCAGATCAATGCAAGTGAAGCAAGCAAAAATCATCGTACCCGACCAACAAAACAATCCAAGCAACGCTGGCTCGTGGATCCCTACTAAGAGTGTTCCGAGCACTGCCATACCATGTGGATCAGTGCTATGCGTCCTTTAGCAAGATACCACCACAAATACATGTAACAATCACAATCACTAGCACCAGCATCAGTAATCACTACACTAACAATACATCCATTTACAGTAGACAATGGTCACACTACACCACTGTCACATTAGAACACATGACGTTACATATAGTGTAGTTACCAGCAGAAGATGCTAGTGCTAGTCACGCAAGCAGTGGACATGTACATCTTGAGATCCTATCTTTTATGTTGAGCTGGCATCCTTCACTTCATCCTATACTATTCAAGATGTATCTCTAGTCTAAACGTGACGTCATCAAGCTGTAACCGCAACCGCTCATAGTTGGTTGATTTAACATATCATGCATCGTACTTTCTCAGTCTAATGTGGTAATCCCAATAATAACGTTATTGCATTATTGTTATGTTTATTGTTATGTTTCAAATCTTTCGCAGCCGGCTTGCTATACCTTCATATGAAAACTGTGTATTCAGAAAACGATTGACCAATCACAAGAATGATTGACCATTAGATCATGTACCTCATCATCGTAATAAGAACATGTGACAAATAGATGACTTTTATTCTATTCTTGCAATTGCAAGAGCTATTATTCCCTGATGATCCATCAATGATTTTGTTCTCGCTGCCTTGCAGCTAAATGGCACCTTACGCTCCACATTGGAGTCCTTTTTCCCCTTTCGTCAAGACCACTATTTCATTCGAGATGTGTACTTCTAAACTATACCATAATCATGCATTGATACCTTTCCTCATCCAATCGTGACGTTTAAATATGAGGGTTTTTTTATGAGATGGCGGCCTTTCACGTGATCTGCATATTGTACTCAGTAACAAGGTTCTACTATACTAGTCCTGATATAGTTGTCACGCATACCAAACACGGTTGAACGGTCTCTGCATGGATGACAGCTACACCATAGCTCAGTGGTTAGAGCATCGAGTCCTGGTGGTGACAGTCCATATTTTCTTCAGACTTTTCCCTTTTTTCCATCCCCAGCTCAACCAGTGAATACATACCCTCAACCAGTGAATACATTCCCTCAACCAGTGAATACATTCGCTCAACCAGTGAATACATTCGCTCAACCAGTGAATACATTCGCTCAACCAGTGAATACATTCGCTCAACCAGTGAATACATTCGCTCAACCAGTGAATACATTCCCTCAACCAGTGAATACATTCCCTCAACCAGTGAATACATTCCCTCAACCAGTGAATACATACCAAACACACGTTAAATACTGTTTAGAGGTTTCAAAAATCTCTCGGATTTCCCTCGGATTTCCCTCGGATTTCCCTCTTCAATTCCTTTTAGTTTGCCGATGTACATGAAGACAGCCACTCAATGGTAATTTCATAGAAGATGCTAAGGCAAATGTTACGAGTATATGCCATCAATAATTGTACCAGCTAAGGAATAGCCAGAAAATGCGACAGCTGGGCCCAAACTGGCAAGGAGTACTGCGACATTGAACCAGCCTTGAAGGTGACTCAGTCCGAACACATATCCAGCACGCATAGCAACATCCCGGGTGCAAAAGCCTAGGAAGGATGATAACTAAGCAAGGAAAATGTCCAAAGGATGCGATCGACGCGATCTCGCGCACCTACAAAGAATGATAGTGATGACAGGATGATGATGATAAATTATGTCTCTCACAACTCGTAAAATCCCACGGTTTAATCACGTTGATTATTTAGCAGTGCGATACCGAGAGGAGTGAAAATTGACAAAAGAGAAGGTGTTCAACGGGTTTTTTTTACTTTTTTTACTCTGACAATTATCCTGATTATAAACTCACGATCTCCAGGGTGGCTGAATGATCTGGAAGCTACTGTGATTTCCGTCTTGGCCAACTGGTCACCGAGTGTCAACCCAAGTAAAACGGAACGTACTCAGGTACACAGAAGCAAAGACAGGATTGGTGAGGAATGGAGAATGGTCCGAAAACTAGGATCTCTTCTTGGCGACGAGGCTGACGTAGCACGGAGGAAGCAGCTTGCCGCAGCGGCCTTCACTTCAATGTTCAACCTCTGGAAACGGAGATCTGCTGTGAGTGAGCGCCTGCGCCTGCGACTGTACTCGGCGTTCGTCCTACCAGTCCTAACGTACAACTGTGGCACTTGGGGCCTCACGCAATCTGCTCTCCAGAAGTTGGATGCCTTCCACCGACGTCAGTTGCGGCCTCTCCTTGGCATCAAATGGCCACAGCGCATCTCCAATGAAGCTCTGTACCGGAGGTGCCAAATGGAGGAGATCAGCATCTTCGTACGCCGTGCCAGGTGGCGTCTATTTGGTCACATCTTGCGGCTGCCACCATCAACCCCCGCAGTATTGGCAATGGAAATCTTTTTCGCAAACAACAGCACCAGATGGCTTGGCCGGCCACGCGTGACTCTTCCCAGTGTGCTGCATCAAGATCTGCAGAAAGCCGGGCAGGGTAGACTCCTGACTCTGGGAGATCTCCATTCGCTCCGGGCAACAGCTGCCTGTCGTAAGAGCTGGAAGGCTCTGTGTGAGGCAATATGTTCATCCTACTAGTTACAAATCAATGTACTTGTAATCCCATATTAGCCCGACAGCGCAACGTCAAATCAACCGGATATACTTCAAAAAGTATCTCCTTAATTTGCTCATCTCCCCACGTCTCTCTCTCTCTCTCTCTCTCTCTCTCTTTCTCTCTCCCTTTTTCTCTAAAAGCCGATCACGACAACAACCAAAATAATGTGTAACTCAATATCAACTGGAAATATAATATCACACATCCAAATACTATCTTATATTACCCGAATACCATAATATCATTATGATTATCAACTCCCTCAGTATTTAAACTGTAGCAATAGAATCACACCATCTATCACAATATCAACATGCAATAACTATCATAACGTATCGCATGCGATATCCATACTTATCCTGTTTTCTTTTTTCCGTCCTTCATGTTGTTTTCTGCCTTGACATCAGCATCTTCCATATTTGATTTCTGTTTACCACCACTCAGCATAAGCGAAAATACACAATCATACACAGTTGCGAGGGCAAGACGCTCTGATCTTGCCCGAGGTCTGTGAGTGATCTTGCCCGAGGTCGAGACGCCCGAGGGGCGCAGCCCCGAGGGCGTCTCGACCGAGGGCAAGAACACTCACATGACCGAGGGCCAGATCAGAGCGGCTTGCCCGACGCAACTGTGTATGATCGTGGTTCATACATGGCCCACCTCCCGAACAACGTAGACAATCATAGAGTTCTGGCAGGACTTTATGGCTGAATCAAGGCCGAGTGCATACGGCCAAGGGCGCAGGCCAAGGCGCTACGCGCCTTGGCCTGCGCCCGCGGCCGTGCGCACGAGGTTGCCACTTACATCCTTTGAGCCGCGTAGACGGTATAACTATAAGCCGTTTTCTTTGCTCAATGCTCAAGAACAAGTAGGTTGGTCGGGGACGTGGTGTCTACACTATCACTCCTTTGCTGACACGCGATGATCTTATCAATTTTCGCTTACATCAGTACATGAAGGCCTCGTGCGTAGATCTACTGTGCTACGCGCCTTGGCCAGCGCCCGGGCCTTGGGCCTGCCTGGCCGTACGCTCATCGGAGTCATGGTCATGTTTTCACTGACATTCTTTGAAACTGTATATAAGCGCAATACCACCTAGGGGTGGAGGTCGGGGACGTGGTGGCTGGATCTATCGCTGTTTAGAAGAAGTAGTTGCAGAATTGCCAAAGCTCATGCGTACGGCCGCGGGCGCAGGCCTCGGCGCTACGCGCCTTGGCCTGCACCCTTGGCCTTGATTCATGGTCAGGTTTCACTTGCGAATTGTATAATATAAGCGCGACATCACCTAGGGGTGGAGGTCGGGGACGTGGTGGACGGATCTCTTGCCATTTTTTCCAATTATTTATGGATCTATCGCTGTTTAGAAGAAGTAGTTGCAGAATTGCCAAAGCTCATGCGTACGGCCGCGGGCGCAGGCCTCGGCGCTACGCGCCTTGGCCTGCACCCTTGGCCTTGATTCATGGTCAGGTTTCACTTGCGAATTGTATAATATAAGCGCGACATCACCTAGGGGTGGAGGTCGGGGACGTGGTGGACGGATCTCTTGCCATTTTTTCCAATTATTTACTCCTCAGGTTAAGTCGTCCTTTCGTACTCGTAGACTGTATATAAGCGCGATACCACCTAGGGGTGGAGGTCGGGGACGTGGTGGCCAGAACTCTTGCCATTTTTTCCAATTATTTACTCCTCAGGTTAAGTCGTCCTTTCGTACTCGTAGACTGTATATAAGCGCGATACCACCTAGGGGTGGAGGTCGGGGACGTGGTGGCCAGAACTCTTCCCATTTTTTCCAATTATTTACTCCTCAGGTTAAGTCGTCCTTTCGTACTCGTAGACTATATATAAACGCGATACCACCTAGGGGTGGAGGTCGGGGACGTGGTGGCCAGAACTCTTGCCATTTTTTCCAATTATTTACTCCTCAGGTTAAGTCGTCCTTTCGTACTCGTAGACTGTATATAAGCGCGATACCACCTAGGGGTGGAGGTCGGGGACGTGGTGGCCAGAACTCTTGCCATTTTTCCCTTGGCCTTGATGAAGAAGAATGTTTTGAATTGTTTTCCGGTTGTAGCTGTTTAGTTTTGTCACTCCTTTACTGACACGCGTACAAACCTGTTGTCAACATCGCCATTAGCTTGTAGAATACTGGATTGTATACTGGATTGTAGAATACTACATGAAGCCACCTTTGCCACCTTACATCATAGTACTTGTATGTGTATTACATCATGAGTATGTTTATTACATCAATGAACAGAACTGAGCATGAGGTCATGTCTACAGGCATGCCCAATCTACACCTACCTGCAAGGTCGACTGCCATTGTGCGCCACCCGCAAGGATAGGTGGTCTTCTCGTTGAACTCTGTGACTTCAAAAGCAGTACTGGCCAACTCTTTCGTTTGGCGGACGACAAATGTTCAATGTTGACCGTGTCGAGCACTTTAGGAAATGGTACATGCGCATGCGCGCAGCAATGCTATTAATTTTTACTCCAGATCTTGACCGGCTGACTGAAGTTCTTGACCGGCTAAGCGGTCAGGATCGCCTGATCTTGACTGCTTATTCTGGTCGCCCATTGGCCGTCACCTGGCAACAAGCACGTGCCATGTATGAATCATCAATCATTTGATTGACGATGACGCGAAAATGCAAATAATAATAATAATAAACTCACGCACGCGCACGCGTTCACATCTTACGTAACTGATAAGGAATTTCGGAAATCATGAAACGTCAATGAACATGATACATGACTTTTTTAGTACAGTGCCGATTTTTTTAAACATAAAAACACTACAATACTTCAGTACAAGTAGTTCTTATAGTACAGTCTGTAATACATGTTCAATACCTTCAGCTGCCGTGTTGGTCTTGCTCGCATCCTGTACTTGTGGGGAAGGTCGAAATGTCCACTCCGCCTGGACATGGACATCCGCTCTGTATCGCTCGGGAATGCTTGGATATTTTCTAATGCTGAAAAACCTTTTGCACGGCTCATGGCAGCTAGCTCTAATAGTACTACTGCTACTAGCAACGCGTATAATACAACCACAAAGCAATGAAGTCATGCTGCAAGCTTCTACTGTTCTAACCAGGCCGGTAACACAAAACACGGAACGTCGCAGCGATGGCAGGAAAATAGGCCACTTCAGTGTTGATATTGAAACATCAGCACTGGTACTATAAAGTCCTGTGATGGAAAAGACTTTTTACGTTACTGACTTAGTGACTGTGTGGCCTGTGGGGACTGCACCCTTCAGACTAACGCTACAAGTCATCGTAGAGTGCAATATGCAGGCGAGTGTGTGCATGCTCTCCACCAAGAAAAGGCTCAAAACTTCAAACAAAAGGTCCAGCTACACACTCCATGAACAATGTAGCACCTCCAGACACCCTGTCACCAGTTGCCTTGTCGCTAGCTGCTGCATTTCGCACTATCACAGCATGGCCAGATATGACACGACCAGGAGAGCTCCTTCGCTTACATTGACAATGTGTCTGTGACTAAAAACACCACCACACACCACCACACACCACCACACACCACCACACACCACCACACACCACCACACACCACCACACACCACCACACACCACCACACACCACCACACACCACCACACACCACCACACACCACCACACACCACCACACACCACCACACACCACCACACACCACCACACACCACCACACACCACCACACACCACCACACACCACCACACACCACCACACACCACCACACACCACCACACACCACCACACACCACCACACACCACCACACACCACCACACACCACCACACACCACCACACACCACCACACACCACCACACACCACCTCAACAATGAGGGTGTAGTGTACTAGTATCAACCTACTTTACAAGTAGGGATGGTCTGGAATTTTAGCCGGCTTTCCAAGTAATTTTAGTTGCGCTATTGCAAATAATGATCTGCTTTGATAGTAGTGACTGCTAATAATTGCCTGGGTTTGACTTTGGATTTTTCTTTAAAGGGGAAGTATACCCTAAAATCAAATGTTCACCAGTTGTAGTCTTCTGGGTGCTGAGTCGAATGGTCTTGGTCCGAGGAAGCTGCGACGCTCCCTTTCTACTTTAATCCCAATCGAACTCGAGCACTTCCACCGAAACTGGGTGACTGCGCCCTACTAGATGGGGATTTGTATGCAAAATGTCACTAAAAGCGCCACTCCGTTCTTATAGAAGTGTTAGGTACCTCCTCCCGTACCTTTTCTAGCTGGCCTGCATGCACTTGCGTACGCACCTTTTGTCTCCTTTTGCTCCGTTGGCCTGGGTAGCTACTTGCGCGCCCATATTTGCCATAGCTACCCAGGCCCTTTATCTTGCCGTTTAGACTTGATCTCTCTCTCTCTCTCTTTTCTCACTCGTCAATAATCACCATGTAGTCGTTTCGTTCGTCTTGGTCTCTTGTCTCGTCGTCTATAATAAATGTCGTTCCCACTAACTTGTTCCCGTTGTCAGTCGTCCTGTTTCGAACTCAACAGAAGCACGGATGACCGCGATTGGCCCATATGTTGTAGTCTTTTGGACGCTGAGTCGACTGGTTTTGGTCCAAAAAGGCTGCGATGCAGCGTTCGGCCTTTATTCCCAATCGAACATGGTTGAACAAGCGGTCACGTGCTCCTGGGTGCCCAAATCACCTGGTCACTAGGCCTAGCCCAAATTTGCTCGGGGCGCTTCGATATTTTGCCGGCAAATTTTGCCCGATCACTTTCCATATTTTGCTTGGCATTGCCTTTCGTTTCCGATATTTTGCTCCATTTTGCTCCTGCTTTGTGGCAAAAATGGCTTCGAATGAACCGTCTACTTTGGTAAAAGTGGATGGTGACTCTGATGAGGAAAGCAAAACTTATAATGGTGTCAGTATTACGGATTTTGGAGCATGATTTCAAATTTATGTACCCCTGACAACCTGCACGAGCTATTTCAGCACGACGTTGGCCCAATGAAACCAACGAAATTTGAATAAAATTACCAAAACACACCCGGATCCTCTGTAAATTCGATATTTTGCTCGGAATTTGCCAGCAATTTCTTTTCGTTGGAAAATTCGATATTTTGCTGGAAGAATTGCCGGCAAATTTGGGCTAGGCCTACTGGTCACCACGCCAGCAGCAGCGCAGGCGACAACTTTCACACCAAGGTTCAACTCGAGTTCAACTCGAGTGACAGGACTGCACCCAAAAAAGGTCAAACAGGCTAGTAAGTTGTACCCTGCAGGCACGGTGACCAGCTGACTGGTGTACGCAGGAGCACGTGACCGCTTGTTCAACCATGTTCGATTGGGAATAAAGGAGGAACGCTGCATCGGAGCCTTTTCGGACCAAAACCAGTCGACTCAGCGCCCAAAAGACTACAACATATGGGCCAATGGCGGTCATCCGTGCTTTTATAAGAACGAAATGGCGCTTTTAGTGACATTTTGCATACAAATCCCCATCTAGTAGGGCGCAGTCACCCAGTTTCGGTGGAAGTGCGCGAGTTCGATTGGGAATAAAGGAGGAAGGGAGCGTCTCAGCTTCCTCGGACCAAGACCATTCGACTCAGCACCCCGAAGACTGCAACTGGTGAAAATTTGATTTTAGGGTATAATAATATTCGCGGGATCCGCGTCGGCATCGCTTGAATGTTCAGAACACACAAACTAGCCTTCGCATCCGCAGGCCACCACTATGCCTGTTAACAAGAGTAGATAAACAAGAGTGTGCAACTCCGGATCTCTCCTGCACAATCTGCAGATACCCCCGCCCACGGCGGGATTTTTTGTTGACGTCACCTTTTTTTCAGAGAAACGCGGACTTTGCCGCAGAGCAGTGTGAGAGCACGTGCTGGGCACCGACCTTGTAGTATAAAGCCCGGCCAAGTGCACGAGGGAACCCTCTCCAAAAGGCTCGCAGCGCGTGCGTCGTCGAAAAGATTACGTCAACAAAAAATTCCGCCGTGGGCCAACCCATCCGCGAGTTGCACACTCTTGTTTATCTACTCTTGCTGTTAACCTTAGGGCGCGCTCACACTGCGACCAAAACCAGCGTCCATGCGGCCATGCGGCCAAGTTGCATGGCAACGGCATGAACTTGACCAAAACGTCGCGGCCACGTTTCAAATCGTGACCGCGACCTCCGGAGGGGGGTGCCACGACTTGGCGGCAACATGATCGTAGACGTGAAGCGTATTTGTGTACAACCTGGCCTGAAGTATGTTCAATTTCTCAAACTCCGGTGTGTTGATTCATGAAAATCGGCGGTTGTCGATGTCACCTCGACATTTGCACATTTTAAAAATTTTGTAGTTGTGGTCCTGCACGCACGCACCGCCATATATGCATTCTTTGCCCTTTTTGGACGATGTCGATTTTGTTTTTGTAGTTGCTTCGTTGTGATCGGGTCAGTGACCAATTTCTACAGTGTACTCGTTCAATACGATGGCAGCTTGGTCTGGCTTTTCGGTTTCGGAAATTATCTTTCTCTACTTTTCTGCGATGATGGAATGCCATACCTCAAGACATTTCAGTTACATATCATCGGAAAATACAGTTCTCATCTCGGCAACAGACGAAAGAAACCACTACCGGAATTTCCACTGCACTGGCACTTGCTCTGACCACGAGGTCAGGAAAGCGAAAGCGCTTGGATGTCAGCGGCAGTCCCTCAAGAGTCCAAACCTACCTGATTGTATGAATTATTTTCGTCGACTTCAAGAATACGAGCCACGAGGCATGCGAAAAATTACATCCAAAACGGGCCACAACTTTATTAGGAAACGCACGAACTCTTTTGGATACGAACTGCAATTCGTAAAGTTTGTGTGACAAGTTCACGTCTACGCGTGTACGAGGCCTAGTGTGAGCACGACTGCCACGTTTCTGCGTTTTGCTGACGCATGGACGCGTGCTCATGATCGCAGTGTGAGCGCGCCCTTAGTGGCGAATGCAGACCCCACAAGTGAGTCAGGGGAGAGGAGGTTAGTCTCTCAACCAATCGGGCGTGTAACGGCCCATAACCCTGTAAACTGCATCCTTGTTATTCTCACTCCGAGCTGTGAGTACCCAGTTGACCGTGGGTGTCGGCGCAGTTCAACACGCATAAAAAGTCTTTTTACACGCTCCCTGCTACCAGCGCGGGTCTTGAACTCGGGACCTCATGATTCGCAGGCAGGCCTGCAAACCAATCGGCCATATGCGTTGGTATACTTAGGGTATACTTCCCCTTTAATCATCTTTCCGATCACATTATCACGGATTTACATGTAGTGCGATCGGATGAAGATCGATGACTGTGATCGTGTGTACAATGTAGTGAACAATGACCACTTCCGCTGCATAGCGCGCTGAGCATCCCATTGCTTTTTAAGTTGCTAATCCCTTCCCACTTTGTGTACGTGATCTTCATTTTCTTTTTTTCTCTTCTTCCGTGGTTGGTCTCACCCTCAATTGGCTGTCTTGACATGCCACGAGGTGCAGAAATAAATAAACTGAACTCTGAAGCACTAATCATTGAGGTGTTACCATGGTACTAGTAGCTGAAACTTCCGATTAATTTGACAGCACAGCTCCACAGGTTGGATAGTTTCCACATGTTCACAGCTGTGCACAGCTAGCTGTGAACATGTGGAAACTATAACCAACCTGTGGAGCTAGCTCTGTGTAGGCCTTGACGGATTATGCTGGCATAATTTTCCGGATAATTCCTACCAAAATCGAATAATCGCACAATTCGAGGCAAACTGCATACGAATCGCATAAATTGGAATAATCCGGCTGTTCGCATCAAATTCCATCCAGTTGTACAATCATGTTCTACAAGTACAAGTAGATGCACCAGGAAGGCGTAGTAGGTTTACGACTCCCTTCATAACATGTCCAGCCCACTACAGTGACGGTCGTAGCTACATGTAGGTCGGACCGTGCGTTGACCCCGTTGAACTTTTGCCACGCCAACGCCCTCTACAAAAAAAGCTCTTGCGCTAGTCGTCAACTCGTCATGCATGTACATGTACACTGTAGCTACGTAGGTAGGGGGGGGGGGGGAGGGGAAGGCCCACTGTGACGAATTCCCCTGTTATTTTTGCACAGAACCATCATATACATGAGCAGCATATGTGAGCACAATGCGGCATGATAACTTTTAGCATAAAAATAGCATAATTCTGCAATTTTTTCAGCAATGCGAAAAGCATCACGAAAATGTTAGCATAATCTGTCAAGGCCTAGCTCTGTGCCTCCGTCATACAATCACACCTTACGTCTGTCACAGTCTGTGTCAACACAACTATTACTACATCACACACACACACACACACACACACACACACACACACACACACACACACACACACACACACACACACACACACACACACACACACACACACACACACACACACACACACACACACACACACACACACACACACACACACACACACACACACACACACACACACACACACACACACACACACACACACACACACACACACACACACACACACACACACACACACACACACACACACACACACACACACACACACACACACACACACACACACACACACACACACACACACACACACACACACACACACACACACACACACACACACACACACACACACACACACACACACACACACACACACACACACACACACACACACACACACACACACACACACACACACACACACACACACACACACACACACACACACACACACACACACACACACACACACACACACACACACACACACACACACACACACACACACACACACACACACACACACACACACACACACACACACACACACACACACACACACACACACACACACACACACACACACACACACACACACACACACACACACACACACACACACACACACACATGTGCGCAACCACAATCAGTCAGAATCCAGGACAATCATAAATATAATATATTCCTATACGCTTCGTGCTCAGCACGTGTTGTTTATAAGAAAATAACCTAAACTGGCTAAAGATAGTGAAACTATGCAGAAAAAACCATAACATGCAGCTACACACCGCCACACACACAGGCACAGATGCAGGGCAGAGATCAGACTACTAAGGCAGAAGGAAGAAACTTGTAGAAAGAAGAGGTCAGATTGCTGCTGCTGGAAAGCTAGTGTACAGAACCTAAAACGGAACACAACTTCATGACAGCAATGTCCGAGTCTATTAGCAAGCAACTGTACTCGCATAATACAATGAATTGAGCAGTAAGGGGCAGTAGGGGGCAGTAAGGGGTAGTATGGTACAGGGCATGATGACGGGTGCAACTCTAGGGGTAGAAAGACTACGTTCACACCAAATCTCAATTCACCATAAAAATTAATTATAAGCATAAGTGTACCAGAAGCGGACCTGGCTCACAGTTCTCAAGGTGTATGAATACCAGAATATAGCATAACAGATTATAGCATAATAGCAACAATAAATGGAGATTCCACGCTGAGGTGCGGTGCATTGTATAATTATATCTTGGTCAAGTCTAAACGTTCACTTTGACTTTTCAGTTATCAGCTTTGCCTTCCTCACCTCCTCCTGTTCTTCACGAAGGTATTCATCAAACACTTTCTGGCGCTCTACCAAACATGAAAAAAGAGAGAAAATGAACAGCATGTGAACCGCATGTTCATGTGAAGTTCTCGCTCATGCCAATTATTTCAGTACAATGTATGCGTGTGGTTGACGAATACTCGTACAGTACATTATTGTTTGGAGTAGAAAAGAGAGACAACAGTAGCTTGGGGAGGTTTATTGGTGACTACATGATTGCACCACTACAAGCAATGGTAACAACAGCAGCAGCAGCAGCAGCAGCAGCAGCAGCAGCAGCAGCAGTACCAGCAGCAGCAGCAGCAGTACCAGCAGCAGCACCAGATGATGATAACATCACAAAGGAGCAACATGGACTGGCCAAAACTGGAGAGATTTCTAGTCCTGAAATGAATAATTATGGGTTTTGGTTTACCGAATGTAACCTATATGTAACCTATAAACACTGTCCAAACAGTATTTATTACAATCATCGTGATGTTATCGTGATGTCATCGTGATGTCATCGTGATGTCATCGTGATGTCATCGTGATGTTATCGTGATGTTATCGTGATGTTGATGAACATTCAAACATGCACACATAACCATAGGTGTCTGATATCCTCACGCTGACTCAAGTCTCTCTTCAAACCACTCTTCACTGTGTTGACAGAGAAGAGAGACTTGAGACTCAGAGTGTGCCACTGCTATGGGATTAGCAAACAGCCATGCATGCGTGTACAATCCATCATCCTGCTTCAAGTATAACGTTATTGAGAGATTCTGCTTCACGTGAAACGTAGAAAAATTACTTCCTCCGTATACAAAAACTTCGGGACTTTTTTCGGAAGGCTGCGCACAGCTCTGGAATTGTTCCGTTTGACTTGGAATAACACTCGTGGCATTGTATAACCTGTTTACAAGCTATATACAAAGAAAAAAGCAACTCAGACGAATGAGATTGAGTTTTTACAGTCTTCGCGCTCGTGTCATTGTCACCTGACGACGCTGACTCCACATCGCCAACAGTCGCCGCTTCAGCTCGCATTTCGTTCAGATTCTTGTCAGCTGCGGTGATGATCCGACGCTGGACTTTGGCTACGTCCTCATCTCGATCCAGAGCTGTGTACGAATGGGTGTCGACTATATTCAGTCGTTCCAACCCGTGACCTCCATTATGCCGTGAAACGAGTCGCTCAAGCACATCCACACGCTTCGCATTTCCTCGGCAGGATACTCCTCCCAGCATTCTACAACGGCTTCGAGGAGGTCCCAGTGTCTGCTCTAGGATTGTAGGACAGCTGGGTACACGTGTACCTGGCGCAACCATTTCAACCGGGTCGGAGCCGGGTACACATGTACCTGGCGCAACCATTTCAACCGGGTCGGAGCCGGGTACACATGTACCTGGCGGCGCTGTCTCACCAGCCGAGTAACATGCTTTAAACGGGAACTAGGCCCAATGATATAAAGGCGAATGGATAAGCAGCATTTAGAAAAGAGAGGACAGGAATTAGAAAATTACGAAAGAAGAAGAAGTATCTGACACATACAAGCAAGAGTATGTACTCTTGATACAAGCCATGTTGTCAGTCCTTTCAAAGTTCGAAAGTCTAAAGTACCAACCGGGACCCGGTACTATGTTTTCAACCGGGTCCAAGCGCCGCCCAACCGGGTGGATTACCCGGCTCACCCGGCGCTGGAGCAGACACTGGGTCCCTGAGATTCCCCTTGGCGATAAAGGAGACGTCTGGCGAAGAAAGTCAGGTCGTCGACATTCCGATCCGGAATCTGAGCTGGTTGCACGACGACTGAAAATGAAATGTTTCATCTTGCCGTGCGAGCGGCACCCATTGTATGTTCTCACGCTGCGTATGGGGCCCGCGCACAGCAAGTACGAGCCTGGCCAGCTTTGGCAGCGAGTGCTGCGTGACTTCGTGTTCCAGGCTTCCAGCCACGAGCTCCACTTCGTCACTGTGTCAGTTTCGAGCAAGTAAGTGTTAGGTTTTTTTTCATTTGACTCGTGCGTTCCTGTCGGCAACGTCCTCACACGCATGGCTTCCTTGGAGAATCTGTTCGGGATCAACCAAACTACATACCTCGACATGAATGTGGGTTGTCGATGACAGCTTTTGGCGCGGTTCGTTGAGCAGGTTCTTGCTCAAAAGCACCTTTGAAAAAAGTCACGAAGTTTTTGTATACGGAGGAAGTACGAACAGAGCAGGTGTCTGGTATTGACTCTATGGCTTCGCGTGTTTGAGTCCATGCATGTCAACTTGGTGGTGTCCAATGACAGCGACCTGGTCAGCAGCTTGGTATGTTGCTCAAGAAGCCACTCAAGCTTTTTCTTGACAGCACCAAAACACTAGCTGCCCAGCACGAAAACACCAGTGCCGAGGTCGCTGCGAAAGTGTCACTGCAGTGGGATCGAGTGCACCCGCCATTTCTAAACCACCATTTTGCTTGCGTACCGCCTTTCGGCTGATGTGCCCACTTCTCCCATATTTAGGTGAACCTAATAAAATAAATTGACTCCAAACGCAAACGTTTCCGGGTGAAAAGCGGCCTGTGTTCGCAAATCAAGCACTAAAACCGGCGAAAAAGTAGTTTCCCAGTTACCGTACTCGTGCGATTAGTGCCCCTGGGGCACTATCTTTTCAATGTCCATCAAAGATGGGGCAGTATTCAAGAGAGGGCACTATTTTTTCATTGCTGGTACATTTGCGTCATCCAGCATAAAACAAAGAAAAACAGAGCCTAAAGTGTACTGTAAACGCTCACAACTCCACAGAAACAGGAACAAGACCTGCGATTTTGTTCCTGAAAACACCAGTGCAAAGCAATGGCCAAGAACATTAGCAAAAGAACATCAAACTTGCACATGGGCTTGGTTACAAGACCGGGGGGGGGGGGGGGGGGGGGGCACTATTCAAGAGAGGGCTCTGGCTCTTGGAGACTAGGGCACTATTCGAGATAGGGCACTATTCAAGAGAGGGCTCTAATCGCGCGAGTACGGTAACAACATGTGACCTCAGCAATTCAAAAACAAATCTTCATTCTGTGAAGTCTTGTTTTAAAAGTCCTCGGCAGCTTACAAGTTCAGGTTATGTTGTTGGTTGACAGCATGTAACAAGGTAACAACATGTTTGAACAAAACAAGGTTTATCTAATAAGCAGAATGGTTAGTAGCAGAATGGACTTACTTTCCCAGAGCGCAGGCCATTCACAATGAAGCTTGAACCAAAATGCCACGTATCCAACGATAAACAATGTCACTCCATACATGTAGAGGGCACGACATACAATGGTATGAGTGGGACTGGAGAAACAATAGAGGAACATACACAAAAATACAAACATACACATACACCCACACACACCCACACACATGCCACATACACACAACAGAATGTATCTATGAATTAGGTGACAAAGACCGACCACTATTCCAATTTCGGGCGTTCTTTTTACCATCTTGGAAGGTGCCCAGAGCTTCAAAATTTGGCCCATAGATCACTCATTTAGTGGACAGTTCAAAGCCATCAAAACCTCATTTTCGCCAAATATCACCTTACCCTGGTTTTTGCTGCCCATGCCTCTCACATTACAATAGTATACAATCACAAACCACAGTTACCATTGACTTGCAAAAGTACTCAACCCACAAAGAGGAGCCTGCAACTCTAATCAGCATCCACCATGTTGTCTGATGATTGGCCCAATTGCCATGAAACTCAAGAGTTACAACAACACAAAGTTTCCTACCATTGTGAACAAGTGTTACTACACACCGTCACGCATAGCTGACCTCTTGCCCGGACATCAACGTTTTGGCCACCTCCACCTACCAGGCAGCTTTTCAGTCCCAACAAGATACGGAGTAGCAGCATGCTTAAACCCAGTGAGCACGAGGTATCTCCAGCTGGCGCATTTCTAACTTGCAAGTGGTTCAAGAAAACCAAGGCACATGCAAAAGTTTGCTGGAGTGCTGCCTACTCAGCTCACAAGTAGCCAAGATCATCGATGTTGAATATATCATGGGTGCAAAAATACAACAATGTTTTCCACCACCTCTCCACTGCCGGGCCAAGGCATCATCTTCACTACTACCAACGTTTTCATATTTATTCGCACTCCTGTTTCACCCCACCTGGGCTCATCCGAGATGCTAAGACAATGATGCAAAGTACTCGCACTGCCAAAGATATCTGCAATGTCTACAGTAGTTCTATGATGTACAATGTTTAGGCAATCACCAGTGATCTCCTTAGTCCCGCATGGTTAGGGTCACCGCCTCTCATGATCACTGATGATCTGATGATACGGCTGACTGGACATTTTGGGAGTATACTGGTGTTGTAATACATACTAAGAGTAAGACAGTCTTGTTGAACATCTCACACTGGTGTTGTGATACAAAATGAGTCTTGTTGAACACCACACACTTCCTATTCTGGTGTAGTAATACAATGTCATACTACTATTGTCTTGCTGAACATCTCACACTTCACTTACACATTCTGCCCTTCTTTGACAAACAGCGGTTTGAGAAGGAGAGTCAGCCAGCGAGGACGCTCAACATATTCATTCGCAGCATGATTTTCTCTCTGGCCGTGCAAGGAGCGACGAGCAGAGTTACGAGATACAGCTTGCAGGCCAGGCCTTGCTGCCATCCGTAGACCTCGAAGTAAACTGGCCATAGTGGACTAAATCTGTTGCTGGGTAAAGTAATTGCAGCTCACTCACTGTACAAAGCAGACTCGATCTTTCTACCTTGACTCCAGAAAAATTTAAATGGTCAAGTTATTTTATACAGATCAAAAACACCCTGCATGCATGCGCATATGTACTGACGTCATGACGTGATCTGTTCGACGTTCATCGATCAAAAAATGGTGACTTTCGTTCTGATATTGCGCAAATTTTACGTAGCTAGATCTGCGCTAGCGCATAATCGATCATTATCAGTGAATCATCATGACGCGGACAAACAGTGGATGACGCAATATCTCAACTCCCACGTCAGTGACGTCACACGTGTCGTTGCCTGATGAGTGATGAGTGATGACTTGACTTGACTTGTTGAGTTCTGTGACTTCTGTCCGGGCCCGGGCCGGGGAGTAGGGCTAGGGCCAGGGGACTGCAGGTAAGGGAGCTACTCCCTGGTATAAACCAGGGAGTAGTATTGTATTATACTCCCTGGTATAAACGGGGTTTATGAGTCTATTGACTCCCGATCCCTGCCCCTACCCGGGCTGGTTCTGTCTTCTCCCACGTAGCGTGATCCGGTGATCGGACCCAGGAAAACAAAAGCGCAGCACCGCAGCTCAGTGGGCCCTACCTCACAGTGGCCTGGCGTCAGGCGCGTGAACCAAAAATTTGATAATAATAATAATAATAATAATAACTGCGGTGGGGGAGGAGTCGAGAAGAGGAGATAAACACTGCCCTCATTATCAATACTTGAAATTATTCATGACCATAATCATACCATAAATGCATAATCATGCCGAGCTAACGGCAGGTCTCTAGCCGGGTCACCCAGCTTCCCTACGGTAAGCCACGCCCACGGGCAGGGTAACCAACCTTGAGTCTCTTCCTAACTAACTTACCGTATTATCTCTACTAGATATAAGCACAGTCTCCAATAACAGCACGTCTCCAATAATAGAACACCTTGGGGTGGCATTCAAAAAATAAAACGGACTTGCATGTGAACAACTCACAACTGTAATTCTGGATGGAATGGACACGTTTATACCATCTAAGACCCTGACAGTACGGACGACAGACCCTTGTTGGTGGACACCTGAGTGCAGCACTGTAGTTCAAGCAAAGACTCGTGCATGGAAACGGTGGCGTCAGCACCCCGATGATGGAGATTTGCGAGCTTCATTCATCGACCTAGTGGCCCGAACAGCTGCTATTTTGCTGCGCGCCCAATCATCACATGATGCTCGTGTCAAAGCTAAGCTCAGCTCAGGCTCACTTAACGACAAGCAATGGTGGTCCAACATGAAGAGAGCTGCTGGGATGGAACGTGCCTCTGAGATACCTCTGCTGAAGGACACCGACGGCACAGAGTATCCAACTCGCCAAGCCAAGGCCAATTGCCTCGCCAGGTACTACTCCCAGAAGTGTAGCCTTGCAGATGATGACATCTCTCCAGACGATCTGCCAGAAATGCAGCATTTGGACCGCCATGGTCTTGACCGCATCCATTTCCGGCTTGCTGATGTACGCCGCCGTCTAGCCAAGCTGAATACATCGAAGGCAACAGGACCGGACAATATTCCAGCAAGAGTCCTAGCTCAGTGTTCCAGTGAGCTTGCAGAACCAGTCACCAAACTGTTCTCACTCTGCTTTCGCCACGGTGTTCAACCTACCAAATGGAAGCTGGCCCATGTGGTTCCAGTCTTCAAGAAGAGCCCCCGCTCGGATCCCAAGAATTACCGGCCAGTCTCACTACTATCCATCCTCTCAAAAGTAATGGAGAGTATAGTAAACAAGCAGCTCGTGAATTATCTGGAGCGTTTCAATATTCTGCCCGACAGTCAATATGGCTTTCGGCAAGGAAGAGGCACGTGCGACATCCTCACTGCTTTGCACACTGAGTGGGTCAAGACTATCAGCGATGGAGGGTATGCTCACATGGTGGCGGTGGACATAGCAGGAGCATTTGATCGGGTATCACACTCTGGACTGATTTTCAAAGCCAAGAACGTTGGCATTGGTGGCTGCCTGCTGCACTGGCTGCAGGATTACCTCCTGAACCGCAAACTATCAGTCCTGGTCCACGGCGACTCATCCTCCCCGGCGCCCATAACAGCAGGTGTGCCCCAAGGCAGTATCCTTGGCCCGACACTTTTCCTCTTGTATGTGTCTGACCTGGATCAGTGCCTGTCTCCCGAGACGCGACTAAGTTCCTTTGCAGACGACACAACCCTCTACAGCCTCATCCGCACGCAGGACAATATGAATGACATGACTGCCGCCTTGCAATCCAGCCTCAAGCGTCTTGAAGAGTGGGGAGAACGCTGGCGCATCAGATTCGAGCCCTCTAAATCGCAACAGCTGCTGATGACTACGAAAGCCACACACCCTGCTGTCCCTGACATGAAGTTTGGAGGTATCGCGGTTCCGGAAGCCAACACCATCAAGCTTCTTGGAGTGACATTTGACGCCAAGCTGTCATTCCGGGATCACTTGCACTCAATTGCTACACGTGGCTGCCAGAGACTGGGTGTTCTCCGTCGGGCTTGCCGGGTGTTAGATTACCAGGGCCGGCTTTGTGCGTACAAGGGATTTGTGCGACCCATCCTCGAGTATGCTCCCCTTGTGTGGATGGGAGCTGCATCCAGCCACCTCGCCCGACTCGACCGTGTACAGAAACGTGCAATGGCCATTATTGGCCCTGGTGCCCTTCTCCAAAGCCTGTGCCACCGCCGGATTGTATCTGGGCTGGTATACCTGTACAAGCTCCAGTGCATCCCAGGACCACCCCAGCTCACCGCCATGATCCCCCCTCCAGCCAACCATGTAGAAGCTCGGCGCACCCGGAGTCAACCCCCTCCTGGCCAGCAGCACCATGTGCAGCTGCAGCAAGTCCTGGACAGGAGAGCACCTGCCTATGCTTCTCGCTCCTTCCCGTTTTCTGTAGTCTCAGTATGGAACAGCTTGCCAAGCGAAATTGTAAGGGCTCCACTCAGCTTGAAGCGGCTCCACACGTTCAAAGTAGATGTCCATAAGTACCTCACGCACCAACACTGGCTGATGGCTACCGACTTCTACGGATGAACTCTTGACTGTGGCACGGGCCATGTTCCTTGGTTCGGCTATGCTGATGATATTGGGCTTCATTTACCTTTTATTTAATTTTTTATTATTAATTTATTATTTAGTTTGTCTTGTTTGTTATGATTTCTTGGTTTTCCACCCGGCTTAGTTATAATTTAAATTATTATTTGGTGCAGCTTTAGCGCTATGAGGTTTATTATTTTCCTTTTTCTTAATTTCGTATTTAGCGCTTTTGGGCGTCATTATTTTCTTCTCATTATTTCGCACCAAGTTATTATTTTGTGGCATTCTCTAGCTTCTGTTTGTTTCGCAGTTGTTCTTGTGCAACCCCCCCCCCCCCCCCCCACACACACACACACATTTTTCGATGCCTAGTTGCAACGCTGACGCCGAGACCTCTGGTCGGTTGAGTTGCTCCCAGCACATCAGCACGTCGTCCCTACATCCCCTATGTTTTGTCCTTTTCCTCGTTTATTTTGTTCTCCACCTGTTTTCCAGTAGGGCTGTGTCAAAAGTAAAAAAAAAAAGAAAAAAAAAAAAAAAAAAGTGCTCAGTCTCCATTATAAGCACACAGAGCTCACTGACTTGTCAGTTTGAGCACTCTGGCAAGGTACGTTCGGGCCTGATTGGAAATTTTTATTTCCATCAGGTTCGGCCTCATTTCCTCTGTGCTGCGCTGATGAGTTCAAAAAGAACGAAACAGCATGCTGTCCGCAGATTGAGTAACCACACTGTGTAAATTCACTATCTGTACCGGCGAAAAACCACTGAAATGTGTGTGTCTGACATGAATTTGGCATGGCAACATGCCTCTGAAATGAGGTTGAAATAATAATGGAACAGTCTCCAATAAAGGAACGTCTCCATTAATAGCACGGGGCGGAGGTACATTGAAAAAATAAAGGACCGTGCTTATATTAGAGGTAATGCGGTACGTCCCCTTCCCCTCACTTCCTTTCTCCCCTTTTTCACGTGGTTTCCTGCCTTGGCATCAGCATTTTCCATTTTTTTACTTTCGTCAGTTTACTACAAGGCCACTCACTGAGCATAAGCGAAATCATCAATCATTTAGATTGATGATGACACAAAATGCAAACTTGTAATCAAACTTAAATTGTACATGTACATGTATATGTACGGCTCGACGATTGGCGGAGCAGTAACTAAACATTTATAGGACTGGAGTATTTGGGTATGATCTTCCAGTGTCGCCGCTCTGAAAATATCGAATTTGCGGTAATTATTATCAAGTTCACTCCAGAGTGGGTGACTTCTCCCAGCGGCATACTAGTATTTTGGTACAATGTAACAGGTCGGCAGGGAAATTCCCTTACTGGGCAAAAGAACTGACATGCAGGCAGTGTACTGACATCCGTAGACTCCGGCGGCGCGGCGACAATGCCCCCCCCCCCCCCTCCAGGTGACTAACAGTACAGAAAGCAGCTGTGTGCTCAGGCAAACCCTGCCTGAGTTGGACAATCTCAATCATAGTACCGTGACGTGCGGCATGCAGCACATCCCGGGACTGTGACATCAGCTCACGTCACTAGCCGCGCTTGACTCAAATTATCTGGTGATTTCTCAGCTCATCGAAAAATAGAACATTTGACTTGAATCCTGCCTGGAGAGGTGGAGGTTTGCTAAATTGGACAACCAATGGAATGTTGCATTCCTCCACCATGATTGGTTATGATAGTTTACCTGGCAAAATAATTATGATAGCAACATAATCCACGCACTGGTATAGAAACGGATACTTTCAGAAAAAATATGAATAAAAGAATTGACAAATTGTCCAGAGTCACGTTATCAAGTTTTGCAATCCAAAGTCCAAAGTCGAAGTTCAAAATACAGTTCTCAGATTGTTATCTGATCACGGTTGACCAGAATTATCCGCTCATGATCAGATGATTATCATTGAACTGTACCGTAGGCCAGTTGCAATTGAAGGCAGAGCAACTCAGTGCCCGGCATAGTGTACTACCCGTGTTGCCGGTGGATCAAAATAACCGTGTCCGCCTCAGTGTGCCGGATTGAAGGAGAAATATCCATATTTGGTGAGATCAATCTTCCGCTCCACTAGCCATAGGGATGGCAACACACGTACACATCAGGCAAGATGGATCATACTACACACAATTGGACTGTTAGGTTCTTGGTTAGATGGACTATTCGCAACGTAAACATGACTCAAGTTACTGGTTGCCTTGGATATTCTGTACATGCTAATTGTCCTTGTACTGATACCGCGTAAGTGCGGATACACTAGGCCCTTGTTTCTTCTGTGGAGCTGACGCTATTAACACGGTCTGCTGCACAGCGTCGTCCTGTCATGTGCTCCGCACCCGGAGACGAGTTCAGTGGGTCTTTCAAGGACAGCCTTCCAAGGTGACCTGCTACATTGTTCAGGCTTTCAATGGACGTGTCTGCATACTTCACGTGATGTTGCCCTGCTGGCATCACTACCACTGCTGCACTGTACTGTGCTGGGCTTAGAAGTGCTGATGGTGGTGTGTTGCTGGAGTATGTCGCTGTAGCACTCATTGAAACCATAGGTGACGCGTGTGTTGATGTTATAGCTGGAGTCCTGCCGCTTGATGATGGTGATGGCGATGTTCTTGCGGATTGGTGAGAGCCAGAAGCTGTTACACTCACTTCTATAGTGGATTGCTGCAAATCGTCCGAATCAGTCTCTTGACGGTGCGGGTCAGGCTTGGATGTCACATCTTCTGTTTGTGGCTGCAAAATGCCTGGAGCTTCAGCATCTGCTTCAGCATCCGTGTCTTGGTCAATGGCAGGTTGTGTTCTGTGGTGAGCTACAACCTTGGCTACTCCTCTGGGTAACGATGCATGCGGCTTGTAGGCAGCATATTGATGTGGAGCATGCACAGCTGCAGATGGTGTATGTGTGGATGACCAGTGCATGCCAGTACTAGTAGCAGGTACCGTGCCATGCTGCGGCATCACCGGTGCATTATACACCATTCCTGGTCGCTGAACACTCGGCGATGTTAGAATACCGGCTGGATTTCCAAAGCTAGGTGTACGAGAATGGAGAGGTGAGGTGAACGCTGGCTGTAGAGCTGCGGCTTGGTAAGGATGTAGGTGGTGACCCGGGTAATGTGCTGGTGGGCGTGGTGCGACATTCACAAGATGTGGAGGCTGTTGCTGAGCAAGTATTGTCGGCTGCTGGTGCAGTGTTGAGGGTGCAATGGGCCCGGCTACGGGATTAAGTAGGTTTCCCTGGCTGTTCATCAACGGTGATTGAGACTGACCTGGTACAATGTGACCTGCATGACCTGCATGACCTGCATGACCAGTGTGACCAGCCATAGCCGCATAATCAGACATGACTGCAACAGGTTCTGTCAGGACTTGTCCAGCTTGACCAACTTGAGTGTAGGGCACCTGCATTAACCCTGCCCCATTGCTAGCTAACGCTGTTGCAGCTGTTGCAGGATACACTGTTGGGGCATGCTGCTGTTGCTGCATTTGCTGAGGAGGCACTGCTTGCAATGTTGCACCGTACCTACCAGTGGATAGGACTAGAGGTGGAGCATTGAGTGGAGGACCAGCTGCGCTGTGTGGCATGCCTGTAACACTAGACATGTACTGCTCGGGGTCAGCACCCGGTGAATAGCCTCCAGCAGTTTGTATAGGACACAGCAATGTCATGGAGATGTTGGTTGGAAGGTTCTGCATGAGATGCGGCGGTAGTATCTTGTGGGAGCGGTAGAATTGCTCATCGTATGTTGTAGCATGGATGAACCGACATGTTCCTAGCGGACGAAAGCAATTGCTCCTTTGGAAGTCTCTACAGAAGATGAGTCGTCCAATGTCCTCACCACGTCCCATTAGTTCTGCGACTGTTGCATGCTCATAGCGACAATTGGCCCGATCACATGACCCGTGAAGGTAGTCACGGCAATACCTTGGGTCGATGTGTCTGGACACGGGTAACAAGAATGAAAACAACCCACAGAAATCATGATATACATCAGTTCAGCATCCCAGTACATGGTCCAATCTGATGCATGATGCAGCTTTCCAGTACATGGTCCAATCTAGGCGCCAGTGTGAGACCGTACACACTCCACACTCCACCTTAAATTAATCCAGATACATGTACTACTGTACAGTCAGACCTCGCTTAACCGTACACGTCCGTTTCCACAAAAAATATCCGGATCGGCGAGGGAACCGGATAACTGAACACCGGTTATATTGGATGCATCACGTATGTTGTAAATCTGCAACCAGCTACTTTCTTCCGGTTTGCGAGGGATCCGGATAAAAGAGGACCAGATAAGCGAGGTCTGACTGTACAATCGTCATGTAACAGTATCTAAAGTATGCCGGATTATCCATCACAGGTTCTTGTATGGACCATGCAAGTGCATGAGAGCTGAATCAAGCAACCATGCAATCTTAACACAAACAACTCAGGGAGCCCAGTTTGGTTTGCTGCTGATTTGTGCCCATCCTACCTCCACTGTATGAATTGGGTCTCTCCCGGCTCACCGTCTTGTGGGCAACTTAACTAGTCCTCTCTCCAAGTGTAAACCATCCCGTCTCCTCTCCCCCCCCCCCCCCCCCATCTAACCTCTATTAACTGCATGCTTAGCAGGGCTGAAAACTTCAGCCCTCACCATCGTCTACACGGATTTCAAAAGCGTCGACCTCCATTTTGAAAACATGGTGGCTGGCCACTCTACCCGTAGGCGCACGTGCCCCCCGCGTGTCTTAGCGCGAGCTTCGAGCTACAGATCATGTCGCCCACTCATTTTCCTATGTTTCCCTATTTCTTCGAACTCGCAGCTTTTGCTTCGCTCGTGCTTCAGCTCCACGCTGTAGTCTGAGTTTAGTTCTCTTTTCTTCTTCCAGCAGAATACTGCAAACTCTACAGCGCGTCGAGCTTCTCCTGGAAGAGTTTCTTTTGCGTCGAGACAGACTATCGATCGTTTCAGTCCTATCTTGCCGTCGTCTCATGAGCGCCCGAAAGCAACAGTATCTATTTTCTTGTCGTTCCATTTTCTGGGGAACTCATTCACCTACTCCTTCTTCCTTTATGAAAGCTTCAGGTGGCTGAGTTCTCCCACTAGCCACAATCATGCCTTGGAAAAGAACAGGATATTCCTAAGGTATGTACAGCCAGTGCAGTGATGTCAGTGTACTACACTGCAAAAAGCACCTGCATGCACTCCGCGTAGTTGTTGTTTGTTTTGTCGAGAAAGAATCCCTTTCGCACTCGTGCGGGCCGTGAGGGCGCAGCACGGAAACGGGTCTATTGAATTCATTTCTTGGTCGATTTTGACAACCAATACGTCGTTGTTTTTCTTTTTTCACTGGCTATCCTTTCTCCGCTTCCGAATTGCGATGCCGTCCACCTGGAAAGCCTTGAAGTGAAACGAGTGGAGGCCGGTTTCGGAGGTAATTTTCGGACAAACGGCAATCAAATTGAAAAATTCGAAGCGGACGATCTGTTGGTATCTATCGAAAGAAGACGTTGGTCCATAAAAAATCTTTGGAAACTACACCGTATGAACCAAGGAATTACGGTAAGTTTGAGAATTTTGGTACATAAGCTTCACGCTGATTGGTCGATTAGCGCGACCGTTGACAAACGGGCCAGTGACGCTTTGTACAGCGTTGGTGAGGGCTGAACTTCCAGGGAAGCTAAAGTCTCTCGGTCTCTTCACTACCCTTGTCTATGGGAAGCCATGGCAGTGACAGCTTCCAAAACGGCTGATTCACGGAAGAGTGCGTGATTGCTCCACTAGCAGCTCCGTAGATTTTAATACTAAGTTTTAATTAACTTAGTTGGTTTCTTGTGATCAGACTCAACACCAATACACCATGGTATTTTCGCCAAGAAAACTTGTTTACTTACATCTAGGTCATGTGGACTTCCACATGCCGGGCTGAGATCCAACATGCATACAAATGGGACATGCACATGATCTTCCTGCCATTCGGTTTTGAAGGGCAGATCATAGTCTCATATTGGAGTCACTATGGCCAGGTCTGGTACTATTCACTATGGCCAGGTCTGGTACTATTCACTATGGCCAGGTCTGGTACTATTCACTATGGCCAGGTCTGGTACTATTCACTATGGCCAGGTCTGGTACTATTCACTACGGCCAGGTCTGGTACTATTCACTATGGCCAGGTCTGGTACTATTTGCATACAGTTCATGACCTTTTTACACGGAGCTAATATTACTTGTACTGAAGTACACTGTGTGTGGTTGAAGTGGCCTTGCCCCGGGCCTTAAAAACCTGAGGAACAAATGGTGGCAAGATTACGCATAGGTCCAATTGGACGGAGCGGGTCCATGCCATGTCATAGAGTGGTTCTGAGGGAGTACTTTCCGCAGTTCGGCCATCTAGATTTTCGCTTTTCGTGGTGCCACCTCGCAGCATCCACCACTCTAATGCAAGGAATGCACCTATGTCAAGTTGATGAGCCAACACCTTACCAAATCAACAATAATAGGAAGCAATGAAGTTGGCTAAGTTCTTGCTTACAAAACCACACGTCATAATCAAAATAGATCAATATTTAACTTTAAAAATTAAAAAATAAAGTAAATTATCGTGTCCGTTCCCGAAGGGAACTCCCGACGGCCGCTAACACCCGATAAACCCTAGGGCTTAACTTTAAAAAAAGTAAAAAATAGCTCAAAACTCGGCTTGAAATCATAAAATTTAGGATCTAGACTTGATTTATACTGTGGCAAAAGAGAAAGGACCAGGGAACTACAAGTGACGCTATAATGTCCACTAACACCACCAGTTACTAAACAATAAGCTCATGCGATAACATTGCACGACACTGAACGACCAAGATGTGCTAGAGCTGTTAGCCAGTTAGTTGTAGAACGTCAGTACCGTCGGTCAGTGTCGTGCAATGTTATCGCATGAGCTGATTGTTTAGTAACTGGTGGTGTTAGTGGACAGTACCGTATTTTCCGGGGTATAAGCCGCACTTTTTTTCGCTAAAAATCGGACCAAAATCGCCCCTGCGGCTTATACACCGAATATGCTTGCGCGAATGAATGCTTAGCATACATCAGTATGCATGCTGACGTCATGTGACATGTCATTCGACTCAGCTTCGCGCCTGTGTTGCTGATCAACATCAGTGGCAGCGAGACTGAAGATAGTGCAGATGACATGGAGTGATCTGTAGTCAACACAGCAATACACCAACATCTCTGCAGCAACCTGTGGTGCACTAACACTTCATAATCTGATCTAACATGGTATTTAGCTCCATAACCATAATAAATTTGTGGAAAGGCCATTGTCAATGAGTGTGAAAAATCTTGGTTTGTGGGTGCGGCTTATACTCCGAATACCAACTTTTAGTCAATATTTCGCCTCAAAGAGGGGGGTGCGGCTTATACCCCGGTGCGGCTTATACCCCGGAAAATACGGTATAGCGTAACTTGTAGTTCCTTGGTCCTTTCTCTTTCGTATAAATTAAATCTTGGCTCTCCATCCGGATCTAGACTTGCTTCTAGTTACCCATCCTAATTTGCAGTGGCCAGGCACAAGGGGTACATGGATGCTGCTAATGGGGTTTCTCAGCACTTGTGCCAGTGGTTGTGAGACTTATCCACTCACCCCACCGTTAGGCGCTGCATCTGCCACTAGGGTTTACTGGGTGTTAGCAGCCGTCGTGAGTTGCCTCCGGGAACGGACATGATAATTTACTTTTTTATCCTAATTTTGAAATGCTCCATCACTCCACGCTGTGCGCTCCGAGGAGCTCTCAATGAGAGAAACGGCTGTCTGGAAGATATGCAACATCTACCCAAGAACGAATTTCCTCGCTGTGTGGTGTTGTGAATGTGGGCCAAGAGCGCAGTGTGGACTGGTGGAGTGTTTCAAAATTTCAAATGGCCAACTACATCGCAACCTCTACGTCCTAATTTTTGTAAAATTGTTACTTGGCTAAAATCTACTTGAAGTAACTCTTTGACCTTTGACTTTTCCCACCTCAAACATGGCACAGAAGAACTGCACAGGTCACCGTAATGATGTAGGATGCACAGTTGTTTTCACCTACTTCGCCTATATCTTATCCTGATAACATACGGTGACATATTTCGAGTGTTCTTTCTGTTGTGTCATGTACTGACATAAGGAAGTGGTTTATTTTACAGACAGATGAGTGTAGATATAGTGAAGAGTCAGGGAGGCCATGCCCAGCAGAGCATGGTATCGTGCGTAGCACGGGGGTAGTGCGAGGTCACGTACTGTCTATACATGGCGACAGACAGGGGAAGGACTATGCCGTGAATGGGTGAAAGGATAACATGATACAGGATAGGACACTTTCAGGATTGATTTCCGTCACAACCACCCCCCCCCCCCCACACACACACACATGTACACACAGAACAAGTTTTGATAGTTCTGATAATTCGAAACTTGAACCGGGCACGAATGCCTGGCTAGAGGTCCCACAAAAGTTTAATAAGAAATTACAGTAGTACATGTAGTAGTCACGGCAGTAATGTGTCCGTTCACCCACTGACTGATGACTGGTCACTGCATATGGCAGTAATGTGTCCGTTCACCCACTGACTGATGACTGGTCACTGCATATGGCAGTAATGTGTCCGTTCACCCACTGACTGATGACTGTACTGGTCACTGCATATGGCAGTAATGTGTCCGTTCACCCACTGACCCACTGACTGTACTGGTCACTGCATACGGCAGTAATGTGTCCGTTCACCCACTGACCCACTGACTGTACTGGTCACTGCATACGGCAGTAATGTGTCCGTTCACCCACTGACTGTACTGGTCACTGCATATGGCAGTAATGTGTCCGTTCACCCACTGACTGATGACTGTACTGGTCACTGCATAGTGCATACGGCAGTAATGTGTCCGTTCACCCACTGACTGATGACTGTACTGGTCACTGCATACGGCAGTAATGTGTCCGTTCACCCACTGACTGTACTGGTCAGTGCATACGTGTACTGGTCAGTGCATACGGCACAAAACCTGTGTCCATAGACCATAGTGCATAGTGCACATCACGACTCGGTGTAACAATGCAAGCATGTCTGGCATACGGTATCATGTTGTAGGTAGTAGTACCGTCACTAGGTACACGTTTTGGGTAATAGGAATTACTCCGGATACTAGTAATAAGAGTTTTAAGGTTTGAGATTTGACTTTAATATATAAATAATCATGATTCCACTTGTATACCTAAAGACAGGAACATGTCTAAGAGGTTGCCACTATGTTGGATGAATGGGAGTCCAAAAGGTGACATCAGGTCGTTGACAACTTCCCACAAACAGTCCTAGTGTCCCGCAACACATGGTGTATTGCAGTGACAATTGAATTTTACAATGCACTTGTGCAAAGCCGAAAAGTAGATACCTCACGCGAAGTACCCAGATCAAAGGCTAGTCGCCTTTCTCCTTTCTGGACATGAGTCTGCTAGCTTTGTTCTCCTTTCTGCAGCGCAGAGTAGAGCAGTGGATTGCAGGACATTGCAATCACCAATTGTTCAGTTGTGCGAGTCCTCGCACCGTTGTATCCCTTTTCCTGATCAGCCAGGACGATACCGGGATGTGCGGGTAAAGCTTCCTGACCGTGAGAGGTGATTCTTAGCGCTGTATCCTTTGAATTTTCTCTTTTTATGAGGCGCCGAAAGGTGCTGAGGAACGCGAGAATTCAAGGCTCATCAGAATTCTGAAATAATTTTGCCCAGTTCATCGAAGCTCCTTTGCTTCACCCTCTAAAACTGGGGAGACGAGTCATAGCCACATCAGCATTGCACTGAGATCTCAGCAAGAGGCACCCAGAAAAGCTAATTCAGTATTCTACCAAACCATTGATTCACCCACCATGATGAATCCGCAGATTACTGCTAGACAAGTGATGAGCAAAGAGATGCTTTAAAACGGTGTGTTCGTACCTAGAACTTTTTTTGGCGTGCATTGTCAGGTATGTGTGATGGGATCACTTCAAACACTATGTATTGTAGCAGCACATAGTCATACGGTCTAGTTCATTCTCTACACAGACATGTTTACTTTTGGACAAAGGAAAACATGGCCCAGGAAAACTTATGATAGGCCACCACATCAAATTGTCACTGAACTGTGAGCTAGGTTGCCGTAGTTACAGAAGTCAAAGCGATCACAAACGGAAATGGGTGGCATGACCTTCCCGTGAGGTCAGGTCAGTAAAAGTCAATGAATGTAACACTACAGTAAAACTTTCACTACTGTCACTGTCAGTGCAGCTAGCTGTATGCGTGCTCAACACTATCACACCATGTACACCATGTACACCATGTACACCATGTACACCATGTACACCATATGCAGCATTGAGTACATACACTGTACACTGTACAGATTGGTGTACATAAAAAAATAAAAAAATTCACGGTTCGCGTGAGACTCGGCTGGAAGCCGAGTTTTCCGCATCCGCCGTGGGAACGCCACCACCCTCTAGGATCAAAGGCGCAGATGCAGCGGTGTACATACACTGTACAGATTGGTGTACATACATGTACATGTACATAGAGCATTACATACATGTGTACATGTGTACATAGAGCAGTACATGTACATGTACATAGAGCAGTACATGTACATGTACATAGAGCAGTACATGATACACTGCTGTGACAGGACTCAGTTGTTATCCGGTTCAAAGTATGCAACACATAACCAGAATAGCACTGTGACCTGACAAGACATGGACCACATTGCTCTCCAGGTCATGTGATATGACCTCACACCCAGTACACAACATGGCAATCAGTCCTGCCCACGCCAACAGTGAACACATGGCAATCACGTGAACAATTATTATAGTCACCTCGTGTATTTCACCATTTACTATACGGGGGATGGGGACCCGTACTTATGCATGCACGCACGCGGTGTTGTGGTTGGGGATACTGCATAGCATGGCACTGCTCCACATTCCCTGATAATGATTACAGGCACTGTGCTCTGTGCTCTGTGCTAGGATTCATTGTGTTCACATTGCAGAGCAGTCCTGAACAGGAAACCAGGTTGCACTGCCAGCTAACAAACACTGAATGGATATTATGCCTGGGAGAGTGTGGGGTAGTTGCTTCCCGCCTTGGTAGAATGTTACTCATGTTAGCTACAGTACCTCTACCTGACTACCACTGCGTGTGCCTGATGCTGCTGATAGTGATCCCACTACTGCATGCCAGTAGTACTGCCAGTATCAGGCCTTGGCTCAACCTACACTAGTACTCACTAGGCATAGCTAGGCATAAAAAAGAACTACATAGCACCAGAGGACTATCACAGTATCCCAGTATCACAGTATCACAGTACCTACTTGTATCAGCGCGCCGCAGTCAGTAAGACCCTTCGACGCTACTGGTGCTGCGTGTGTTGGCTGTTGCATGAGGCAACTAACGTTACTTACTACACTGACACAAACCCAACAACTCACAACTACTCACAATTACACCACAGGAAACACCGTGAACCAACACAACAGGCACGGTTACTCAACAGTAAACAACACACCAGGCCGCACACATTAATTTTCTAGTAGCGATCATGGAAAGCCGGATCAGAACTACTACAGTACAAGAAGAAGCAGCAGCGACCGTGCGCGTTCTATCCCATTTCCTGGTTCGGAGTCCAGCGAAATTAAAATATGCATTACACAAGTGGCGTCACAACTGGCCGCGGAGCTGGAGAACCTCAACACGCATTTACCGCGAACGCAGAGGGGATCCTCCAGTGTGCCACGTGTGCGTGTGAACACCGAAAACAAAGTCCAGAACTCAAACAATTTCTTCTAGTACCCTTCACTTTCATTGTGTCCCTGTCCTCTGCCTTGGGACAGCACACTGTGCACTGGGAACATATCGGGAATGAAGCGGAAATTTATTTCCAGAGTCAACACGGACTTCTCAACCTCGTGTCTGCGTGATACGATAATATTTCGGAAGAAACATATGCGACGCTAGACGCAGACTAATAACAGAAAGACACGCGCAGCACGCAAAACACCATGACCGGATGAGTCCAGTATTGTAACTAAAGTGTACTTACGACATTGTGATCTTGTTAGTCTGGGACGGACAGTGATGGCAGCGTACTGCTGGATGGATGAACAATGATAAACGGCAGGCTACATTCACATATCATCCATTGCATCTACTTGCTCAAGGCTTATCTAAACTAGCAAGCAGTAACTATCAGTAACGACTACCGTTCAATACATCAACCCACAACAACTACCCGTACACAGCGAAATGAACGAACTGCATCTTCCCCCAAACAAACGCCTCGTCTCCGTGAATGCGCTCCAGGAAATGGACAGCCTGTCGAGGTCCAAGTGTCAAGAAATGGGAGAAAAAGTTACGTCCGCTGCTGGCTAGCTGACGTCTCTCAACACAGCATACACCTGAACTGGTAAGGGGAAGTTCGGGGTATGTGACATCCCGGTGTATGACGTCAGACTTGGCTGTCAGGCCAAGTCAGCCATGCCCATGCCATGGTCAGCAGTAGATCTACAGACTACAGACAGACTCTGGCACTACTGGCACTAGCACTGAACACTGCCAGTGCCACTGGACAGCAGAGTGGCATACACTACTACAGTACAGTCATGTACATGACTGTACTACTACTACTAGGGATCGAGAAGTGGCACAGTCACACAGCCTCACTCTGGCCCTGTTCAGACTCGGAGTGTGATATGAGCGGCCCCGCACACACCACTCACAAGTGCACGTTGGCATGTTGCACAGTGCGGTCACTGCGCACAAGAATGTCAAGATGTCCTGAGTTGCATCATTCTACTCTTCACCACACCACTGTCACCAGTGCGCAAAACAAAAATCAGAACAGCATCGGATCGCGGAGTGAGGCTCGTAGTCGTAGCATGAGCACTCAGTCAAACTAGAGTCAGTAGAGAGCATGCAGAGCAGCAGCGTAGTAACGTAACTATTTACTTACGTAAGTAAGGAATTAGTTAGTTGGTAGTACTTGGTACTAGTGACAGTCCCAGTGTCATCGCGTGTGTCATTGTGTGAGGAAAGCTAGCCACGCATTTCACCTGACAACTCCTCTGTAGTATAGTACGGACCATTGACAAGTCAGTAGTCGAAGAAGAAGTCTTCACATTTCACATAACTGTGTTGATCAACACCGGACAGCAAACAACCACAGCCTGTCTAGGTGCCCCTATGCCTAAGCTAAGGACTAGCAAGCCCATCCAAGCAGCTGTCAGGTCGCATAGCAGTACCTCAGACTCAGTTCTCTTCGCGACTGAGACTTGCGAGCAAGCCTGTTCTCATGGACTACACGTGGTGCAGTACCAGTGCAAGACTTTACTGTTGAACTGAGTGTTTAAAGACCGTCGCGAACGGCACTCAGTGACTCGTTGTACCAATACAGTAAAACTAGACTATGGAGCCCAGTACGCCCAGTGCAATGCAATAAGAGAGAACACAAAGGCAGTGCAGCGTTACAACAATAATCTAGCCGGTAGTCTCTGCTCTCTTCTGCCTTTGTGGTATTGCTCCATCCTTGTGGTGTTGAGCACCCTACAGTGCATTTCAAAACTATAGACGCGTAGGGTTTTTGAAATATTTCAAATTTGGCTGGAACTTTTTGAGAATAGTTTTCGGAATATTGCTCAGGACCGCTCCACAATTACTCTCATATAGTTTCTAAAGGATTGGATAACAGACGCCCAATTTGGAAAAATTTATGCACAAAGTGATCACAGATTTTATGTGGTATAGATGCTGGCATATCGGTTTTTGCCTAGGTACGCGTCTATAGTTTTGAAATGGACTGTAGACAATCTGTGAATTCTCGCGCTATTGTAATAAGAGAGAACATTGTACAATGCCATGATGCCTGATGACTGATGTGCACACTTTAGCACTGACTAAGTAACAACACTACGACACACATGCACTGTCCCACACTTTGGAGTTCCGTTCACTGCAATGAGTTCAGTTCAGCTGGCCTCATTTTCTATTAGGGGCCGTCCGTAAATATCGATGTTTTTTTAGAGACGATATTGGTGCTTCTCTCCCTTGACCCCCCCCCCCCCCCCCTCCCCCCAGAAGACGCACATGTACATTATTATTATTATTATTATTATTATCAAATTTTTGACATCTAGATCATGGAATCAATATTTTTGGATGCTCATTTTTTCAAATCCTTGTTCAGACAGTGAAGACTGGAAACTCTTGTGGAGTTCGTCCGTGTTTGTTCGCACTGCCTCTACGTCTTGAAAAAGGTCTCCTGCAGGCATCGTTCGGCCGATTTCCACAATCAATAGCTCATTCTTTTGCTCTTGAAATTCGCCATGGGCCTACAGCTTCCAATTTTTGATTTTGTTCTTGTGTCGCGAGTTTTAGCTCCGCGAACGGAAGCTGGTTTCACATTTCTTGTATAGCCATTTAGACGTCCGCGTGCAGGGATCGGCGAAACTTCAGATATTTACATCGATATTTTTCTGATGCTCGAAAAGACGCACATGGCTCAAACCCCCTCCCCCCCCCCCCCCAGACGCACCAATATCGTCTCTAAAAAAACATCGATATTTACGGACGGCCCCTAATACTTCAAAATATTCAACGGTTTGTCGGTTGACATTTTTTGAGGATTCGCAAACTCCATTGCATGCAGCATGCAGACAGCTAAACGAAACTCCATTGCATGCAGCATGCAGCCAGCTAAACGTCAGCCATGGTACATGTAATGACCTCTCATGTTTATTGGCAGTCTTCGGACGGGCCAGGAGATGTTGAATAAATAAATAAATAAATAAATAAATAAATAAATGATGTATTACCGTATTATTATTATTATGTGCATTTTCGCGTTGAAGTCGACCGATAGGTCCACTTCTTCGCTTGTGCTAGACAACGAAGGCAGGAGGATAACAAATGATACGCTGTGAGAAAAAATCAAACGATCATTGTATCAGAACCAAAACAGCACGAATCAGAAGAAAAGGGGCAAAGGAGCCGCAGAAGTATAAAGTCAGTGGTGGGTGAACAATGCAGTAGAGAGCATTGAGTGATGGTGTGGTGGATCAGCAACAAAGGCACCATCCAAACATACAAGGTTACATGTACTTGTACGTTGAGAAGAAGACAGATATTGCAGTGTCATCCGTCCCTTACATGTATAATAGTGCTATTTGTGGTCTCCTTTTTGCAACAAATACGTCAGTAGCTACATGTACAAATGTAGATACATGTATTGAGATTAGGGAGTCAAGAGAAAGAGTGATGGTGATGGTGCCGCTGCTGCTAAGTTCTAACCCTCCCTAGATTCCAACCATCGCCCGTTCCAACCCTCCCTAGGTTCTAACCCTCTCCCGTTCCAACCCTCCCTAGGTTCTAACCCTCTCCCGTTCCAACCAGGGAGTAGTACAATACCCTGGTTCCAACCCTCCCTAGGTTCTAACTCTCTCCCGTTCCAACCCTCCCTAGGTTCTAACCCTCTCCCGTTCCAACCCTCCCTAGATTCTAACCCTCCCCCGTTCCAACCCTCCCTAGGTTCTAACTCTCTCCCGTTCCAACCAGGGAGTAGTACAATACCCTGGTTACAACCCTCCCTAGGTTCTAACCCTCCCCCGTTCCAACCCTCCCTAGGTTCTAACCCTCTCCCGTTCCAACCAGGGAGTAGTACAATACCCTGGTTCCAACCCTCCCTAGGTTCTAACTCTCTCCCGTTCCAACCCTCCCTAGGTTCTAACCCTCTCCCGTTCCAACCCTCCCTAGGTTCTAACCCTCCCCCGTTCCAACCCTCCCTGGCCTACATGTAGGTTCTAACCTTCCCCAGATTCCGACCCTCCCAAGATTCCGACTCTCCTCGACACTCACATGGAGCGTACTGGAGTGGACTCTATCGGTATGCAAATGCTCATTCAGCTCGGTGGGTGGGGGGGGGGGGGGGGGGGGGGCACTGAGTAGGCTCAATCATACTATCAGTATCAATACATTATAATCAGGGAGTCGTCAAATACCGTATTTGACGACTCCCTGATTATCACACTCATGATTGCTATGCGACTATCGCCGATAGCTTATTGGCTATGAGCGATACATTAATTAATTTGATGCTTTTCGCTTCGTGTAGACTAGTAGACCTCACTGAGATCCAGTTCGACCATTCACTCTGAGCTCGGCTGATGAGACCTGAAAAGACCTCCAAGTATGAATACTATGATTGTGATTCCCTGCACTTTCCCAGACCAGCTCATGCAATGACGTGCAAGTGATCACTTATAGACCATGAACTTACAGTCATGTACATATATGCACTTCGCAAAACGTACAATGATTATGTGCAGTAACCAGGTAACTGTTATAAAGCTGCAGTTAACACCCTGCAGCTTTGCTGCTTACCGGTATACCCTGGCGGGTGTGGTGAAATTGCCACGTATTACATGTACATGTACATGTACAATGTCATGTAGATGTATGTTAGATGTAGATGTATGTCCACAGATACAGATCACTGTGTGCAGTGGCATTGTACATTGTACTTCATCTGCTCTTCATGATACGGAAAGCCTGTTTTAGGGGCAAACAAACTACACAATTTGCCATGGTGGAGGATTAGATGATGTCGTGACACACATGAAAACTGTGCAAGGATACACATACACACACGCACACACACACACACACACACACACACACACACACACACACACACACACACACACACACACACACACACACACACACACACACACACACACACACACACACACACACACACACACACACTCATAATCTATGTTGTCCTTGCTATACAGTATACTCGGTGCACTTCACAATGCTTGTGCATACTTACAAAATACTGACTGTCTGTACATGCCCACTAACAGCAGATTCCACTCATCTTAATATTATCAGTCCGTAGCTAGGTTCTGGAAAGCTGCGAGGATTAAAAAAAACCCACATCATATCCTTGCAGCTAACTACATGTACATGTAGTACTTCTGTGTTCTGGCCTTGCCGCAGAGTATCACCTGCGTCATAGCCGCTGGCGTGGTCGCTGTTCGGCGCCCGCTCCGGAATGTGAACATTGCACATGTGCTCGACTACTAATCGGGCATGCAGCTCACAGGGTTTGTGATTCAGGTCAGACCAGCGCAGGACACCAGTCAGTCGCTCAGTGAGTGTGACAGTAGGCAAGTTAGTAAGGCCTGCCTGGTTAAGTTTAACACTAACTAATTCGACCTAATACTTCGTTTCGAAGACACTTGAAGGACTATTGAACATGATGAAAGGGATTCTGAAAAACACGGAAGAGCACTGAGACTCTACACCGAGTACTCGCCGCGTCAACCAAACCCTTGGCTCATACTCATAATGAGTCATAGACTACACCATGCAGTCTGTCAAATGTGACTGCGGCGACTCAGCGTTTACATTCACTGTATTAAAATGACATTTGATGTACTCTTGACACTCTAACATCATGCATGATGACTGCAATGCATAACACATTGATAGAGTCGCTTTGTAAATGTAAGTGCATAGTAAGTTAGTTGGCAGCGGTCAGTGGGACTGCATGGGACTATATGACCCGGGTACCGGGTGTATGGTCATGGGTTACCGGTCAGTCTGCTATGCATGACGTCCTTGGTTTCAGCAAGAGAGCATAAGCTGCATCACCATGAAAACCCGGGGTTATCATTATGACATCATTATGACATACCGTTGTACTCTTGGTATCAGTCTGTTCTACTCTGCCTGCCTCTCTGGTCACTCGTATCTGCTGTCACACGCTCCGGCCCTACTGCAGGATCCCACTATGGCCATGCAGTGCAAGCCACCAAGTGCAGTGTTGACGCATGATCCCTCTTCACTTCAGCCGTCAACACACACTGTCACATACACATAATCTACTGCTTCATCATGCAGTGCATACAGTCATACCACCGTAATACCATCGGTCATGCACATATGCACAGGGCATTGCTCTCGGTAACAGCAGAATGCTGCAGATGCACTATTTGACGCCCAATGAGAAAGGCCGTATCCACCCGAAGCTAAGAAGAGTAAGACATTATTATTCAGAGTCCGTTGATCAGTCTCAGGCCTGGGCTACACACTAAGTCACACTCCCAGCTCACGCAATGCATTGCCAGAGGTACCGGTAATGTTAGCCATTGGAATGCAGCTTCAGCTGGTCGCTGCAGTGTCACATGCAGCACGTCGCCTGTATTACAATGCCATTTTAGTGTAAAGATTACATAAGACATCACCACCTGCGGATGGCGAATGATACAGTCAGTATATACACACGCACACATGCACACACACACACACACACACGCACACACACACACACGCACACACGCACACACACACACACACGCACGCACACAGCATGTATGTATCTTCTGCAAGGGTCTCTAGCTCATAGAATCAAAATAAGAAAATAGAAGACGGCATAGCCTATAATCAAGAAAACTAACTAAATCAACTGAAAGGAAATACCTAAGTAATAAAACTCCTGGCAAATCAGGAATGCCGATCAGAACAAAAGTATATTCGTCGCTACTAGTACTCAATTCAACCAGCAACGCAAAAGCAGCAGCAGCAGCAAAAAATGAATCTACACGTAAATCAACAGGTTAGCTTGTCTGTACACATACGTGCATGCAGGTCACAGCCTGTACAGCCTGTGAAATAATAATGTTAATCACACACTGGTAAATATTCCATAAAATTATATTATGTACACACTATGCACTATGACTATAGTGAGTAGACAGCACCTACTTAGATATGCTACTCTACGTGTAGATATACTACTCTACGTGTAGATGTACTACTCTACGTCATTGTCACAGTGTAAGTCATCGTCTACATCACACTGCATAGTCACCATGGAAACACATAACTTGTAGACAAAGTAACTTAGTACTAGAACTGACAATCATACCGGATGATTTTTTTATTGAAAAAGGATCACATGCACAGGTTAAAAACGAGTAAAGAGATGCTTACACTGCTACAGTATACTACTACCGAGTGTATGAAACAAATACTACAATGAACAACAAGGATACACAATCTTACAGAAGTGCACATGGCGAGGGGGAATACCCGATTACCGTCCTCTCAGTGAGCACACATGACAGCAATGCAGTAGCCAGTACCAAGCTCAGCGACACAACATGGCGCACATATACACATACAGACAAGTCTACAAAAGTACAAAACATTCACTTGTCCGGTATATCCGAAAACAAGAAGAACAGGAAATCAAGTAACGCCATTCCTGGACATACATAGTACATACATAGTACATACTCAGCCTGACTACAATACGGGTACAATACGGGTACAATACGGGTACACTACGGGTACAATACGGGTACAAGACACACCACACAAACATAACCCATAATCTTACAAAACAATATTACCAGGCAAAGCCCTCAACAAGAAATGATTCGGAACACTTCACCGTCAAATAGGCTGCACATTATTATACGATTTATACCACTTCCCTAAACTGCCGGACTTGCAACAGTTTACATCATATCTCTTGCCACAATTACCTTCATGATCTCGTTGGTGCCTTCGAGTATGCGATGGACGCGTGTATCTCTCATGAACTGCTGTACAGGGTAATCTAGTAGATAGCCATATCCGCCAAACAACTGTAGTGAGCGATCACAGATCTGGAAGCACTTCTCAGTGGCAAAGAGCTTAGCCATAGAACAGAGAGCCACATGACACGCTTGCTCCGTGTCGAGACCATGTGCTGCCTGACGTACCAACAATCGGCTAGCAACCAGGTCAGTCGCCATGGACGCCAATTCAAACTGGATGTTTTGCAGTTCAATAAGGGGCTTGCCAAACGCTTCGCGTATCTTCACGTGATCCCGCGCCAGCTCCAGTGATCGCTGCGCTGCACCGAGAGAGCACGATGCTATGTTGAGCCGACCTCCATTCAATCCACGCATGGCAATGCTAAATCCTTGACCTTCGTCACCGATGCGGTTCGTGACAGGTACCCGGCAGTCTTCAAATATCACTGCACGTGTTGGCTGGCTGTTCCATCCCACTTTTCTTTCCTTCTTGCCAAAGCTAAGGCCTGGCGAGCCCTTGTCCACAGCAAGGCATGTAATACCCTTAGCACCGGCATCGAGCTGGCCAGTTCGTACCATCACTAAGTACACATCGCTGTCACCTCCACCACTAATGAATGCCTTTGTTCCATTCAGTACGTACTCATCCCCTTTACGTACAGCTGTAGTCTTCAGTGCAGCCGCATCACTACCAGCACAGGGTTCTGTCAGGCAATACGATGCAAACCGGTCCATGCTCACTAAGTCTTTCAGCAAACCAGCATGCTGCTCGCGGTCTCCAAATGTGTCCACCATCCAAGCACACATATTGTGAATACTCAGGTAAGCTGTTGTGCTCGTGCAGCCTGCGGACAAAGCCTCGAAGATCACTGAAGCATCAACACGTGAAAGGCCCGAGCCACCACCTTCCGCACTGACATATACACCACCAAAGCCTAGTTCAGCTGACTTCTTCAATACGTCTTTCGGAAATATTTCTTTTTCATCCCAGTCATTTCTCCCTGGGTCCAGCTCATTGCGAGAGAAGTCAGTTGCCATTTCTTGTATTGCCAATTGGTCAGAAGTTAACCCAAGGGCAGGATCCACGCACTTCCCTGCGACTTCATGAGAAAATGGTCTGATTCCGAAAACAGCATTCTGCAGATTAGTATTGGCAACAGCCTTGACAGCTCCTCTGCCGGCACAGAGGTGAACCTTGGCTAATTTGGATAACATGGCCTAGTTCGAAAACTACCCACCAGCCAAAGAGGAGAAATAGAACGGGTTAGAAGATCGCTTGTGACTCAATCAATGCAGGTCAGCTTTGAGTCGTTGGGTATCGATCGATTGAACTGAATGAGAAAAAAACTTTAAAAAAGTAACAAGGAAGAATCACAAACAAAATTAAATTTTGAAGGCTGCTGAATGACGTCGTTACTGTTCGACTGCACTTTTGACTACACGTACATGTACGTCACGACGTGTCCATGTCAACGCTGAATGGCGTAGGTACGCTATTTATGTGTACCGCGTCCCATTTTGCTATGCTGTCAAAATTTTAATTATCACAAGATTTACCTACCCAAGCTCAAGAAGAAGAAGGCAAGTCTCAGCTGTACAAAGTTACAAACCACCAGATCGCGGAGGGATGTTTTGTGCTCGTTAATTTGTAGTAGTATTTATGGAGTTTAGTGTGTCGCCATCCATATTGTTGGCAGTTTCTTGATCGCTTGAAAGGCGACAGGCAGATATCTACTGAGTACTGTGGTGAAATCCTTTTTTTTTTTTAAATCTTCTGTGAAGTGCAATGGCTGTTCCTACTCCTAGCTCGAGATGGCAACGTGTTTACTTACTGGGTGATTCTCTTACGCAGCAATCCTTCTCTTTGGGTGGATGGGGTGCAAGGCTGGCTGATGGTTATCAGCGGCAGTTTGATGTGATCAACCGTGGTTTCAGTGGTTACACCAGCGCATATGTGGCTGGCATTTTGCCACGTTTGGCTGAGGAGGATCAGTTACTGCTTCGTGGAGATGTGGCTGCAGCCGTGGTTACGCTAGGATGCAATGATGCTGTTCTGGAAGTAGATCCTAGGCACATTCCAGTCGATCAATATATACATCACATGCGTACGATTTCTGCACAGCTTGTTGAAGCTGGAGTTCCTGTTGAAAAGCAAGTGTTCGTTGGAACGCCACCCGTGGCCGAAGCCAAATGGGCAGACCACTGCAAGTCCTTGGGAAGGGAAATGAACTTATCCAACGATAACACTCGCCTCTACTCGGAAGCACTGTCCAAGTTGGCAGCGGAAATCGGCGTTGCACGCTTTGTAGAACTGCACAGTGCGGTGCAGCGTGTGGATGACTGGCAGAATCTACTCAGCGATGGCCTACATCTCTCTCCAAGTGGAAACGAATTTGTGGCGGAGAAGATAGCACAAGCACTTGTTGGAGTCTTGCCTGCTGCGCAGCCTGCGTACCCTCTTTGGGATGCTATTGACCCGAAGAATCCTCCTCGACTGGATAAAGCTTGACGTCAGCTGTCAGCTATGAACAATACGCGTATCAACGTGCTTCTTGTATTACCTATTGATCAAGAAGCAATGCAGCGGCACAGGGGTAGGAGTCACGTGCATGTGTTGCAAAACGGGCCATACCGTCTTGTTTCCGTGATAGGAATCTTGCTCTTCTGTGTTTCCCCACCACTCATATATTTTCTTCGACAATCAAGTGTTTTATTGTGTGCAGTTTTAATATGTTTTATTAGAGAGGTTCCGCACTACGAAAAGTTGAGCAACTTTACGTTAGTGGGCGGGGAAAACCCGTGAATTCGCGAGTTTGCACTCCACTTACGGAAAGTTGTCTACGTAGAGTACGTAGATAGGGCTCTGATAACGTAGCTGGTCCGTAAGTGGATTGGGTACAAATTTATGACTCTCTCCCCAGGTCGATCTGGTCGTACACTGCCGCGTTTGGAGTTGCCAAGGGCAGCTACGTGATTTGAAAACTGTGTATGGCGGAACACAGATGCGCATGCAGTTTACGTAAGACTTTCCGTAGATAGACTACGTTTTTTACTAACGTAATTACGTTATGCGGAACCTCTCTAATGTGTGCAGTGTTAATTCTTGACAATGACTGTGGTTGTGTTCAATACAGTTTTCTTTTATCATACTAACATTTTAAATGTAGAAAGGAAAATGACATATGGATACGAGTTAAGAGTAACTCTCCATCACTGTAACTGGATACTATAATTATACAGTCAGAAAGTGCAATAACTAGGCACAAAACTGACAAGAGTACTGAGGCATTCGACGTCCTGACACCTAGCTTCAACACATCTCCGTAGCGCTAACCGACAGCCTTCCAACTTGGAAGGTTCAAGGTTATGGAAATACCAAAGAGGTGTCAGGACGTCGAATGCCTCAGTACTCTTATCAGTTTTGTGCCTAGTTATTGCACTTTCTGACTGTATATAGTATCCAGTTACAGTGATGGAGAGTTACTCTTAACTCGTATCCATATGTCCTTTTCCTTTCCACATTTATTTATAACATTTTAAGTAACTTATTGCTTACATAAAAAGCTGCTGGCAGCAAATGGCATTCATTACAAGGCCTTTTAGAGCAATATGTCATGAGTGGATTGTTTGTAGTGCACCTGGCATGAGTATTATTAGATCAGGGTAGTCGCATGGCGACATAGTACTGTTTTAAAGTATTTACTGACTGATCAGGTGGACTGATGCGATGCAGACTTGGGTTGCACCGGTCGCTCATGGTTTTAGATGAGCACCAGTTGGCTAAATAGTGCCGGGGTAAGTAGTGTAAATGTGCATGAGGGTCTTGAGCCCTGCAAGTTACTTACTGTAGTTCCGAGCAACGCCAAGAAAGCATACGTCGATAGTTTGCAATCGATAATCCTGTATACAAAGTTGGGAAAGTGGAATTTGTCATTTCGGCTTCTTTCATAAGTGGTCATGGGAGTGGCAGTGTATACCGTGAAGTCTTGTATAAAAGCCGCACTTGAATAGAAGCCGCAATTTTGGGCCCATCAAATCACACATAAGCCTGGTTTTAGTGTTGACATACATGGAAATACCTGTCTTGTATAGAAGCCTGTCTCATATAGAAGCCTGCAAAATTTCACCAAGAAAGTCATAGAAGCCGCGGCTTTTATACAAGACTTTACGGTACATGTAGCTGTGAATGCAGTCTTGTAATATCTCAGGCCAATCTGTGAATGCAGTCTTGCAATACTGTCCCTCCAGGAAATCGCGATTCCACGGATGCAACAAATTTCGCGATTTTCGCCCAAACCCGCGATTTTCAGCAAAATCCGGGATTTCCCGCGTTTTTGTTGTTTTCTGCACTATATCTCATTTTTTCTGCACTTTTCACGCAGTGCTTTCCATGATCCTGTAGGTTATTTGCACTCGTACTACTCCCGAGTAGATATACGATGCAACAAATTGTGTGATTTGGCCCAAATCTGCAATTTTCTGTAAATAATTCAGCGAATTCCTGGCAAGTTCTGCACTTTTCGTCGCATTTTTTGTTGTTTTCTGCCGCAATTTCTTGCGCAAGTTTTCGAGAGTTTTTTCCGCTAATTCCCGCAGGGACAGGCAATACCTCAGGCCAATCTGTGAATGCAGTCTTGCTACACCTCGGGCCAATCTGTGAATGCAGTCTTGCAATACCTCAGGCCCATCTGTGATATCAGTTATTACTAGCCTGTACTTGCATCACATGATCGAGTCTTGTCACTCCCGAGTCTGTACATATGGGTATCAGGCACATTACTTGAGGAACACATTTCATAAAGTAATTTTCGTTTTCGTTTTCACTCTCTCAACCCTCTTCTCAATTAAAAATAGGCAGTTTTCTGGCATTTTGTACATGTACTTCATTAGAACATAGCATGACACATACAAGTGCCACAGGGGTAGTATGTACGCAGCACATATACAAGCTCGACATACACTATCAATAATTATTTATCATTATAATTATTGTACAGCACACATGGTGTATTCTGCCGAGAGCCATGTACATGGCTCTCAGCAGAATACACCAGTACAAGTAATAGTTACACATCGTTCACAAGCAAACAGACCAGGCAGAGGCACACAGGACAGTGACCACCACCAGCAAACAGACCAGGCAGAGGCACACAGGACAGTGACCACCACACAAGCACACAAGCACACAAGCACACACACACACACACATACATACACACACAAGCACAAGAATACATTGTACTTGGTGAACTCTCTGGCAGCATCCATCAATATACCTAATAGTACAATGAAATCCTGTGCCCAAGTCTCAGCATAGTGAAAGCAGGGGAAATGGTTGAAAAATAAATATATTATGGGATTGAGGCTGCTCACAGAAACAGCAGACAGAACAGAAAATACTCACAGGCCACTTTGTGTGCAAGATCAAGTATGGCATTGGTACGTATGGTATAAACTTTAAAACATCAGAAAATAAATAGATGATGGCAGCGTTCTTATGAAGGGAAAGATTAGCAAGAAGGTAAGTTTGTTTTCAAAAAATGCGACTAAACAATAGTATGGCATTGGTAGAGGGATAAACACAGCAGATAAGGTGGAGGGAGAGGAAGAAAATATATTTACATGATTTTCTAGAAAGCATCATGGCACCATGTATCAGAGATGTGTACCCCTCTTTGGCACAACGATCAGCTATGGAGCTAGCATTTGTCCTGATCAGGAAAAACATATTCGACAGGTTTGGGGTGAGTCATGTGTGACTAGATGGCACACGGGCCACCGGGCTGCTTGACACGACGGAACAGTGCTGGCCAGTCTAGTCCTGGTCTTCTGGGCTAGTGGTAGTGGTGGCCATGGCTGTGCGTGCCAGTATAGGTACCTATACCACAGGTACACTCTTATCATGTACATCATAACGGTGCATACCGCCGTGTCTGTACACTCGGCAGGTGTGTATGTATACTCCATAAGTACATCCTGCGCCTGTACATTCTGTGTCTGTACACTCTGCGTCTGTACCTCTCGTGTCTGTACACGCCGTGTTTGTACATACCGTGTCTGTTCAGTCTGCACCTGTGCTTGATACGTATGTCTGCACAAGATAGTGACTAAGCATAGCAGTACACTCCACGGCATGGCGCGGTGCAGGGACATAGGCTAAGCCCATACTGCGACTGATGATGTTGATCATTGGTCCTGCTGAATAGCAGCAATGCTGACAGGATGTTGTGTGGTGTGCAACAGAGCTAGTCTGAGAGATCACACCTATACATGGTTGATGATGGATAGCAGCTGGGTTGAATTTGTAGGTATTCTTCTACAGTCGTACACACAGTCCAGTGCAGAACAGTCCAGCACAGTACAGTGCACGGATGATGGTATCAGTGTGCGAGCAGACACACTCACATTGTGTTCAGAAGCCTTGCATGGTCATCAGCAGCTACAAGTGGCATGTGCCACTGTTTGACTGCAGCTTGACAGATTGGACTTGCTCCCATCGAGCTGGCATTACGAGCCTTTCCTCATGAAGCTGCCAGTCCTCTTTGTAGACGTTGAAGATGAAGATGAAGATGCTCGCAAGTTTACAGACGAAGGTTTGCGCGGACGAAGACGGCCACCACCAGCACCACCAGCTGCAGCTGTTGGCGGTGCTTTAGAAGGACCTTTCTTGACCGTTGCCATTCTGCTTCGGTCCCAAGAGCGCTCCTTGCTATTTCCCTCCAAGCCCACTGCATCCAACACAATCACATGTTACAATATGTGTTACAATATCTTCCATACAGCGGTATTTTAAATCAGCCAGTTTGGGTGTGAGTGTGTGGTAAGCGTTGCCAGACTGTAGTTGACGCACTGCAGACAGTGCAGTGTATACCACACTCCACTACACACAGTAACACATGCACTGCAGTGTATACCACACTCCACTACAAACAGTAACTGCAGCCACATTCCACTGCAGACAGTAACAAAAATAAACTTACATTTGAGAGAGATCTGAACAGCTCGTCGGGCGTGTGACAGGTATGAGTTCATATCTAGAGTTGGCGGATAGGGAATCAACACAGACACAGTGACAGGGAAATACGAGAATCAGTAACGAAATCAGTGACTATCCACATGGCATGGGCGTAAAAACGAATGTGATTTAAAATGTGCAAAACGTTAATGATATGGCCTGAATAGGCTGTTGACAATAGGGTCAGAGAAAATAACCTTGCACTATTCACAGGAGCACGTTTGACATGGACGTTGCGTGCACATCTGAGTGCACACGTGGGCGTCAGCGTGTGTGTGTGTGTGTGTGTGTGCACAAGTACGTCGTTAGTTCTTACCTGCATCGTATTGATCAAGATGTGCTTGTTCTCTCTCGCGCTGGAAAGCATTCATCCACTCGTCTCTTTCAGTATCAGACCGACATTGTAACACGTACCATTTCGTCCTTGTGGCGTCTGTATAGCTGATCTTCCATGCGTGCTTCACACCTACGCAGTAATTTTACACCACACACATACACACACAGCATACACACAGCATACAATCAACTCTAACCCAGCACACGGGCATGTCTACACATACGTTACAGTGTTGGCATGGGTTTGCTTTCTCTCAATCAATCCTCACTGTACTTGAAGTTAAGAGACCACATTTTGAAGGATTAAAAAAAAAGATGAACCGGCTGTAGTGCTCTGCATACCCTGAAACACATTTCAGGGTATGCAGAGTGGTACGTTGATAATTATACTCATAAAAGAAACGCCAAACAAAAATACTAAAACAAACGGTGTGCACACAGAACTCGTCTACTTCAAGTACTTCTTTCAATGTTGACAGTGTGTAAGTCGGTATGTGGGCAGAACTGTTCAGCACCTTGGCGAACTGATCCGTCAGCATGTATCGTTGCGTTCTTTCCTCGTTGGCATGTGCGGGGCCTGGGCTAACCCAGGTCAGCATGAGGAAGCGGGGCAGGCCTCCAAAAAATTACACTGAAGAAGACAATGCCAGTGGCACCGAATGGAAGGGTTACTCGTATCCAAATGAAGATACATGTGCGTACTGAAAGGAATGAGCAGACTACGGGACAGGAAGTGACAACAAACGTGAATGGTAGGAAGCACGGAAGACCCCTCCGAAAGCCACAGACCAAGAAAAGGGAAGAATTGGGCACCGGACGAGGGACCCAACAGAGCGGTGGAAATGATGAGGCCGGACAGTCGACAAATCAGAAGTGGTTTGTCAAGTGTTATCTGTCAAGTAGTGGTGGCTGTCGTGATTTGTACAGAGAGAATATTTCCCCGTTGAGGCGCATAGCAGATCTGCATTACATTACATTACATTTGACTAATTTATAGGAAGTATTCAGAGCTTGTGTCCAAGTGCCGTCATGAAAACAAGTTCTATACTCTAACATCTCGAAGCGCTGCAACCTGTGTCTGGCCGAGAAGCTGGAGATTGCCTGGGCCGACAAGACCCGCTCCCTCAACAAGAGGTCAGAGCTTGTGTCCAAGTGCCGTCATGAAAACAAGTTCTATACTCTAACATCTCGAAGCGCTGCAACCTGTGTCTGGTCGAGAAGCTGGAGATTGCCTGGGCCGACAAGACCCGCTCCCTCAACAAGAGGTCAGAGCTTGTGTCCAAGTGCCGTCATGAAAACAAGTTCTATACTCTAACATCTCGAAGCGCTGCAACCTGTGTCTGGCCGAGAAGCTGGAGATAGCCTGGGCCGACAAGACCCGCTCCCTCAACAAGAGGTCAGAGCTTGTGTCCAAGTGCCGTCATGAAAACAAGTTCTACCTCTGTAACTTTGCGCGCAAGGTCAAGTGAATCTAGCTGGTAGTCCCGCTGCCAAGTGTGTGTGTGTGTGTGAGTGTGTGTGAGTGTGAGCGCGCATGTGTGTGTGTGTGTGTGTGTGTGTTTGTGTGCATTCGTGAGAAAGAGAGTGCGTGTGGGTGATTGGATAAGTGCGGGTGCAAGTACGTGTGCGGTAGGTGTGAGAATGAAAGGATGAGTATTGTGGCCGTGTGTGTGTCTGTGTGTGTGTGTGTGTGTGTGTGTGTGTGTGTGTGTGTGTGTGTGTGTGTGTGAGAGAGAGAGAGAGAGAGACAGAATGTTTGTGTGAGATTTGGAGAATGTGTGTGTGTATGTAAGATTTAGAGAATGTGTGTGTGAGATTTGGAGAATGCGTGTGTGTGTGTGTGTAAGATATAGAGAATGAATGTGTGTGTGCGTGTGCATGTGTGAGATATAGAGAATGAATGTGTGTGTGTGTGTGTGTGTGAGAGAGAGAGATTTAGAGAATGTGTGTGCGGAAGCGCGTGTGAGTGTATGTGAGAAAAGGGAGAGAGTGTGGGTGTATGTGTAGTGGTGTGGGCATGTGTGGATTTGGCATTTGTCCCCAGCTCTATTCTATATCATTAATTTTATGCCGGAACTACTGCTGCATAGCCCCAAGTCTGAAGACTTGGCAACTTCACGCCTGCACCTGACTCTTGCGCTATGATACGCGTCGCCTATGACACCCCTCGGAATTTCCCACCTTGCTCCCCCTTATGTTCTGGCTGCCCGTTTTGGATCTATCAGTTGCCTGATGATCGTAGAGATACGTGAAACTCGGAGTTGCGACAAAGCTTCCAAACTCTCTCTCTTGTATAGGAAGTATTGTTTATTTGTAAGTTGTCACCAAAGATGTGTGTTCAGAAGAAAACTGCTTCGTCAATTATTTGGCGTTAGTCCTCGTGAAAAAGTTAGGACTACTACTCGACGTTGATAATTATACTCATTATGCTTTAGTCATTAAAAAAAAGACTCATTTTTCACCTTACCAACGATGAGATGGAAATGAAAACTCTCGGGTGAAAATTGGCTCCAGAACCTATCTCCACTAGACTGTGTGGATTGCGTCGGTGCTAACTCTTCTTTCGAAACGGCAATAAACCTGATCCGTGTCCCTCTTGTCGGTAGTCTGTACTTTCCTGCGTCGAATTGTCAAGACAACAATACACTCATCAATTATACACGTACACGTACCTTCGTTATCATCAACCAGCATGATAGAGCAGTCTTCCAGGGGAAGTCTTCGTCGGAAGTGTAAACGTCTGCTGATTGTATCCTGCCATCACAGTATCCACAGAATACACAGAATACACAGAAGTACATTTAGTACATTTAGTGCATCCACAGTATAAGCAGAACAGTTTTTAGTGTCTACAAGAAGGTAAGCAGTTAGTCAACAACTCCACATTCTCCGATACGGTCTCAATGACCGAAAAAGCTGCCAGAAGGAATTATTTCAGTACATGTACTCGGAAGGAACCTCTTGTTGTTGTGAGAAGTGTGTGTGTGGTCGGCCTCATAAAACAACAGTGGTGTGTAGCCAATGTATGCATTCAGTGCGTTCACAGTATACTGTATAAGCAGAAATATTCGTCTGGAATAAAATTTCGTCTTTTTCGTCCAATGAGCTAGTAAATAATTAAATGCCGGACTGATGTCGATTTTTCCAGCTTTTCAATACACTCTTGTGATCCTCGGACGAAATTTTCAACCGGACGAACTCCCTTTCTTTGGAGTTGGGACGAAATTATTGACCGACGGCATTTTCTGCCTGTACAGTAGAGGGGACGGTTTCAAATAGGAAATAGGTTGCAAACTGGAATGGTTGCAATATTCTCTTTCTCTCTTGGTATTTTGATTAGAAAACATATGTCAGTGAAACTACGATGTGTTTTACTCCGAGCCAAAACTTCATGGCTCTGCGATGACCAGAAGCGCCATACCCAGCAGGTGAGTTTTTGACTTGTTGCTTCGCACTGCGACTTGAGTTTTACGTCTTTCGAAAAATCTGTACTGGCCGTCGTGGAGCGATAGCAATTACCCAATTTCAGAACTCAGAGTGAATTTGACGTGCACTCTAAAACCTTTCCGGTCTGGAGCCACCTCTGATTTGAGACGAAAAATTGGGCAACTTGGAGGCAACGGGCCAACACAAAGGAGTGGCTCAGTTCGATCGACTCTGGCCTCAGAGCAAACTTCAACATGCCAGTTTCCTTCCACAAACATATTTCGAGTGAACAATCCACGCTGATGATTGGTTTGGGTCTACACAATTTCGCTGTCAAACCGTTCTGGTATCGAACCGTCCCCTCTACAGTATACAGAGAGAAGTGAGGCGGAGGAGCAGACATGCCTGCTGATACCTTGTATAATGTGCCAGGTGTGCAGTGAATTCCTAAAGTCCATATACAGAATATCATGTACAGTGGACCCTTTATAATCCGCCAACATTCGTGTTACGGAAATTCTGCTGGATTAGGGAGGGTGCTGGATAAACAAATCTGATTTACTGCTGCAATGTGCATGAAGAGGACATTTTCGGCTACTCATTATTGTGCTTAATAGAGACGACTGTGCAACATACATGTACAAAGTATAGCAGTGTGCAACATACATACTAGTACAGTCAAATCTGCCGTTAGCGACCTCTGCTGTAGGCGACCATCTACCGTTAGCGACCGATTTTCCGTGCACCGACGGTTTCACATACAAACTGATCTGTCCAGAGCGACCATCTGCTGTGCGCGACCAGCGACCGCGATTTCATGCACGGTGGCTGCATTCAAATCTGCTGTAAGCGACCGCGACCCAGGTTCAGTAAGGTGCGAAACTGTACTTGCCAGTGCGCTGTCAACTGCAAAGTGTGAAAATGCGCTGTCTTGCAAGTGCGATCGACTGGCGCCTGGCCTGTACTGAGGCTGTGCTGTAGCTCTCAAGTCCAGGCAGTGTCGATCTACTGCCGTGTCGCATACGCGTACTATACGGGTATGGTCGTCGTTGAATATCCAATAAAATGATATTAAAAATCACATTATTCTCGTCGATTTGAGTACATGGAAGCATATACCTGGTATGCCGGATTTACCATACATGTACATCTGCCGTAAGAGACCATCTGCCGGAAGCGACCGCTTTTTCTTGCACCAAGGGGCGGTCGCTTACGACAGATTTGACTGTAGTTACACCGGTACATGTACTGCTACACTGCTAGGCTGTGATGATAGAATTCAACAACACTGCTAGGCTGTGAAGATGGAATTCAACAACACTGCTAGGCTGTGAAGATGGAATTCAACAACACTGCTAGGCTGTGAAGATGGAATTCAACAACACTGCTAGGCTGTGAAGATGGAATTCAACAACACTGCTAGGCTGTGAAGATGGAATTCAACAACACTGCTAGGCTGTGAAGATGGAATTCAACAACACTGCTAGGCTGTGAAGATGGAATTCAACAACACTGCTAGGCTGTGAAGATGGAATTCAACAACACTGCTAGGCTGTGAAGATGGAATTCAACAACACTGCTAGGCTGTGAAGATGGAATTCAACAACACTGCTAGGCTGTGAAGATGGAATTCAACAACACTGCTAGGCTGTGAAGATGGAATTCAACAACACTGCTAGGCTGTGAAGATGGAATTCAACAACACTGCTAGGCTGTGAAGATGGAATTCAACAACACTGCTAGGCTGTGAAGATGGAATTCAACAACACTGCTAGGCTGTGAAGATGGAATTCAACAACACTGCTAGGCTGTGAAGATGGAATTCAACAACACTGCTAGGCTGTGAAGATGGAATTCAACAACACTGCTAGGCTGTGAAGATGGAATTCAACAACACTGCTAGGCTGTGAAGATGGAATTCAACAACACTGCTAGGCTGTGAAGATGGAATTCAACAACACTGCTAGGCTGTGAAGATGGAATTCAACAACACTGCTAGGCTGTGAAGATGGAATTCAACAACACTGCTAGGCTGTGATGATAGAATTCAACAACACTGCTAGGCTGTGAAGATGGAATTCAACAACACTGCTAGGCTGTGAAGATGGAATTCAACAACACTGCCAGGGGCGGATCCAGAGATCTCTACAGGGGGGTTCCGGTTGAACCAAAATTGAACAGCCAAAATAATTATTATGGAATCAGATTGTTTTGAAGTTGTGCGGTTGACACTTGTAATTACGACAATCCGATTGTGTTAGTGGGAATCGCATGCTTTTAAAACACCCTACGAACATATATTTTTTCCATCATCGACCACACCACAACTGCGCTCTCCAGCCGGCCTCGACACGTTGCCACAGCACACCACCATCGCTGGAGAGCGCAGTTGTGGTGTGGTGGACGATGGAAAACCTGTACAGGGCCAAATGCTGCTGCTTACCCTACATTGTATATTATTTTGTACGGACACATAATCATATACATGTATGCAATCGACTGGCACACAGGCTCAGTGAGGGCTTGAAGACCCTTTCAACTTCTTGTTAATATGCAAGCCATGGGTACGTTGAGAGCCAGGAATGCCGAAATGACAACTAAGTTACTTTCCCTGTCCATTTGTACTTTCGGAAATGTTTGGCATTTTTACGTTGCGAAATGCTCTATAGTCACAGGACAAGAGCATCGTCTTCACTTCAGTGACAGAAACAACAACAGCGAAACAGTGCCGACAATTGTACAATCCTTCCAATGTCATCTAAAACACATCGCTGGCGCAGCACCCCGTTCCTGCGGAGGAACAATTAGTCACTACTGCATGCTGCAGCAGGTAGAGATTACTGACTTTGCTAGGATGTCGGAGCCCTCAATCTTGAGGAGCTTGAACGCTACGTGTACGATTCGAAGTTCGTTGAAGAGTGTCACCACTCGGAACATCCTTTCTCTTATGCAAAAAACTTGTCCAAGGAATACTGACCACACCACACCCATCCTGAGCAGCAGTGAATGACAGCGCCAATGGAGGTAAGTTTGGATCGTTTCGAAAGATCAAAAAGGAAACAACCACCCAATGTTGTCTACACTACAGTGTCCGTTTGTAAATCACGGAGGTGAACACCAATACAGACTACTACAGTATCGATCTACCGAACGCGCATGCAGTGCACTGTCTGTACTCCTTGACTCAGTGACTGCACTGCACTGTGATCGGACGGATGTCCTTTTGTGCACACATGATATTTTTCGATATTTCTCAGCAGCACACTTTGCCAAATTTAGGGGGTTCCATGGAACCCCCGGAACCCCCCCTGGATCCGCCACTGACTGCTAGGCTGTGAAGATGGAATTCAACAACACTGCTAGGCTGTGAAGATGGAATTCAACAACACTGCTAGGCTGTGAAGATGGAATTCAACAACACTGCTAGGCTGTGAAGATGGAATTCAACAACACTGCTAGGCTGTGAAGATGGAATTCAACAACACTGCTAGGCTGTGAAGATGGAATTCAACAACACTGCTAGGCTGTGAAGATGGAATTCAACAACACTGCTAGGCTGTGAAGATGGAATTCAACAACACTGCTAGGCTGTGAAGATGGAATTCAACAGCACTGCTAGGCTGTGAAGATGGAATTCAACAACACTGCTAGGCTGTGAAGATGGAATTCAACAACACTGCTAGGCTGTGAAGATGGAATTCAACAACACTGCTAGGCTGTGAAGATGGAATTCAACAACACTGCTAGGCTGTGAAGATGGAATTCAACAACACTGCTAGGCTGTGAAGATGGAATTCAACAACACTGCTAGGCTGTGAAGATGGAATTCAACAACACTGCTAGGCTGTGAAGATGGAATTCAACAACACTGCTAGGCTGTGAAGATGGAATTCAACAACACTGCTAAGCTGTGAAGATGGAATTCAACAACACTGCAATCATAACGGTTACTAACTATTTTCTTTGCTAGGCATAATCAAGTTGTACCTTTTTACACCAAATGAGCTGGTTGTCCAGGAGGAAGAGATGACGTGGCTGACTTGGACCTTTAGTGATTCGGTTCACAACTCCATCATAGACTACCATAGTACTGTCTGTTAGCACATCGGGTCCCTGAACATGTGTCAGCACACAAACACGCACGCCCACCCACACACAACCATACATCCACACCACACAGGTAACAGATAGTTTGATGGTTGCTAAGACCAGGTACTAGTAACAGGTATCTGATGATCGCTAAGAGAATCTCACACTCAGAGTCCCTCATCCTGCTGATTGTCACAGACCAAACAAGTTGGGCTCGAGGGGTTTCAGGCCAGTAAGTACAGTGTCAATGCACAGAAAGCACACTATCACATACACAGTCGCCAACAGTATTCTTACATCCCAGTCCAAGACGTCAGACTGCCAGCGAGCAAGTTTCTCCATCTTCTCAACGCGAGCCTTGCGATCATTGATGAGTAACGCAACTTTCTTCATTGCAACTTGAGCAGCCTTGACATTCTCATGGTCGGGATGGCCTTCAGGTGTGTACTTCAGTAACTCCTGCACCCATGCATACAATAACACAAACACAAACACAAATACAAAATACCAACGTAGACAGAAGTGCATGCACACACAAACAAAAACAAACACACACACACACCCACACGGATCCAAAAACAACGGAGACACAGGAATGAGTATAGAAGAAAAAAAAAGGGCATGGTCAAGACAAAATGCAGCTGACCACAGCCATGCAGACAGCATGCTGTAACAACTTTAATATCATGTCATGATAGAAGTCATGATAGAAGGCACAGAACAAAGACATAGAAATACTAGAGTTCTTCAAATGTCAACAGGAAACTTACAGATAACTGCAAAGGGTATTTGCAGATCTTTTGCACTGGTGTGAGCAAGAATCCTTCTAGGGAGATTTCAGCCATCTCACGAATCAGACGACATGCCTACATTACAAACAACAGTCAGTAACAGAGCAATACAATCAGTCATGTACATTAAAGCATATGCAGCATCAGCAGCAGTAGTAGCGACAGCAGCATAGGCAGCAGCAGCAGCAACGACATCCATACAATTGCTGAATTCATATTAATTTTCCTGATCCAAGAACATTGCTCAGCTGGCCACCTTGCGATACCATACTCTCTCACATGCCTGTTTTGAATACAAGCATGAAGCAAAAGGTCAAAATCGTACACTACATCGCTTGTCGCATCGCGAAAATTGAGCCAAGCTCAACTTCTGCGATGGCTGCAATTTGGGGATTTCTCGGTTTCGAGGCTGTCGCATCGCAAAAAATGCTTCCGTGAATCCCGCTTGACTTGCAAGATTGATGATCCAGTGGCGGGTTTAGGGGGGGGGGGGGGGGCGCCCCCCCCCCTCAAAAGTTTCGACCTAGGTTTCGAAAAATAAAGGGCAGGGCGCCGGGGCTAGCTAGGCTCGGGGCGCGCGCGGCCTGAAACGATCTTCCAAAAGCGGTTGCACGGTAGACTGCAATGACTATGGTGCTCGAGCTGGTGTTGATTGTACACACTACAGACTAGTAGTCTACAGGAGCTGGTGTTGATTGTACACACTACAGACTAGTAGTCTACAGGAGCTGGTGTTGATTGTACACACTACAGACTAGTAGTCTACAGGAGCTGGTGTTGATTGTACACACTACAGACTAGTAGTCTACAGGAGCTGGTGTTGATTGTACACACTACAGACTAGTAGTCTACAGAGTACAGTGATGACTACATGTAGTGAGCATGCACGGCTACAGAAACACGTCGGTGACCTGACTGTGTACACTGTACTGTTGTACAGTGTGATCCCTGCTGGGACGCGCTCGACGCGTCTTCAACGTACAAACATCGAAGAAAAGTCTTCGAGTCAACCAAAACACGATTCGAATGCCGAGGGCTCAGGCGATCATCCTCGTTCGAATCGTGTTTTGATTGACTCGAAGACTTTTCTCCGATGTCTCAGCGACATGATCATCCCAAAAGGCCAAGGTCTAGCCAGCAGAGCCTGGATTTTTTGTAAAGCGTTCCTGTGGCGGCGCAACTCTTGCTGCCGCTCCAACAGGAAACAGTGGGAGTGATGAAGTCGCTGTTATTCCAGTTGAACTTTCGGAGCGGACTGACAGTCACACTCCGCCAGACGTGGAAACACCTGTTGTCAGCGAGCAGCCAGAACATGAAGAACAGCGCACAGTGACAAGTAGACATAGTACCGCTGCCTATCTAAAGGATGCTTTGAGTGGGGAGGTTGGACTCGCATAATTTAATTGCAGTTGATTGGCTCACATAACGGCAAATTTGAAGTTTACAATGTACAATGTTGCTGCGTGTACAGAAATACTGCTCGTAGTGTGTGAGATTTACGGCTTCTTGACATCGGTTTTCAAAATGGCTGACCTGGGATAGTAGCATGATGTCATCTACCCCCACCCCACCCCGGCCGCAACCCCCCCCAAGCCAAATCCTGGACACGCCACTGTGATCAACCGAAACAACTACAAGCCTGGTCTGCACACTGTGTCCAACATGGAATGTGCTATTAGGTGTTACTCTGAGTTTCACCCCAACGGCCGATCATCATCAGACAACAATAACCGTACAGCTAAACAGCCAAACAGCCATACAGCCCGTACACAGACATGTACATGCCAGCCTGGAGGTTTGAGTTGCCTGGACAACGAGGCTAAATTCCCTTGATCTTGTCTGTTTTCCCTGGACACCAGTTTTTTTTAGCGCATCCATCGTTAGCAAGTGTATTTTTCATGACTGCTGCTCAATCAAAAGGGATGTCATTGCATTGAGCTGTAACTGCACAAGTAAACTTTCTGTTGACTACCGTTATACCGACGATCAGTTGCAGTTCCACATGGGTTTTGTTGTCTACTACGTGCTGTGTGCACTTACAATGGATCTACAAGTTCGAGGAAACACTGAAAAGCGTCATAAAAAGGAGAATTTCGATTTCAAAAGTTCCATCTTAATCCCTGGACTTTCGCCGGACATCCCTGGACCCCGGGACAAACACCCTATTCTCTGGACTGTCCCGGGAAACCCTGGACGGTTGGCGTGTATGCATACAGTGTGTAGCACAGCAGAAGAATGAGCAGATATGGTGCTGTGTTAGCTATCATGGCGCGAGGGAATTTCTGAACTATTCCGGCATGGTCTTGCGAGAGTATGCTGATCATGAAATTAGCAGAAAAAGGCATTGTGAATAGTGGTTTGTGTGAATAGTGGCTTGTGTGTTGACATACATAGACCTACAGCTGCACTTGGTGAAATGCAACTCAAAGTGCAAAGCTGGCGCCCTGGACCAGTTCCGATTCCACCACTGTATTCGTATACGTGTAAGTCCGGCCACTTCTACAGCGTCAAGGGTAGTACAAGTTGAGGGCGCCAAATATGCACCTCAAGTGGGATTTCACTGAGCCCAATTGTACTTTGTTGCAAGCCTGACAATCCAATCAGCTTTCACAGGAACAAGCCTGACCAGTTGCCGTAAAGTCTTGTATAAAAGCCGCACTTGAATAGAAGCCGCCCTCGAATAGAAGCCGCAATTTTGGGCCCATCAAATCACACATAAGCCTGGTTTTAGTGTTGACATACATAGAAATACCTGTCTTGTATAGAAGCCTGCAAAATTTCACCAAAAAAGTCATAGAAGCTGCGGCTTTTATACAAGACTTTACAGTATATGCTACTTCATTACAACAGCAGTGATGTTCCAGATGTAATGGTACCACATAGAGTTACACTATGCAGACTACGCAGACGAGGCAGCTTTGTTAGAGCTGACTATAACAGCCATGACACACAGGGAAGTATGATCAAGAGTACATAACCAATAGTGTGCAACTCCTATCTTGAGCTGCGATGGGTTCACCCACGGCGGAATTTTTTATTGTGTCATTCTTTGCCAGAAGTATGATGAAGTGCGTATGCTTTCCTGCACTTGTTTTGTAGATACGGTGAGAGCTCATCAGGTTCAAGACACATCGATCTATCGTCGTTGTTCTGCTTGGAATACCCTAGCTGCAATGTACACATTATTTGTACTTTGATCTCTGGCTACGCATGATGGCATCAGTGAGCCAAACCGCCGCCAAAGACTGATGTCATAAAAAAATTCCGCCATGGGCTAGGGGATGGTCGAGTTGCACACTCTTGGTTATGTACTCTTGGCATGATGAACATGCATGCGACGTGCACATTCACGACTCACCTCAAAGAAGAATTTGTATGCAGGATCCTCCTGTAGTGAACTCATCTCTTCAACAGCATATGGATGGTTGTTGCAATACTCGGAATAAATGTTGAAGCCTTGCTGCTGCTCAGCCATAGCAACACAACACAACGTAACAACAGACAATTCAACACCTACTAGTAACCAATACACTGCTGCACCGGGATGGAGTGGATCACAACACAATGTACACTGCAACAACAGGCAATGCAACAGCTAACCAATACACTGCTGCACTGGAAGTGAGTGGGTGGGAAGAAGACGAATGCCTACAAATGCACACTATCTTTGGCAATGGACAGAGGAAGAGTACAGTGCATTTCAAAACTATAGACGCGTAGGGTTTTTGAAATATTTCAAATTTGGCTGGAACTTTTTGAGAATAGTTTTCGGAATATTGCTCAGGATCGCTCCACAATTACTCTCATATAGTTTCTAAAGGATTGGATAACAGACGCCCAATTTGGAAAAAATTATGCACAAAGTGATCACAGATTTTATGTGGTATAGATGCTGGCATAACGGTTTTTGCCTAGGTACGCGTCTATAGTTTTGAAATGGACTGTAGTGACACATGCATGACAGGAGTCACATGACCGTAGTAACTGTTAGTACACTCATACCTCGGTTAGGGTTGGTTCACATAAGCAAAATCGGCGCCGCAAGACATCGGCGGTGAGCCAGCTCCCGATCCGTTGCGCCTACGGTTCGAGTACCAAATCTACTACAAAGTAGTACAGAATGTGCCAAAATGCTACGACAGGTTTGCCAATTGAAGCTTGAATTCTTTGTTTCTTCAGTAGTTCAAGGTCTTTCGGTGATGGCCACTCGGTGGTACCTTTTACTGGAGATCATGAAACTACTTCTACACATTTTATTGCAGTCTAGTAAGCGATTGTGTCGAAATTATGCTTGCAAACGTTGATGAAGTCACAAGAACTTGCCAATGCATCCATTATAATTTTATATTTGTTTCAATTGTATTTGTCTCATCAGTTGCACAATGGTCAAGCAGATCATCCGAGAAGGACGCGCTGGTATCCTGACATATTTGCCGCCTTGAAGCGACTACAAGAATGGCGAACGGATCTCCTCTCTAGCTTCAATTTAGGAAAATTTAGGACAAGTATTGGTTTGATATTTTGACAAAGTCTGGCTCCCGGCAACCGGCGATCACCGGCGCGAACGGTTCACAAACCACTTTTGGTCAAAATCGTACGGGATCGGCGCCGGGGCAGATCGCAAGAGTTGGGCACTGTCCAACTTTGCCGGCGGTCCCTTGCGATATTTTACCGTATGATTTTGTTACGACTGCACTGGTTCACACAATCGCAATGCGCCGGGAGAGGTTGCAAGAAGCCCACCGCCGGTGACTCCCGGCGCGTACCGGAGATATGTGAACCAACCCTTATCCGGACCCCGAAGTTACGGGCACTTCGGTTTACCGGGCACTATTTGGGCGAGTTTCAGGAGAAATATTACTACTCTTTTGTCACTTTTCGTAGAAATATTGACGTCATATGCCATATCGATGGCCTTTTCCCCATCAAGATGTATATGATTCGGAGTTACGGACATTTCAAAGTTACGGGCAGTGCAAGGTCCCGGACTGCCCGGATAAACGAGGTATGAGTGTACTTAGCAGGAGTCACATGACCGTAGTAACTGCTAGTACTTAGCAGGAGTCACATGACCGTAGTAACTGCTAGTACTTAGCAGGAGTCACATGACCGTAGTAACTGCTAGTACTTAGCAGGATTCACATGACCGTAGTAACTGCTAGTACTTAGCAGGAGTCACATGACCGTAGTAACTGTTAGTACTTAGCAGGAGTCACATGACCGTAGTAACTGTTAGTACTTAGCAGGAGTCACATGACCGTAGTAACTGTTAGTACTTAGCAGGAGTCACATGACCGTAGTAACTGCTAGTACTTAGCAGGAGTCACATGACCGTAGTAACTGCTAGTACTTAGCAGGAGTCACATGACCGTAGTAACTGTTAGTACTTAGCAGGAGTCACATGACCGTAGTAACTGTTAGTACTTAGCAGGAGTCACATGACCGTAGTAACTGCTAGTACTTAGCAGGAGTCACATGACCGTAGTAACTGCTAGTACTTAGCAGGAGTCACATGACCGTAGTAACTGCTACAGTTGCGCTCGGTGAAATCCGGCCCGAAGTGCAAAGCCGGCGCCGCGAAGCCAGCTCCCATTACATCACTGGCGATTTGTGGGTATGAACTCAACTGTACGCACCTCGTGTAAAAGTTCGGAGTGCACGTGTTGCATGCTAAAAACAGTTCAAAATTTCTTTCATTCACTTCATGAAGTACAGCTCAAGATCAAGAAGAGATAGAGAAGAAGGACATTGCCACTCCCAATGTGTGGGCTCTTCTCAAGAAGAGAATAATTCCACATCGCTGCGAGAATACTGACCAGCTGGTGCAGGCAATGCACCTGGAGTGGGACTCGTTGGCTCCTGACACGGTTTCCCCATACGTGGAGTCAATGCCACGTCGTGTTGAAGCCCTAATCGAAGCAGACGGTGGCCACACAAAATATGGAAGCCCTGCTGCTCTGTGTATGAAATAAACTGCTTCGAAACGATCTCCGTCTTCTTTACTTGTGCTGAACTGAAATGAATGTTACACTTGTCTTTGTTTGGCGCGGTTTTTTACACTTTGGTGTAAGCATGCATGCGTATGAGTACAGCACAATCATGCACAGTTCATACGGCTCACGTGCACACTACTGTCACTAGCACTTGTACAACTTTGAGGGCGGCAAGGGCCGCATCAGTACTGGGCGCCAGTTATGCACTTCGGGCCGGATTTCACCGAGCGCAACTGTAGTACAGGTACTTACATTGTCAGCAAAGACATGGCCAATACAGCTGACACCGTCTTTCTGCTCTGCTGCAGCTGCACACAGTTCCACAAGGAATTTACTCTGGAAGGTGAGTAGATCTGCTACATTGCTGAAGATGATGATGATCTGATCTTCGTCGAACAGTTCTACGCGTTCTCGTGTTCGTTTTTGGTAGCCCTGTCAAGCAAAAGTGGCACGCAGATTAAAGCAAGCAAAGTTCGAGGAGAAAGAATCACACAGGTACATGTATTTGACAGCAGAAGATTGGGTATGATGGCAGCTGAACAATACATGCATGTGGCACAAGTTTCGAACATTTTCTTGCAAGGGGCAATCCATAACTCTCGCCATTTATTGCAACTTTACAAAATGAAGACTTTCCGACCCCCCCCCCCCCCCCAAATTGTACACATAGAAAAATCAATGCGACAACCATGAATTGTTTGCAGGCAACTCGCCTACACTCAAAATAGCACAATATTTTATGACAACCATGCATGATATACAATGTGAGCGCGCAAATCGCTAAGGTTTGGATGGTCGTGATAAATCATAAAATGGTGACAGACACGGACGTCCGTAAGCAAACAGACAAATTAAACTGCAGACATCAACAAACATATGCACCTACATCTATACCTATACCAACACACCTACCTCTATACCTACCTCTATACCTACATCTATACCTACATCTATACCTACATCTATACCTACATCTATACCTATACCAACACACCTACATCCTATGCCTACATCTATACCTACATCCTATACCTATACCAACACACCTACATCTATACCTATACCTATACCCATACCTATACCTACATCTATACCTATACCAACACACCTACATCTATACCAACACACCAACACACACGAATAGATGGTATAGAAACTGACCTCCACAATGTCTTGTAAATGACTGTTGTAACCCTTCTCCGTTTGAACAATCTCTGCAACCACACGTGCTCGCATTTCTTCTGGAGATAGCTTGCGACTCTTTTTAGGAGTTGAAGCTTGCGGAGAATCACATGTGGATGGTGCTTCAGCATTCACATTTTCTGCACTGCTTTCATCTACTACGTCAGCTATTTCATTCTGGATGGTCCGCACCTAAGAAAAGAAAAGAAAACACACAAAACTCTAAGCACAGTTCACACATTCGGACTGATTAGACCCCTGAATAGTGATTAGACCCCTGAATAGTGATTAGACCCCTGAATAGTGATTAGACCCCTGAATAGTGATTAGACCCCTGAATAGTGATTAGACCCCTGAATACTTATTAGACCCCTGAATACTACAAACCAGCCAAATTAGAATCTAATGTCAATTTCTGGGCAGCAAAGAATGGCCAGAGCAAAAAGACGACCAGATTATCAAAAGTCATGCTCTCTTAACAAGTAGACCAACAGTGGAGGACAAACGACAAACACTGCTGGAATAGGTTGACAACAGTCTTACACAGGTATGTATGTATGTATGTATGTATGTATGTATGTATGTATGTATGTATGTATGTATAACACAGGTACTCACGTGTAAATGATTGGAAGGAACATATCCCGTTGAACCACTGTCATCACTAGCCCACCACCACACCTCGTTGGAGGAATCCATTATCTCAAGTAATTCACCTGCTTTGAAACTGAGTTCTAGCTCGCTCTCACCAACATAGTCCCAAAGAGCATCTGCAAACACCTGCTGTCCGGGAGAAAGAGGACGCAGATGTTCCATAAGCTCTGAATTCTGGACAAAACGAAGACATATCAATACACAAACAATTTCACATACCGGTATAAAACGGACTAAAATGCTTGACAGACATCAAAATATATATTTTCTGACTGGACAGAAAGAGAGAGAATTGCTACAGCTCTGATTGAGGACAAAACAAACTTCCAGGGCTATGTTCAATCCTAACTTGTTAGGATTGACAATGCACGAAAGAGCGTGCAAGTCACTGCAGAGCTGCAAAGCTTGACAATGCACACTGCACAATGTACAAAAGAGTATGTAAGTCACTGCTGAGCTGCAAGGCTTGACAATGCCAGTGCTGCCAACCTTCCGTATTTTTTCCGTATTTTGGAAGGAAATTCACTCCTTTGTCCGCAGTACGGAAATTGACCGAAATTGTACGGAAAACTGAGAAGAATGGATCAGCTGACTATGAACCAGTTTTTCTACATGTACATGTACATAATTGCACGCAGAGCACATAAAACTGCGGAGTACACGCTAAAAACAGGGTTTCTGACTGCAACCTCGAGCCTCAGACAGTGACAAAGCTTCAGGCGCTGTGTACGTGTGTTGCACATGGTTGCTTGTTGCACAATGCACTGGCCACACTCTAACACAATTGCTGGCTGTCCTACACTAGGCTACAGTTCGCGTGACACATTACTTCCTGGGACAAAGACCATGTACGACTTAAGCGGGATTCACAGAAGCTTTTTTGCGATGTGACACGCGATGCGACAGGCGCGAAACCGGGAAAACCCCAAATCGCAGCCTTGTCGCACCCCACGCAACTGGGCCATCGCAGGCCATCGCAGAAGTTGAGCTTGGCTCAACTTTTGCGATGCGATGCGACAAGCGATTTGGCGTACGATTTTGACCTTTTCTACAGCAAAGTTGTACAAAGGTTCAAGAGTTGCCTATAAATTTGTACAAGTTGTATCAAACCGCGCGAATATCATGGTGACGTAGCCAAATCAGCAAGATTTTGTCGCATCACTGACTTCTTCTGTGAATGGTATTTCGCGAGTTCGCATCGCACGCGTCCGTCGCAGATCGCGTCGCATCGCGTGTCGCATCGCAAAAAAGCTTCTGTGAATCCCGCTTTACTGAGCACCCAGTACAGTACCCTGAAGACTACAAACTTCGCAAAAAAAATACATTGTAAATCATGGGATTAACAAAAAAACTGATAGTACGGAAAACGCTGGAAAATACGGAAATTGAGGAGTCGCATGGCATAGTTAACGGCCGGACATCGGACATTTTCCGGCCATTTTCGGCCACTGACCGGACGTTTTCAATTTCACCGGACATAGTGTCCGGTCAAAAAAAGGAAAAAAAGAGCAGAGACCTTTCGAACTTTTTATGCAGAGTTGGGCTTTCTTCGGCCGCTTCGTGCCAACTGCGACTTGCATTATCGTATAACTTACACGTCTACACCGTAGTCTCAGGCGTAGACTTCAACATATTTACTTGATCCGCCTGTAGCAACGCGGTTGCTACAGTCAATTCACACTTTCGACCTTTGGTACATGGTGTCGACTTCGCACCTGAATCGATGGGTTGAACTGCAGAGTGCAGTGCAGTTGTTCGCTCTTGACAGTGTTGAGAGGAAGATGTCATCTTTTTATTTTTCACTCTTTCACTCACCAGGAATGCAGATCGTCTTTTAGAATGTCCGATTTCTGGAAAGCGAAAGGGACTTGCCGCCGTGCAAAAAGGTCCGTGGTGTGAAGGCCGCTACTTGCGATAAGTGGATCTCGGACAATGATGCAGAGCTGACTTCTTCCGCCTGGCTGATTTATGACCGGCAGAAGAACGATCGGCTGTTAGCAGAATGTTTGAAGTGTTCCGTGTGCATCAAGTTTGTAGACAGAGTCCGCAGTTGTAAAAACTTCAGCGAGGCTTTCATAAACGGATCCAAGAACCTGAGAACATCAGCGTTCAAGGATCATGCTGGAACGGAGATGCATAAACGAGCAATGAATCTTTTCTGCAGACAAGAGTGTCCCGCTCGAAATGCCCTCGAATTCGCTCCAATTGCGAAGGCACTGTGCGAGATGGACGATGGTGCTGCCGCTAATGCACGACGCAAATTCGAAGGTCAAGGAGCATATCGCGTTCGCAAAATTCTCAACTGCAACGCTTTCTTGTACATACATTTCTCGTCAATAAATTAGTTCAGTTTCTAATACAAATAAATTGGCGAATTGTACATAGTAATGTGTGAGATACGTCCACATAATGAGTCATTGTGAATATACTTCAGTACTACTAAAAAAAGAAGAAGAAACACCCTGAAAATGTGTTGTCGAACATGTCCGGGCATGTCCGGACAGATTTCAAAACGGAAGGACGTTTGTCCGAGCTAAATGAAATCCTTAAGCTATGCCCTGAGTCGGAGTACGCAAATCAGACCGAGCAGGTTGGCAGCACTGCAATGCACAATGTAGTGCATAAGTCAATATGCAAGGAGACTGTAGGCCACGGTGAAGTCTACACAAGTACTTGAACATGCCCCCTCCTCATGTCTGTGCAATATTCAACATGATACGATCTACCGCTGTGCCAGCAGAGCAAGGCCTCTCTAACCCCACTGTCAGAGGAGGGAGAGAGAAGATGAGTGTATGTACATGCATGTGCATGTGCGTGTGGTTGCGGGTGCTTGTGCAATGCAATACTCCACATTCTTACCGTTCCCGAAGAGACTTTGAGGGTATCCATATCAATAGCTGTTGTGGTGGCTACAGATGCAGCGCGCTGCGACCTGCCAGGCATAGCTTTGTTCACCATGGCAGAGCACATATCAGCAATGCCTGATGCAACGTGATGCGATTGTCGACGTGTCTCAGGTTTCGTAGCCGCAGCAGCGGCAGCAGTAGGCTTACTGGAGTCTCCATCGGCTGCTAAATCTGGTCTGGGTTTTCGACCGCCAGACTTCTGTCCCTCTAGCAAGCATTTGCCCCAAGTAAGAGACCGGCGGCGAATGAAAGCAGTAGAAATTGAAGCACGGCGCTTGCGTGGTTGACCGCAGTCTCCAGCATCATCAGGATACGTAGACTGTGCTTGTGTTGAAAGGCCTTCGCTTGCCACACCTTTCAAGACACCTAATAAACCTGGTTGAAATGAAGGGTCAGAGAATGATCTTCTGAGTGACTGGTTCAGCAACTTGCGTACAGCATTCTTAGCAGTAGTACTGGTGCTTTTGGCACCGCTAACACCGCAAACACCATGCGCACCACTAGCAGCAGCAGTATCGACGGTTGGAGAAGTGCAGTCGCCTGTGTTGGCGTGGTGTCTAGTCACACATTGAGACTGTCCGGAGAACGCTGGTATGTCACGTAAACCTTGCCTGGGACACCGGCCAGCAACACCACCATCCAACACTTGTTGTTGTTGCTGTAGGTCCCATGCAGCGCAAGTGGATGTAACAGATACACCGTCATCATCCAGCTCTCTCTCAACCACTATGTTATTACCGTCACTGTCAATTGGAGCTATGGAATTCGGTGACGCCGAGATGATTGATACGATAGGATGTGTCGGCACTTGGGTATTTTCGTGTGTATCGTCAGTGATATCGTCCACGGCACGACGCAAAGAAGGCAATGATGAATTTTCATCAATTATACCAGCAGGGTCCTCTCGTGAACTGGAAGATTCGGTTTTAGCTGCTGCTGCTGTTGTATGACAATGACTTGCTGCTCGAGTAGCATTGACATTGGACTCATTAGCTGGAGCTGAGGCTGCTGCTGCTGCTGCTGATGGTGGTGCAGCTGGCACTGGACTAGATGGTCTAATGTTAATAGTTGGGCAGCTGCCGCTGTCTGTAAGATAAGAGCTATCATCGCCATCATCAGCAGACTCAGATGTTAGAGTTAGGTTGACATCGCCCATAAACAGCTTAGGAACAGTTATCACTGTATCTCGTGATGTTCTCCGGAATGTCAGAAAATGGCCAGCACTGCTAGTACTGATTCGGTCATTTCTGTTACTTGCATTGCTGCCAGTGCCAGGCACTACCTTTACTGGGGAATCCAAACTAGAGCAAGAGGTTCTGGAATACCTCTGCTGCATTGCCTTTGGTGGTGTAGACGGACACGTGATGCTGGATGGTTTCTTTCCAACCGTACCAATCATGCTGTGTTGGGACGTTTGTGAAGATGTACATCCGGATAGCAGATCATCATCACTGGCAGAATATGCTCCTCGAGCTGCACCAACACCGGCACATGATGACACTGAAGCGAGGGAAGAAGTTGAAGCTATTCCATGGGCTAGCTTACCATCACCATCACTACTACGCTTAGCTGATGAGGGCTGTGGATTAGATCCACGGTGGTCGCAATCTGTCGGAGAAACCTTGTTCCCGTCATAATCACTTTCGGCACCTTGGTCACCCGTATAGACACCACCAAAGCGTCTACTGGCAGTATCTCCTTCAGCAGCAGCAGCAGCAGCAGCAGCTGTACTACGTTCACTATCGGTCGCTGGGGTGCTGGCCACGATACTGGCATTGATATTCTCTCCCGTACTAGAGCTGTTTGTGGAGGCGGCAGCTGGAGTCTGCGAACCGCCAGTTGCAAGACTAATCAGTGACGAGGTGGACTTGAGAATGCTTTTGCCCAGGCTCAGCAAAGAGAGTGCCGGTGTGCTGGGGGAGCCGGGGCTCGCCTCAAATGGTCCTCCGGGGTCGGAATGCCGAGCATTCAAGTTCTTGTGCTTTCCTACAGACAAGACGTGCCCAGCTGTGCTGTCAGCGTCCGCTGCTGCAGCTGGTTCATCCCCGGCATCTCCATTGACAGCTGATACTGTGGGTTCACTTGCTGTAGGCTGTATCTTTGGAGGACTTTTCTTCTTGCTGCTCCGTATGCGCAGTATCCTGGCTCTCACGGACGTTGATCGATGCGCTTTTTCATCGTTAGACTCATTCGTCTTCAAAGAAGCGAGTGAGGACCGGCTGGAAGCCTTGACTTTCTGCGACTTGGCCTGTCTGCGGTGTTTGTCAGTGCTTGTTGGAGAGGGGTCTTGAGAACCTCTGCCATCACCGTCGCTTTCATGGCTAGCCGCCTTGTTGAAGTTTTTTAAGGATCTAAAGCGGAGACGCATCAAGCCAACCCCACTAGCCGAGCTAGAGTTGGTTAGTGGAAGATGACGATCAACCTGATCGTTGTCATCTTCAACAGTCTTCTCAGCAGCATTATCACTAGCTGCACCGACCGTACGCATAGAGGGTAGCGTATCTGTCACCTGATCCAGGCTAAAGCCAACCAAAGACTGGTGTTGCCGAGCTGTAGACTTCAATTTCAAAACAGTAGCAGTAGTCGTTGAGGCCATTGGGGATATATCTGATGGTGGCTGGGACTGGACACTTTCCCGTCTATGTTTAGTAGTAAACTCATAAGCAGGTAGTGATGCTGCTGCCACTGGCGCCACCGTGAAGACGGCATCATCATCATTATCAATGTCGTAGTCCTCATCAACAGGACTCTGCATCTTGAGCTGTTTAGAAAGCCGGCGACTAGGTGCTGCGTCCTCACTGCTCCGCTTTCTATCTAGTGAAGTAGAGTTAGTAGCAGTAGCAGCAGCCATATCAGCTGGCGAGGCAGAAACACTGATATCCGAGTGATTAATGAAAACGGGGTCGTCAATGGCTGCCTTGTTGCACTCTTCATCAGTATCCGATGCATAACTTGGGTTGAATGGAGACCTCTTGTTACAGTCTTCGTCTGTATCCCAAGATGAGCCAGATTCATACCCATTCGCATCCAGCCTAGATGTACCTGCAGTAGCTGTGTCAGATCCTGAATGGCGGCGCATGGGTATTGAGAGGACAGAGTCATTATCTGTATCACTAAGTAGAGAAGAGCGACGACGGTGGTGTATAATGACAGGTGGCGCATCAAACGCAGCATCCATTGCAACAGCAGGATCTGATGGCGAGGACAAGCGCCGCCCACTATGGACAGGACAGTTACTAGCTATAGCAGTCAGCTTCGGACATGTACACACTGGTAAGCCGTGTTGACGGTTAGAGTCCTCATCTAGTACCATGGCTAACGGCAGGCCAGTCGGCGCCTCGCCAGCAACAGTGCAAGCACGATGTAGAACAATAGGAGGCTGCTGTGATGAGTCAGCACTCGTCGGTACAGGCGGAGGCGAGGACCCCGTTTCTGCTGCTGCTGCTGCTGCTCCTACGTCTTGAGTTGGAACAACTCGGTCAACCATATCCGCAACCGGTTCTGAAGAGGATGTATCAGATAGAGGCAATGACTGCACAGCACAGCTATCCAAGAAGGAAGCCGAAGCAATGCTTGCAGTGTTACTGCTGCTTGCAGTTGCAGCTGCAGAGGTGGCAGTAGTGGGACTAGCAGTAGAGCTAGTACTTGTAGCGGTAGGGGCAGAAACAGCAGCAGTGGAGCTAGTATTTGTAGCGGTAGGGGCAGAAATGGCAGCAGCGGAGCTAGTGATCGTGCTGGATAAACAGGCGACTGGCAAGGCATCACTTAGTGAAACCACCTTTCCATTCCAGAATGAGGCAGCAGAGCATGCTGCACTCACCTGCAAGATATCACTGCCAACCGAGCTGAGAGAACTGCTCGGTGACATAGCCATACCGCTGCTGCCTGTTGTGTGAGTTTCTGAGGCACCAGCACTGGCTAGACCAGCACTGGCTAAACCAGCACCGGCTAGACCAGCACCAGCTACACCGGCCCCGCTATTACTCATCGTTGCAACCAAGACAGGCTTCTGCTCCTCCTCCTGCTGCTGCTGCATGTCAGAAGGCTGCTGCTGATCCGATGAAAGACGAGGCTCGGATTTCACAATACCCCCGGTGCTTTTAGGACTTGATTCGCTATCTGAGCAATTGGCTGATGCTGGTATTTGGCACTGTTGCAATGTCTGCCCATCAGTACTACACGTGGCACTGTCATCAGCCTGTTGTGCAGCACGCAACACTGGCGATGTGGGTATGTTGGTCTGCGAACTGCTTGATCCACACCCATCACCAGTCACACTAGTCACACTGGTAACCCTGGTAACACTGGTAGCTACATCAAGCGACCTCTGAAGAATATAGCAGGTTTCAGCCAGAGGAGGAGGAGAAGAAGATGATATACAAAGTGATGAAACGGAATCACGGCTACAGGTTGACACAACGTTACTCAAACGTTTTCGAAATGGTACCGGCGCTTCATCATCTGATAAAATGCTAGCGATCGAGTTACTTCTTTCTGAAGTCATGCTCCGCATAACTGCCAAGTCACTATACTCATCTTGCTCATGTTGCTGATTCGAAGCGGAACTGCAAGATGTTGACGATTGAGGAACAACTGGTTGACGAGATGATGGCGGTGGAGCCGATGCTGCTTTTCTATCCATATGCATTGTTGTAGTGGTGTTATTAGCTATGCAGACCGACTTGCTGGGTTTGAATGCTTGGTCACATTTGGCTTGTTTACTGCCATATAAAACTGCATTCTTGCCAGACTGCGGCTGGGGAGCATGGTGAAGGCTTTTCAGTGCTAAAGAAATCGTTGTTTTAGACTCCTGCTCCTGCTTAGCCTGCTTATCTTTCCTCTTGGATGATACCTTGCGCTTGAAGGATGCAACCCGCGAAGACTTCTGCTTTTCCTGCTCCTCAATTGGGTCCAAGGCGACTCGACGTGAACAACTTTCTGCTAAGAGTCCATCATCAAGTGATGCACTAGCAGGGAGTCCCTCATTCGTTCCGTCATCAGTATCCCAATCTTGGGACTCACGGCGAGTAGTGTCACTACAGTCTATGTTGGATTGTGTACTTTTACTCTGAGCTGGTGTCTTCAACAAATCATCCAGCTGGTCTCCAGATTCCGTGTTCTGAACAAACAAGATAACAATGACACAGAAATGCACAACAGAAGTGATTTAACCGCTCGTCACACTGTACAGAACATCAACAAACAACGGGCCGCGTTTGACTTCAAGGCATATCGTTACGCTTGAAATAATGAAATGTGACAATATAGAGAGATTTAACAAAGCGGACTTTTGCTGCATTTCTAGTTGATCTCAAGAACTAGGTATGAGTCACGAAGAACTAGGCATGAGTCACGAAGAACTAGGCATGAGTCACGAAGAACTAGGTATGAGTCACGGAGAACTAGGTATGAGTCACGAAGAACTAGGTATGAGTCACGAAGAACTAGATATGAGTCACGAAGAACTAGGTATGAGTCACGAAGAACTAGGTATGAGTCACGAAGCTTAAAAGGAAAGTAACCCCCAATGATGTAGACAGTACGTAATGTAAGGTAAAGTAATCAGAAGTTTCCGTCAAATGTAGTAACAGGTTAACCATGCACCCAGAACACATGCTCCCAAATAACCGACCAGAGTACACTCGGACGTCTCTTATCCGGGCACCTTGGGACCAGGCACTGCCCGTATCTCAGGATAACTCATCTATCACGTACCATAATTATCAGTTTTTGAGGAAGTTTGTTTACACAAGTTGGCAATGACAAAATAAGCAACTGTGCATACGAAGAAAAGTTCAAAATCCCCAAATTCGAAGCATTTTGCCATAGGAACTCAAGCTAAAGGTGCCCGATAGAGAGACATGCCCGTATCTGAGGCGTCCGGATAAGAGACGTTTGAGTGTACATGTAAATCGATAAGATCCGAACATGGGTTTGCATGATTTCTTGTATAACAGGAGGGTGTCTTTGCTTTAGACCTCAGCTACTTCAAGGTGATCAAGAACACTATACGTTACGGCGGCTCTCAGTTGCCCGACCTCCTGAATTTTACTGTGTCCCGTGACCCCAGGTTTTACCATGAGTGTTAATCCCCTATCCTCGTAACTACTTGTTGTACCCCAAAACTGGCCCCAATAATGGCCGGATCCGCTCGATGGCTTGTATGGTACGCGTTTTATCACGAATGAAAATAGTTGAATGAAACAATGTGTGCATAGAGCATACCTGTTCAAACATGAGAAGGTGCTGCATAATTCCGCGTGCCGGTTTTCGGGTCGGCTTTTGCTTCTTCTGTGCAGCAAGTTCCCCATCTTCAGTCGATGCCCTACCACCAGCATCAGCACCACCACCACCACGTACCACCAGCACAGCAACCACCACGAGCACACACCAGCACCGGCACCGCCACCAACAAAAACAACAAAAAGTCTTTGATTAGGATCATTAGCCATCGCTCGTTGTGCACACACACACACACACACACACACACACACACACACACACACACACACACACACACACACACACACACACACACACACACACACACACACACACATGCTTACACACACATGCAGATTGTGCTTAGATGTATGACAGCATTATCGTGACTCTGACTTGATTTGAACCCATTTGAATACCGTGCCACAAGGTCACATAAGAACGCTAAGCCTATCAATAGATAGAAGGTACATGTAGTCTGCAATATCACATTCTGTCTACACTCGGATAGTGACATTATGAGTATAATATACCCCCCCCCCCCCCCACGCACCACACACACACATGCACGCGGGTGCGAACGTGCCCACGCATACACAGATACACCACACACACACACACACACACACACACACACACACACACACACACACACACACACACACACACACACACACACACACACACACACACACACACATCGTGACATGCAAACACACACCACACACACACCTCAGACATGCCCATCGCGGAAGCGATGATAAACGAACAGCTATGTTAGACATAGCAACTTGTGCTGGGATTACACCATTCAACAGCTTGCAAGGCTGATGAATTGACCGCCACTATTTTTAGCCTGGTATCCACCACACAGCTGTTTGAAGTACACACACACACACACACACACACACACACACACACACACACGCACACGCACACGCACACACAACTATGCATTGGCTGTTAGCAGTCAACACATTTTACAGTTTGCAACGTCCTAAAAATCTACCTGAACTGCAGGCCCTGCTTATACTGACAACACCAATGCACGTGTAGTGAGTGTGGCAATGACAGATGGACAGCATGAACCCCAACTATCAATGGTGAAGTCCTCTCATTCCGGTCTACGTACAGCCCATGGACGTAGTCTCCATATAACACGAATGCACAGGGACACCACACTTGTTTGAACAAAATGACAATAGTGTCGTTGCAAGGGCTATGTGCACCAGTGATCAACGAGAATAATACACCAGTAGTGGGCCAATGCAGTTAGTGGTAATCATGTGAGCACTTACTTTGTCTCAAACAAAGCTGTTATTTTAGCAATTTTGGAGCTCCGTGAATCCCTAGGAATGTTTTCTCCAGAGTTGTGCTTCGCAAGCGAGTGCACCGCCGAAATCGGCTCAGCATGCCCATTTTCAAGAGCTCCATCCGCAGTTGCAGATCTCCTCCTGTTACTAGTGATGTTCATTTCCGCACAGGTATGTCAGCTCCAGGATGTTGAGGATAGAACATTTCAACCAATCTGCTCCTCAACATTACAAGTCGATGGCCAAAAGCCAGCAAACATTTTGTCTCAGCGGTCAGTACACACAACTTCTCTTGACAACAAAGCTTCGTGGTTGCTGTGTAACTATCGTAACGACAGCATGCTCACAAGACCATTAATTTTGGTAAAAGATGAGAGTCCAGATAAGAACAGTCAAAACGATGAAGTCTGAGAGAAGTAAAAAATCTATCTCAGTTGACAACAAACTGCAAACATGAAACGGAAGCTGGAAATGGCATCATGTCAGTACACTCTCAGAGTACATTCAGTGGTCTTCTGTGTTCAAGGTGTTCTTGGGTCCAAATTCAGGGGGGCTGGTCCTATCCGGTGGTTAAGTTGTGGTCGGACCGGCCGGGTGTACACTACACAAGCGGTACGCTCGGCTCGTACTATACCCTGGCCTGGAACAACCCTGTCCCGCGCATATGCAAAAAGACCGCGGTTCGTACCGCGGTACCGGTAGCCACTAGCCAGTACTAGTACTAGTACTAGCCACCGGTAGATCTACGATACGAAGCAGGGAGTAGTACATTTACTACTCCCTGATACGAAGGGCTCATGTGCGTGAGTGTTGGGCGCTTGTTCCGCTAGCGCTAATACGCTAGTGCATGCAGCACAGTGCGCAAATGCTTGCTCCAAAAAAGTTAGTAACGATAGACCAGATAGACCCTCCCTCCCTTTTCCAAACCACTCAGCTGATCAGCCCAGTTCAGTCCACGGTCCTGTTTTGGATTTTTATTCCTTCGCGGGAACAGATAGTGCAGAGAAAGATGACGACGCCGGTCAGTTCGATTTTTCAGACTGGATTGCCATTACATTTCAGCTGGCAGCATAGCATGCATCACGAGGGATTTATTTGCACAAACGGCAGTCGACTGTACTAGTCGGTGAATGTCACTCTCTCAGAGATATCGCCATGGTAGGGTAAGGTTATTTTAGCTTCGGTGATCACTGATCGATCCCCTATCTACATTGTAAGGCCAATGGCACGAAATGAAAATTTATTTTTTCGGAAAATTGCATGCTTTTCCAAAAATGTAGCCAGCTTTTATGGCATCCTACTACTTCTACTTCGAAGTACTAGCACAAGTAGCAAGAGTTCATAACCCCCTGGGGATTATGAACTCTTGCTACTATAGGCTAGCGGTGTATTTCGGATGACAATATTATCTATGAGAAAATTAATGACACTGACTGAAGCGTTATGAAGACTGTAAAATCAACAGCATGGGCAAAATTGATCCAGAGCTGTATGAAACTTAAAAGTCTTTGGTACAATCAATTGTCTGTAGCGTATGGCACAACGTGTTGTTGTTTTTTCTTTTTTCTTTTCTTTTTCTTTTTCGACCTTTTCAGCTGCCATTTACCCTGATCATGCTTCATGCGTGTTTTACAATGAACATAGCACGGTTCGGCTCGTTTTCTTCTTCAACACAAGCTGTATCACTTTGTTCTTCCCTGTACAAGAGCCTGTTTTCATCGCTACATGTAAAAAATTATTTGTCTGTATTATCTGTATACTAACGAAGTAGCGGTGAGGCATCCTGCATCTGTATACTGGTATAAAAAAGACAATGCATTTTTGTCCAGTATTACTACTCATGTAGGAGACTTCCCTTCTCAACTCCAAACTCCAAAAACGGTCTCTTCACTGCGATTCAAATTCAAATTTACATTACACCAAATTTTCAGGCCTGGCCCATCATGAGGGTAATACATGACAAATATCCATTGCCGCATACCGTATTTCCGCGCATATAAAGCCATGGCGTTATATCCGAATATAAGGCCACCCTCACTCTGAGCCATGGCGTTATATTAAAAAAATTCACGGTTCGCGTGAGACTCGGCTGGAAGCCCAGTTTTTCCACATCCGTCATGGGAACGCCACCACCCTCTAGGATCAAAGGCGCAGATGCAGCGCCTAAACGGTGGGAGGTGAGTAGATCATACCCACCACCAAGTCACAGACCGAAATCCCATTAGCTGCATCCATGTTAAGTGAACAAAATTCAATGTGGAGGAAGTTGCATCTGGCGTTAAAGGTGAGTTCAATTCTTTCAGTGAACCTACAGTAGCGGCGATTCTCTCTACATGTACCCATCCCCACTGTGTGGGCCGCCACCGCACCTTCACACAAGTTTGTATGCCACCTTGTACACAATAGGTTCACAATTTGAAATTTTCACGGAAAATTGAAAGTACATGGATGCTTGAAATGAACGTGCAACGGCACCGTACGAGTACTCGAAGTTCATACTCTGCCGATTTTTTTGCATGTACGCGTCTCTCACTTTTAGCGCCATGGCGTTAAAACCGAGGCTATTTTCTCCAAATATTTGGTCCAAAACAGCGATGTTTCACCTATAAAGCCATGGCTTTATATGCGCGGAAATACGGTAGGTACTTATTGAACTAGGGAAACTCACAGAACACTTACTCTTGGTCAAGGACACATCACATTTTAACAAGTTCCCAGGGGAGAGTACGAGCTGGACCTACAGGATAAACTTTTTTAATTGTCCGCAAACTCCAACGCAGCCATTTTACTTCACATTTAGGAAACTTCACTTCTCAACTCCAAAAACGGTCTCTTCACTGCGATTCAAATTCAAATTTACATCAGACCAAATTTTCAGGCCTGGCCCATCATGAGGGTAATACAATTTGGTGTAATGTAGATTTGACTTGAATCACAGTGAAAGAGACCGTTCTTGGAGTCTGGAGTTGAGAACTGAAGTGTCCTAAATGTGTAAACATGCATTGGAGTTCGCGGACAATTAGAAAAGTATGAGTACATGTACTACAGTATTCACTTCGCCGGGGGGGGGGGGGGGGGGGAGGGGTTAGACACTACAGTATTCACTTCGTCTGGGGGGGGGGGGGGTTAGACACTACAGTATTCACTTCGTCTGGGGGGGGGGGGGGGGGTTAGACACTACAGTATTCACTTTGTCTGGGGGGGGGGGGGGGGTTAGACACTACAGTATTCACTTCGTCTGGGGGGGGGGGGGGGGGTTAGACACTACAGTATTCACTTCGTCTGGGGGGGGGGGGGGGGGTTAGACACTACAGTATTCACTTCGTCTGGGGGGGGGGGGGGGGGGGTTAGACACTACAGTATTCACTTCGTCTGGGGGGGGGGGGGGGGTTAGACACTACAGTATTCACTTCGTCTGGGGGGGGGGGGGGGGGGTTAGACACTACAGTATTCACTTCGTCTGGGGGGGGGGGGGGGGTTAGACACTACAGTATTCACTTCGTCTGGGGGGGGGGGGGGGGGTTAGACACTACAGTATTCACTTCGTCTGGGGGGGGGGGGGGGGTTAGACACTACAGTATTCACTTCGTCTGGGGGGGGGGGGGTTAGACACTACAGTATTCACTTCGTCTGGGGGGGGGGGGGGGGGGTTAGACACTACAGTATTCACTTCGTCTGGGGGGGGGGTTAGACACTACAGTATTCACTTCGTCTGGGGGGGGGGGGGGGGTTAGACACTACAGTATTCACTTCGTCTGGGGGGGGGGGGGGGGGGTTAGGCACTACAGTATTCACTTCGTCTGGGGGGGGGGGGGGGGGTTAGACACTACAGTATTCACTTCGTCTGGGGGGGGGGGGGTTAGACACTACAGTATTCACTTCGTCTGGGGGGGGGGGGGGTTAGGCACTACAGTATTCACTTCGTCTGGGGGGGGGGGGGGGGGGGTTAGACACTACAGTATTCACTTCGTCTGGGGGGGGGGGGGGTTAGACACTACAGTATTCACTTCGTCTGGGGGGGGGGGGGGGGGGTTAGACACTACAGTATTCACTTCGTCTGGGGGGGGGGGGGGGGGGGGGTTAGACACTCCAGTATTCACTTCGTCTGGTGGGGGGGGGGGGGAGGTTAGACACTACAGTATTCACTTCGTCTGGGGGGGGGGGGTTAGACACTACAGTATTCACTTCGTCTGGGGGGGGGGGGGGGGGGGGGGTTAGACACGTCATGTATTCACTTCGTCTGGGGGGGGTTAGACACTACAGTATTCACTTCGTCTGGGGGGGGGGGGGGGGGGGTTAGACACTACAGTATTCACTTCATCTGGGGGGGGGGGGGGGGGGGGGGTTAGACACTACAGTATTCACTTCGTCTGGGGGGGGGGGGTTAGACACTACAGTATTCACTTCATCTGGGGGGGGGGTTAGACACTACAGTATTCACTTCGTCTGGGGGGGGGGGGGTAGACACTACAGTATTCACTTCGTCTGGAGGGGGGTTAGACACTACAGACTACAGTATTCACTTCGTCTTGGGGGGGGGGGGGGGGGGGTAGACACGGGGAAGTTGCCACACTGGGGTGGTGAGCCCGCCTTTCAGAGCCGGGAATACAGCTCGCTCGACTCTTTACTGCCGAGTGAAGAGGACCCACCCCTTGATCTGGTGAGCTGTCATGGGAATTTAAAGACAATGCATGAAACAGAAGAGCATGTTGACTTGTCAGCTTATAGCTGAGACATGAATATACTTGGCGCTACCGTAAAAGTCAGTAAATAAGTACCTGCCCAAAGTCAAGTTCGCTGATAACGGCTGCGGATATAACAACAATTCATGAATAACGACAGAATTTCCATGCCCAGAGCAAAGTCCTATCTAACTGTAATACCGTAAAGTACCGTTGATCCGCCCCCTATCTAATTCCCGCCCCTGTCGATTTTCTACCTGTGAAGCGACTTCGGCGTATACAACGAAATACGATGAACTGACGCACGCACTGCTGTGCAAAATACGTGCCAATCCAGGATGAAAATGTGCCCAATCCAGCACACAGAGTCTGATCCTCTACGTTGTTGTACATCGTACTGCACTTGACAGCCTTGATCTTATTTCCGCTCCCTGCCGAAAACCCAGCTGGGAAGCGACATGGCGTGGGGGGGCGGATCAACGGTACTTTACAGTACATACATTATAATGAGACTTTCAACTCTGCTTGCTTTGACCCACTGCAGAATTTTTTTGCTGACGTCAACTTTTTGAAGATCATGAGTCATAGGCTACCGTAAACTTCCGTAAATAAGCCCACCCTAAATAACGCCCATGTCCGATAATAAGCCCAGTTTTAGGCGGTGTACACTTCAAGTCCGTTTCAGCGCCCATGCCCGAAATAAGCCCAGGGCGCAAAGTGGACAAGTGGTTTACCTATCAAATCTGTAATTTATCGCTACATTCTTGGTTACGACCAAATTTCCTGCTGTGGTTGGATGTACCTGTACCGCGCTCAGTGTGAATGGTGGTTCACTGAAACTAGTGGGTTGCTGATAGATTGATCTTCTGCAGATTGCGTCCGAAATAACGCCCATGCCCTAGAATAAGCCCATGCCCAAATATACGCCCGGTTTTTGACGCTCTTTAAAGTATACGCCCGGGGCTTATAAACGGAATTTTACGGTATGATCGTTTGGTCGGATCCGGATCCAGATCCAAATCTCAGATCCGTCGGAATCAACCGATCACTTTTTCTCGGACCTTGGCTGTTGCCATGTGGACGAAGTAAAAAATGGCGCTGACAGGTCACCCAAAAGGGCGAAAGTCGTACTGATCGCGCATGTCGTACTAAAAGTCAACAAAAGTCGACTAGTCGTACGACAATGAGTACAAAAATGATTTTTACCCGCCATATACGCACAAAGGTCACATTTGGATCTGATGGATCCAGTCAACCCTGCTCCCGGGGCAGGGTTGCTCGGATCCAAATCCAAAGGATCTGGATCCGGATTCGACCAATCAATCACTGCAGATCCAGTGGATCCGACAGAATTGGATCTGGATCCGACCAAACGATCACGGCCATACAGTACACGGTTTGCAAAATGAATGATTTTTGGCCGAGTATCACGTTGGCTATTTGCAAGATGATAAAAGTGTACAGCAGCATGCAGCAAGAGAGTCTCGCTTTTGAAAAGTAATGAAAACGGCATAACAAACTCGCAGTGGAGTTCTTTACCCAGCGCAAGCTTTGTACGACGTGTTTCATGCATTCTAAAAAAGTTGACGTCTACCAAAGTCCGCTGTGGGCCAGATCAGCTGTGCTGCGGAGTTGCACACTCTTGCTGATGTACTCGTACTGTAGTACAGAATGACATCATGCACATGACTAGACATGGCACAGCCTGGCACAGTACAGCTCCAGTAACTAAGAATAATAATTATAGAGGTTCTCTTTTCGAACTTCAAAAACCTATTGAGCACAGAAATAGGATGTCATTGAATGATGTCCAAAGAAGATAATGAGACAAAGAATTTGAAAGAAAGCCAACGGACAACTCTACTTCAAAGTAAGAATAGTGTCCAAAGAAGATAGCGAGACGACGACAGCCAATGGACAATACTCAACTCGGTGATAATGAAACATTGCAGATAACAAATCTATGAGAAAGTCATTGAAGCAGGATCAACAATAACTGTTTCTAAGCAAGACATGGAAGATGATACTCTTATCTTATCGACATAAAGACATCTGTCCATAAAGTAGAAAACAAGTTGAGCAGACGCCTTAGTCCATACAGGAGTGCATACAGGAGTGCATACAGGAGTGCATACAGGAGTGCATACCATGGCACTGGTACACAGACGGCTTAGTCCATACAGGAGTGCATACCATGGCACTGGTACACAGACAGCATGCCATGACACTGGGTACACTGGGGAAGCAGATTCCTGGAAACCAACCACCAGCGGAAATATACTCCAAACCGTCTTAACGTTACCCCAACACTCGAAACTGAAAATATCATCGAGATGATAATACTGCAGACAGACCACTTATGTACAGATAGGTACACTGTGCAGTATGGAGTAGAAGTACAAAACAACCATGAAGAGCGGATGCACCTGAAGCATCGTTGCAGAAGGGAATGCAAGACCATGCACACTTCTGAATTCCACTCTCACTGGGTTAGTAATAGTACAAGGCATGTGCCTAAAGTACACCTTACTCAAGGTACACGAGGTACACAAACACAACAGAGACTGGCACATGCTGGCAGTGCGACCAGCACACACGAGATCATCTCGAGCAAGAACAGACTGCGACACTGTGACACGGGGACTATAGCACTAGTACAAGTTGTTACAAAGTTGTCCAATGACCCGTGTGAAAACAGCACATATCCAGTGAAACCTCACTGGTATTAACTGCTGCTGCCACGCTGACACAGAGTACGAGAAAGTATAGCTGGTTGGTCTGGAGATGATGCTTCAAGCCCGGCTTGCCATCAGGCTACAGAGCTATGAACTCCACACACACACACACACCTCAGACATCAGACCTGCCCATCGCGGAAGCGATGATAGCGAACAGCTATGTTAGACACACACACACACACACACACACACACACACACACACACACACACACACACACACACACACACACACACACACACACACACACACAGAGTTTACAATGACGAGACAGCATCTCAAAGCTGCAGGACAAGTCTAAACAAACAGTGGTCTTAGCTGCCCACAGAGAGTTCCTTAATTTGACGCAGCAGCTCATCTTCACCCTTCAGTTTTTCCAGCTGAAACAAAAGAAAACAAAACGAGAAGAGAGAGAGAACAGTGAGTGGGTAGACAACACTCCCTTCATGCTTTGTTACAAATATTTAAAATGACCCCAGTTTTCTTGGGAGACAAAAATGAAATGAAACTAAGGAATAGTCTAAGCTTCAGGCTCTTTTTACAATCGACATTTTCTATTTCGGTGTTTGTGTTATATTTATCTTTATAAGCGACACATACCTGATTGCCTTCGAGCGTCTTGCCTTCTGCCTGCTGTGCTTTCAGTTTCTCAATCTGCTGCAATTTCTATTAACACAAGCATGGGTAGCAAACCAGAATACAATCATACATTATTCTCCAAATCCTCTACAAATGATGACAAGAGAGAGAAGCAGAGAAAACAAGAGAGGGAGAGGGAGGGAGAGAGAGAGGGAGAGAGAGAGGGAGAGAGAGGGATAGATAGATAGATAGATAGATAGAGATAGAGAGGGGATAGATAGATCGATAGAGAGAGAGAGAGAGAGAGAGAGAGAGAGAGAGAGAGAGAGAGAGAGAGAGAGAGAGAGAGAGAGAGAGAGAGAGAGAGAGAGAGAGAGAGAGAGAGAGAGAGAGAGAGAGAGAAGAGAGAGAGAGAGAGAGAGAGAGAGTACAGATAAGGCCATGGTAAAAAAATAAAGTTGATTCTCAGGTCATGAGCCTGTGAAAATCGGTGCGAGCGAGCATTGTTTTATTTTATTTCCCACAATTTTTTTATTTCCAAAGATAGGGTCACACATACAAATATATGTACATGGTCACATGTTCATAATATTCAGGCCAGGAAGTAGAAAAATACCGGTATTTTACTACTCCCTGATTCATGCCTTTCGCCGGCCAATGCGCGCATATGCATAAAAAAAATATAAAAAAAATTTCACGGTTCGCGTGAGACTCAGCTAGAAGCCGAGTTTTCCGCATCCGCCGTGGGAACGCCACCACCCTCTAGGATCAAAGGCGCATATGCATGCATAGAAATAAAAAAAATCGTCGGTGCGCGCGTACTTGAGAATCAAAGATAATTTTTACCATAGCCTAAGAGAGGTTCTACTGCACGACAAAAGGAACATTGAATAACTTTCGAGCCCAATTCCTGTATTCATTCTATCATTGCATACAATCACATGTTTACGGTTTTACATTCAGTCTCCTTGATCATATTCTCTGCCAGAACTGTTATGACAATAACTTACCTTTCTCAGAGCACGTATCTTCTTCTCATTTTCTACTGGCGTTGTACTGACGGCAGCAGCAGATGCAGCTGGGGCAGGGGCAACGAGGCAGGTAGCCATGGCAACTGCATCACGTTGAGCCTGGGTCACTGCACTACCCGGTGCTGTGCTTGTGTCACTTGCCTAGACATTACGTGATGATGTCACACCGCCATGCCATCATGACATAGACATTACGTGATGATGTCACACCGCCATGCCATCATGACATAGACATAAGAAAGAAATAGAACAAGAAGCAGAGATAGAATGATTTCATTAGCCATGACCAAGTACATGTAGTACATGTCAAGGGAAACGGTTCACTACAATGTAAGTTACACCTTAGCCGGAGTACAATACACATCACATTCAACAACAAATAACAATCCTGCACCTATCAAAGTACACTGGTCGCCATACATACATGTATATCTACAGTATTGTGAGCAGACACTGATATTTCCAGCTTGAAGTGCTAGCATTGTACCCAGCGCACTGCACACCGGAAAATGTTAGATTGCATAATATAGTGGAATGGTGTAATCCTCACATCTTCTTTCTTGCCACCACGTCGTTTCTTATTCTTCTGGGCAGATTTGGATAGAGGCTTAGCAGCTGTATAACAGATACAAACAGAGGATGAACATCAGCAGTCAAGCATCGGAAATAGCTGGCAAGAATGCCATACTTTGGATAAGTTGTTGAGCAGTGGTACTCCAATAAGGTGAATGACGGTGCATATACACGGCACAAGCAGCACTTGAAATCAAAATGGAGCTCTGCAAGGTGACTACAGTCAGACCTCGCTTATCCGGTCCTCGTTTATCCGGATCCCTCGCCATCCGGACGAAAAAAGCTGGTTACATATTTACAGCATACGTGATGCATCCAACATAAACGGTGTTCGGTTATCCGGTTCCCTCGCCTATCCGGATATTTTTTTGGAAAACGGATGTGTGCGGTTAAGCGAGGTCTGACTGTACTTGTATTACATAGCATGCACACAGCACAGCTGTGAAGCCAAGCAATTCACTTTTACAGCAGCAGCAGAGGCAAGGTGAGCATAACATAGACTTACGCTCTTCTGCCTTCATGGCTGCAGCTGCTCCAACAACCTGAGGACGTTCATTCTCATGCTGTACATGAACAAAACAGAAGGCCCAGCGCAAGCTCCTTCAACATTCAGTATGTTTGGCTAGCAAATTCCTCTCTCCAAGACATTTCTGAATGAGCTCAGAAGAATGCTAGGGTTGAGTCAAGGAAAAGCAGCAATGAAGTAATAACATTATAACCTTCCCATTCAACCTTTGTATAGCAAGTCAGTTCATCAACAGCAACACGCAGAGGTATGGGTAAGGGTGAGCGAGCAGTTGGGCATCTGAAAAGCTGCCCCTTACCCTCACCACCACTTCACCGCCTGTGACAACAAAGTAGGAGAAGCATCTTGTACTCAGCAGTAGTGCACGACGGCGGTGCCACCAGCAGCCATACTAGTAGTACTACCAGCAGCCATAGTGCCACCAGCAGCCACAGTGCCACCAGCAGCCACAGTGCCACCAGCAGCCATAGCGCCACCAGCAGCCATAGCGCCACCAGCAGCCATAGCGCCACCAGCAACCATAGTGCCACCAGCAGCCATAGTGCCACCAGCAGCCATAGTGCCACCAGCAGCCATAGTGCCACCAGCAGCCATAGTGCCACCAGCAGCCATAGTGCCACCAGCAAGGAACAGCAACACGCAATAGAACCAGCACCAGTACAGAGTGGCAGCAGCAGCAGCAGGAGTAGGGTGCAACTCACCAATTTGAGAGATGATGTGGTACCTCTTGCACCCGGGGGCCGATACGCTGCTGGTTTACCTGTAACAGATAGGAACCAACAGCCATTATGCCCACATCATCATATTAAAACTGTACAAGGTACAATACCCATGTTACTTTAGTACAATACTGTATTGCCACTAGTGGGCAATGGAGAGTGGATAGAGAACGCACAATGCAGATGAAACAATCGGCAACCTCCTTTCTAATATGGCACAGGACATCAGTTGTTTTTGTGGGACTACAGCCGTGCCCACGACATGCCACACTTTATACTTTTCGCATGCATGCGATCACACTCAGCACAGCAATCCTGAATGGTATGTTAAAACTGAGTACTAAAAATTAGTTAAAATACCCCATACAATGCAATAGGGAATGAAGCATTCCCAGTGATTCCCAGTGGATACAATACACTAGCCACACGCTGACCCTATAACCCTATAACGCTAACCCTTTAGTCTTGATAGTCAGTTTCCCCCTATGCTGCGCTGATGAGTCCACACAGGACGAAACAGTTCTGTCCGCAGAGTAAGCAGCCATGATACATGTAGTATGTATATGTATGACATAGTATGGCAGGCACATACTTGTACTTTGAAGTACTTGAGTATGCTGCGGGCTAGACCTATAGGATGCATGGCCTGGTATAGCATGAACATAGATTACTTTTGCTTTCTTGTGTTATCGATGCTTGCACGCCGATGACAGCCTTGGCACGGAATGTACCGTACGGTACGGGTTGACAGCAGACCTACAACAGTGCACATCACCATCAGAAACAACAATAAATACGTGTACCAACACCATCACATCTTCATCTTCTTCAGTGAGAATGGATGGCTGGTGTGGTCAACAGGGGGGAATGGCTGGTGTGGTCAACAGGGGGGAATGGCTGGTGTGGTCAACAGGTGTGAATAGTGCAAAGGCATGTTATGGGTACTGAAGCAGTATCATGCCAGGGCTCCGCTTCAAGCGCTGTGCTTGCCCCTGACTCTCGGTCATGTTCTTGAGAGAGACCCAAGACTGAATTGTTGAGGGATTGACGGAATTTAAAAATTCTGTAAGGAGACAATGGAGAGAATGTTGAAGAACTTGTTTTGACATAAAAGAAGTTCAAACCGTGTTGTTGTAGTCTATGGCAGTGAGTGTGTGTTCGTGTAGAGTAAGCATATGTGAGTGTGTGTTTCGTGTAGAGTAAGCATATGTGAGTGTGTGTTTCGTGTAGAGTAAGCATATGGCCAACAGTAGGTAGGATATACCGTATGTAATACATCTATAGTAAAACCTGGTTTAAGTGACCAGCCCACGCTGCAAGCAAAAGCGGTTGTTAACCCTTTGGAGCCTGTACATTCAAATATCGACGGTATGCCGTCGACGGACTAAAACGTTCGTAACTCACTCGAAACTTGACGGATTTCCACGATCGAAATATCTGGAAAGAAGCCGAAGAGCTCAGCTTTCTAATGCAACAATTGCCGAAGAGCTACGATATCGCGTTGCAGAGATATCGCGCTCGACATTTCAGTCACGGCAAAAGTGAACCTTTTTCTCAGCGACTGGCCTTGAGTGAGGGATTTCCCCTTGGATGACATCCTGATTCACCCAGGCACGCTTCGAAGCTTCCTGCACGTGGTCAGCATAAAACTAAACTCAGTGCAAAAAAATGAGCGTTCCGCGATGAATGAGAGTGAAATGGCTGGCGTCGAGGAAATTTGCTCGTATATCCAGCTCTGGGGACTGTTCGAGGCGCCGTGGCGTTGGATATGTGACTGCTGTGGTGTTGAATTTGAGCTCTACTTACTCTGCTCGCGGAGAGCTTTCCAGGAAGCCCAAGATTATGGAAATCCAAAAACGAACACCAATGTTATGCCCAAAAAAAGGTAAAGAATATGTCGCAATAGCAGTTGCATACAATTATCAGGATTATTTGGGGCTCCAAAGAGTTAAGCCAGGTGGTCTTTAGAACCAGGTCCCACAGTGTCTGTGTAGAACTGTCGGTGCATGGAGAAACGGTCGTTAAGAGCAGGTGGTCGCTAAACACAGAGGTCGCTTACACCAGGTTTAACTGTATGTACAGGGCTGCTCAATGAAATCCGATCGCGCGAGTCCAGAATGCACCGGGCGCTGCGCAGCCTAGACCTGCGAGCATTGGGATGCTCACTGTTGCAGGGCGCAAACCTGACTCACTCGATCTGATTTCATTGAGTAGCACTGTATGTTCTCTTCTTACCTGCCACAGTTCATCTTTTGCACCAGGAACTGACCATCTTCCCACGTCTCTTCCAGAGTAGTGCCAAATACGGTACCTGGCAGCAGCAGATAAAGAGAAAGAAATAAGAAAGAACGGGGGAATAAATACGACACAAACTGCTGAATATCTTCACAATCCTCTTCATTATAGGCCATTCATACGACGGCGGTATGTGTTCACATTCGCACACTCCTGCTGTACTACGATCCACGGCCTAACACTTCACACAGCGATACGTGCTCACGTTTGCACGCTCCTGCGGTTCTAAAATCCACGGCATGGCACATCACACGGCGATAGCATATGCTCACGTTCGCACGCTCCTGCGGTTCTACGATCCACAGCATGACACTTCACACGGCGGTATGTGCTCACGTTTGCCCGCTCCTGCGGTTCTACGATCCACGGCGTGACTTTTAAAACACTTCACATGGCGCACACGATCTGGCCACGTTTTGACAGTTGTCTAGGTAATGGTAATTGGAGGCGTGTATTTTGATGGAAATAAGCATTGACTTTTCTCGTCGTATGAGAGGCATATAGTCAGTTGGTACACTGGTTGATGACTTGAAGCCATCTTCTCAATTCGTACAGTACAGAAACTCAATTGTTTGTTTGTTTTTACCTCCAAAGACCCTACTCATACAAGTGTCTGAAGGGCCTAAAGTGACAATACATCCACCTGCCTAAACCAAACAATAACATAGTCCTACAGAGCTCCATAGTACAGCCTAGGTAATGTGACAGTGGGGCACTGTATTGCCTAGTACATGTGTGGCAGTGCAATTGTACAGCCCAGACTGCACTGGGACAGTGTGACACTGTATTGCCTAGTATCAAGAGTACATAACCCCCCAGAGTGTGCAACGCCTGATCCAGCTCTGCATAGGGTCTTGGTCGAGCGGAATCGGATCTTTGCGTCATAATACCGTACACATCTGAGGGGAACCCGGGGAGTCGCGGGTACTCTTGGATCAAAAACAATGGTGCCCTGCCTCGAGACCGGCCTTGCGCTGGTGTGAAGTGTACGCATGACATCAGAAGATCCGATTCCGCTCGACCAAGACCCTACACAGAGCTGGATCGGCGTTGCACACTCTGGGGGGTTATGTACTCTTGCTAGTATGTATGCCAGTACAAACTGAGATGGCTAACTCATTGTACAGCCCAGGCTGCACTGGGACAGTGTGACACTGTATTGCCTAGTATGTATGCCAGTACAAACTGAGAAAACTAACCCATTGTCCTGTCTTAGTCGTGGTGCTGTTGTTGCTGTGAGGAAATGTTCACCATCTGGACACCACTGGAAGGATGTTGTATCCGACGCCTACAGCACACCAAGAGCAGTACATGACGATTTAGAGCATGCAGTTTCACATCTCACAATAAAATACGCATGGATTACTAGTACGAGGTGATTCGTAATTTTTTAAACATTGAGTCATTTCTTAAAGGGGAAGTTAAGGCAAAAATCAAAATTTCACCAGTTGTAGTCTTCGGGGTGCTGAGTCGAATGGTCGTGGTCCGAGGAAGCTCAGACGCTCCCTTCCTACTTGAATCCCAATCGAACTCACGCACTTCCACCGAAACTGGGTGACTGCGCCCTTCTAGATGGGGATTTGTATGTAAAATGTCGATAAAAGCGCCATTTCGTTCTTATAAAAGCACGGATGACCGCGATTGGCCCATATGTTGTAGTCTTTTGGACGCTGAGTCGACTGGTTTTGGTCCGAAAAGGCTGCGATGCAGCGTTCCTCCTTTATTCCCAATCGAACATGGTTGAACAAGTGGTCACGTGCTCCTGGGTGCCCAAATCACCTGGTCACCGTGCCTGCAGGGTACAACTTACTAGCCTGTTTGACCTTTGTTGGGTGCAGTCCTGTCACTCGAATTGAACCTTGGTGTGAAAGTTGTCGCCTGCTGGCGCTGTGACCAGGTGACTTGGACACGCAGGAGCACGTGACCGCTTGTTCAACCATGTTCGATTGGGAATAAAGGAGGAACGCTGCATCGCAGCTTTCTCGGACCAAAACCAGTCGGCTCAGCGTTCAAAAGACTACAACATATGGGCCAATCGCGGTTATCCGTGCTTTTATAAGAATGAAATGGCGCTTTTAGTGACATTTTACATACAAATCCCCATCTAGTATGGCGCAGTCACCCAGTTTCGGTGGAAGTGCGTGAGTTCGATTGGGATTCAAGTAGGAAGGGAGCGTCTGAGCTTCCTCGGACCACGACCATTCGACTCAGCACCCCGAAGACTACAACTGGTGAAATTTTGATTTTTGCCTTAACTTCCCCTTTAACAAATCGGTAAAATTATCTCATTGCCAGCGCCTGCAAAAAGTCAAGTCAAATTTCTTTTTGCCATTGCCATCGCCAATGTTCTGTCAAGTTCGCCTCCAACATTGAGACTGATATTCCTTCACGAAGTGACATTGCAAGAGCTTTCAGTCTGCATGTGCGCGATGTTTACGGTAAAATAGAGTATAAGAGAGTCATAGCCGCTGGTTTCAACCACCAGTGACAACACATTTAGCTGAAGAGGAAACATATGATAGCTACATACTGGAAACTACGCCTGGGAAGGAGGAATGTCGGTGTGTTGGCCCTGGTGACGGCCAAACATTGGCAATTACTGATTTTACTAACAGATGTTGATCACAATTGCGTATGAAATCAGGGTGATAAACCTATTGCTATGCAAGCTTGAATGGCTTGTACTTGGATGAACATGATCTTGATCCAGTCTTGCTGGACCGCCCTGGATATGTAGGGTCTCTTTCTATTGAAAACTGACTTGAAATTGTGCTGCTAAGGCCTATTTTTCCATGATGTTAAGAAATGACCACAACAAATAATGTGCGGAAAAATTGCCATTTTTCAGCTGCCACCTGCTTCCCAACACCAAGGATTATGTGAATGAACAACCCACCATTGCAATCTAAGGACATCACTATTACATTTTTAGATGAAGAAATGGAAAGATTCGCACCTCGAACCCTACGGAAGGCTTTTTTTACTTTCGTGTTAAATAATGACGAATCACCTCGTACATCAAGATTCAAGAGAAGATTACCGCTACTATTTTTTATAGAGTGTGTAACTAGCTGTTACTTAAAACCTCCATACAGTGTTGTGACGACAGAACTGTTACTTCACATCATGTGACATGGACATGGTTCAAAAGGCTACGCTGGCAAACAGTACAAAGCGACCAGCAAAGTGTTGTACCCAAAACAGGGCCGAGTCCAATCCTACCCTGTATCCGCCATGCGCAGGGTGCAAATAATGTGTACAAGTACGGGTTTGTCATGTGATGATGTGAAGTTCTGCCGTTGCAGACCCCATAGCTGGAGTTCACTTGCGGGGGGGGGGGGGGGTCCGTACACTTGATAACATGCATAAAGCACCACCGAATAATGTGACTTCATAACACAGACATAGCAAGGAGAGCCCAAGCATTCAGCACATCTGCCAAATTCCATTGCTAAATGATCTGTGATGTGACTGTATGAAACCGTTGAGTAGCCTCACACCAGAACAAACCTCTTAGGTTCCATTTGTTCTGTCATTCCCGAATGGGCATGGAATGACGTTGGTAGTACTTGGTACTCATCGGGGAATCGGAATGAGCGCAGCAAACAAACGCGCCGGCATGCACTCGGGAATCTGGCAAAAGTTTTGCGCCACTCTGGAAACGAAACGACGGTCGAATATTTTTGGTTTTTTAGTATGAGTATTACCTGTTGTTTGCATGCAGCCTTTTGCGAAGACTACTGCATGCCAGTCCTGGTAGTTGCTATTTGCTTTCGTAAGTTTCTGCATGTCCCAACGACAGTCATGATGAAGGAGCGGCCAAACACGGCGTAGATCAATGAGCGCCCGTAACTAGGGTGCCTGCAGGCGGCGTTTGGCCGCTACTTCATCATGCTATTCGACCTCGTATCTGTCACAGAAACGTCTCTAGCTCTCGTGTTTATTTGACAGAGACGAGGCACTGTTGTAAGAAGAAGTGAAGTGGCAGGCTCGGTGCCTCTTTGGGTCTTGGATCTTTGGCTCGAAAAATAGTTCTGGCTTGCCTCCCTGTGATTCTAGAGGCCCTGCTCGACGACGATGAAGAGCTGAAGTGCGAGCGTATATTTCCAGTTCATCAATGATCCCGGGCGAACACTTTCTCAGGCAGCAAAGGGTCAAATTACCACGAACAAGTTACTATGCCGAGGTTACAGTACCACGTACCAGCCTATACCCTGGGCGATGTCCGCCAACATACTACTAAGTTAGTATATCGATAATCGCGTTTAAAGCTTTGTTGGAGAGGTATGCAGCAGCGACGAAGCCCCTCCGAGCATTTTCATTCCGCTCGGACTCGCTCGGAATGAGACCTCATTCCACTTTTTCTTAGGAATCGCCAGAATCGATTCTGCCCCCTTCATTCCATGACCGGAATCGGAATTGCACCGAACAAACGCTCCGGAACCAAAACACGGCGGAATGACTTTGGTATGGTGGCGGAATGGCACCGGACAAACGCAACCTAACTAACGTCTCTGTTATGTGTGGTGGGGCTCACACAGACTTGTATGGTGGCTGACACCACCTCATGCCTTGTAGGTCAATTTCCACCTATGCTAACAGTGCATACTGAAAATGATCACAGAGCCGGTCTCCTACATCTCAGATGCCTGCTTTGGTTCACAGAGACTCCTTCATAGCTGGCCTATCGATAGCTATAGAGAAGGCGGTGGGATTGCATTTGAAAAAAAAAAAACTCAAGCTTGGACCTATGCGATCATGCACATCGACAACTCCTCATCATGATCATACCATACTAGTATCTTGTGAAAGGGCTAGATGAAGACGTGGCTCCGCCAGGAATACCACAGAGATGCCCAAGAGTCCTTTCATGCATCACGGGAAAACATCAGGGACAGCTCTGGTGGGGTTTACACCGCTGGTTCACTTTGGTATAATTTCAATTATCACATTCGCACAATCAATACATACCTGACACTTGGAAACAAGTTGCAATTTCTCACGACTCCAGAATTCCTGAGCAACGGAAACAGAGAGCAGCGTGCAAACTTCAGAAGTCTTATTGCACTAGAAAGAACGCAGCACAAACAGTTCAACAACATCTGTGGAGACGACAAAATGCAACATCATTTTATTCAAATCATCCACTACTAACCCAGGCAAAGCAGCTGAGACATACATGTATACACTTCACATTAAAAAATTGGTTGTGAGCAACACTGGCTCACACTCAAATCACTGCTTTTCACCAGAAAAATACTTTATTTCAACGTTTCGGTCATGAAATAACCATCATCAGGAATGTTGCTCACAACCAATGTTTTACTTATGAAGCTGCGTGATGCGTCCTACAAGATTTTAAACACTTCACATTATTCCCATTATTCGCTATGTAGGCCCTTTGACAAAGTAGTATAAATTATTTACAGATTGAGAGTCACGCGAGAAAGTGCAAGATCACAGCGATTGGACACAGTCATGTTAAAACTACAAAATAAACAGGAACCATCACCTGCAAGGAAGAATGTTATAGTAACACCTACCAAATGGCCGGGGAGGTTTCCAAATCCAGACAGGCACATCAGTGATCGACAGCAAAGCAAAGTCAAGGACTATGCAGTAGTACAGAACATTGTATCCAATCTCCCAAACACTCAATTCTCAGATAACAGGAATAGAAGCAGTGCAATGCGACACAATCACCACCAATTGAGAACACATCTGCCCCCCCCCCCCCCTAACATACACATGCACACATGCACACATGCGCACACGCACGCACGCACGCACACACACACACACACACACACACATGCACACAGTTGACCATTGGAGAGCAGTAAAAGACAACATCAGCGGTAGCGGCAACAGCAAATATCATAAAGGCAATATGTGCCGTTTATGCAGGATGATGAGGATATCTGTTCCATGACTGTTGTAGTTGACAGCATTGCGAGGTCCGGTACCGAAATCAAACACGGGCTCACACTTCTGATTGAACAAAGTCGCCTTGGCCGGCATGACTGCAAGTGCGCATGGCGGCGAGAGTTAGGGAAATCAATATACCATTCAACATGAATTCAAGAATATAAAAAAAGAGCACTTGCTTATTACCAAACACACCTACAATAGCCCCCACCCCACGTACCGGGTGATCACCTACAATACCCCCCCCCCCCCCGGTAGTCACCTGCAATATCTACCCCCCCCCCCCCCCCATGTACCGGGTGATCACCTACAATACCCCCCCCCCCCCGGTAGTCACCTGCAATATCTATCCCCCCCCCCCCATGTACCGGGTGGTCACCTGCAATAAAATACACATTGTGACACGGTTTTGAAGCACAGAATTCAATTCAAGCCAATACTGACTTGCCAAGAGTACTAGCGCACAGTCCAGAGTGACGACACAGACAATGAATATTCAAAATATCACCCTGGTATCGTCATCAAAGCACAGGATCACAATGACATCACCACGACATCATAATGACATCACATGACACAACTGTACATATGACATATTCGGTGAGGATACAGCCGTATACTACACAAAACTCGCGTCCATTCGGATGCCAGTCACTGGAATAAATAGGTCCCTTCTTGGCTGCAGCGACAACCAAGTCAGAAAAGCGACAACAGCAGCAGCAGCAGCAACAGATAAGACTTCCAGCAGCAGGTACTTTGCTGTGGGTGAATATTGCTGACACGATGAATGGAAGTTGCAGCCACTTCTCCCCAGCATCTACCTACTGATACATACGCAAGTCTGTAGTGCAATGTATTTGTTACAATCTAGTGTTTGGGCAAATTCGCTATTCTATTGGGCGCGTTCGGTTACACGCATTTCGATCAGTTCTGGTTGCACCGTTCGATTACACAAATTCTGTCGTCAGAAGGGACGGAATCCAATTCCGTCCATTCTGAAGAGGAATTGCTAATTCTCCCGCCAGAATTGGCGCACTCGACGTACACGCCATGCTAAGTCCACGTGCACGCGAGGGTGTACGAGATCCCACGCGATCCCCTTTTACGATTTTTACGCGTAGTTGTTTGTTTATTTGCCGCATTCTGTTCATTCGAGAATTATAAAACCTGGATCCACAATATGTAATCGAACGCGCCCATTGTATTGGTTGTTGTTGATGATGGCCTTGTCTATTTCCATCATGTATTCTCCCAATATCCTTCCTTGTTGTCTCACTTCCAGCTACCCTCTTCCCAACGCAGTCGTCACCCCTAATCCATAATTCTTCCTAAAGCTGGCGCCTACTTTCGTAAATCAACCCTTTTTTCTTTGAGTGTTGCTTGGAATAAACTTCCTGAAGACATTGGTTCACTCTCTACAACAGCGAAATTTAGTATTGCTGTGCGTCGGTATCATTCGCAATCTATGTTTTCTTTGAAAGGTATTCCTGACTTTTGTGTCTAGGCTAACCACATCTATGATAGTTTCAATAGTTTGTGTATATGTCAGTTATAGTAGTCCGCAATGCTGCTTTTCTAATTCTCATTATGATTAGCATGCAATGTACTACTTGAAGTACCCGAAGTACTGAATTTACTTCTTTTGTACTCTATTCTAATGTATCTTCTACCTCTTCTCCCCTACCAACATACTTTCTCATTTTCCATACTTACTTAGAATACCCCCTCCGATAGGCATCTATTTGCCTCTGGAGGATCCGTGAAATAAAAATCAATCAAAATAACTGTGTGGGAGTCTGTGCTGTGTTTCAGTATTGTCATGATTGTGGATACATTACTAGTAGTGCAAAGAGCGGAGTCCTCCGGTTCGATAGAGTGCTCAATTCTGAATTCTGAACGGGGATTTTTACTACAGTCAACTTCGCTAATAACTACTGCAGATATAACCGCAATTCGCGAATAACAACAGAATTTCCATGCCTAGAGCAAAGTCCTATCTAACTGTAATACATAATTATAATGAGACTTGGGGTATAAGGACACTTTTCCGATGCCCCGCCGAGTGTCGTTATACGCAAAGTCGACTGTAAATTTCATCTTCAGCGTTACTATAATAAAATAATTATATTATTAAATTTTGGGGTGACAACTTATGGACAGGGCCTTGAACTATCCTCAAATCGAACTTGTGGTTGATGGGTGTTATGCACATGGCAGCCAAAAGCACATACATGGATACAGATTGCACAAATACATGGAGTAAAGCAGGCATTTCACACTGCACACTGCACACTGCAGCCATGTACGTACATAGAGTAACCATCGTGCCAGCACCAGTCGTGTCTAAATACTGCAGGCCTTGTTCACCATAGTAGGAAGCACCGCTAGAGTCAACCTCCACACTAGTAACACCAAGGAATGCAGTGCCTGGAGACCAGCATGGAAACACAACACACAGTAACAGCACAGTTAGCAACAACACAATAAGCAACAACACAGCATACCACAAGCAAAACAGCAGCAAGCAACAACAGCGACAGCAGCAACAAACGCAGTAGCAAAAATACTGTAGCCAAAGTCAAGGAAATCCATCTTATAGACAAGTGTGCTCCTCCTCGGCAGAATACTAGTATTCTTCAGGAAAATTTCACTTTAACCCTTTATTGGCCGATTAAAATATAAACAAGCCCACGCAATCGCCAAACCTGTACCTAAATTGGACGTAACTTTTGTTTGCATTGGACAAATTCCACGACCTTGGGCATCCTGGAAAGGCCTTACCTAGAGGAGCGCAATGAGCGTACACTCGACTCCACGGGATGCACTGGCCCAGCGCTGCAAGCCAGGGAAGGCCCACCAGCGCTGGGCTCACGCTCGAGATCAATCTCTATCCACCATTTCACTCCTGTTGCTCGTATCAAACTCAATTTTTTTCGTAGAGACTCCCGGGAACATGCTTTTGAAGTTGAATCGGTGTAGTCTTGTCAACAGGTGACGTAAGCAGGGAAAATCCCGGCCGCTGACCCACGCATCGCCCTCTGAGCGCAAATTTCCCGGGACCAACATTACGAGTGCTATAACTCAAGAACCGCTTATTGTATCGCTTTGAAAATTGTTCGAGGCGACAGCTGAGAGTTTTCTCTTCGACCTACATATTTCGATTCCTCAGAAAGACCGAGATTTGACCAAGTTACGATAATTTCAAAATGCCTACCCCATGTTCGATCAATGTATATGCCAGCCAATAAAGGGTTAACAGTGGATACTGTGGGGTAGGATATCATTAACTAGTTGAGTGCTGTGTAATAAAACCCTGCTGCTTTCATAGGTGCGGTGGACACCGTTGCTTATTGAAGGATATGGTTAGCGAGTGCAGGCTGTCGTAATAAAACGACTCATCCGTGTTCCATTCCCGTGCATGGTACATGCATGGTGCGACGGCACAATGACAGCTGTCGCAAATCACACTGAGTATTACATGTGTTTTTTGGTGATTCCTGGTTAGCTGCTAGCTTTTCCCTACTCGAAGTTGTTGCCGCCGCGAAATCTGGGGGTTTGTGTTCGTCCTGGCGAAAACCGTGTTTTGATCCGTTGAGGGAGACGAGAGATACAGTGCGAAGACGTACGATCTGTCCGAGAATCGGCGAAGAAGAAAGCTTCGCAGACTACCCGTAGTGGTTGGGAACAGAATGGAACATATACCAGTCGATGCCTGTCATGGTAGGGATGACTGCTACGAAGTTTTAGCCCCATGCTCCCCAGCGCTTTTTAGCGCCCGACGATAATTACCAAATTTCATCGATTTTCCATGTGGATCAAAGCATAGTCTCCTCAATCTTCTCCAGTCGAGCAGAGTCTGGACGCTACAATGTCGAGACGCGAAAAGAGAACATGCATGAACACACAGGAGCATCACATGCAGCTGCATTCTGCCTTGACGAAGCTGAGAACAACACCAGCACCACGCATTTGGAAGACATTTCGAAGAAGACGAAGAACTACATATCCGCGTTCAAAAAAGCCTCTGTACTGCGTGTGTGCATGCAGTATGCATGCATGCATGCGCGAAGCACGGGGTCCGCGGATCAACTTCGTTCAAAAATCATTGTGCCACACGGGTTGTATGATTTGTGTGCGATCATGGTCTTTCTTCTTGACAAACAAAAGTGAAGTTTTTCGATCTTCAAATCGCCATAGCGTCCTTGTCATGACTCCAAATCAGCTGAAACTTTGCAGGAGGAATGAAAATGCCATGCTGAATCGATTGGTACCATTTTCGAAGGGTTTCCTTGAAAAATAAAATTTAGCCTGCACTGGCTAATATGGTATACTGTACATCAAGAAGTAACGGCTACTGTGAAGCACATTATATAATACAGCATATGGCGGAGCACCAACGAAGGCACAACACCCACCTTGAACGTTCCAGCTAATCTTCACATTGTCACACTTGAATATACTGCGACTGGCAAGGACATTCTCAAAGCCAGGATAGCGATAGAGACGAATGAATGCTGGTCCGCCCTGTCAGCACAATGATACGCAAGACAAAAGAATAATGCAATGGTTGTAACAAACACACTACATGTACTTCATCACACAACACTCTAATATAATCAGTGATCAGGAAAAACACAACTGATAAATACAATGTAGAAAGAAGAAGGGATACATGGGTACGATTTCTACATTTAACATTGGCTAAGTATCCGGGCTTCATAAAATACTTCCGTACCATCATTATTTGAGCTGGAGAGTTCACGACGGAAACCAACGAAACTTGGCTGTTTGGTCGTACTCCCATGAGAAATGGCCAAAATCATTGGCTACCGTCAAGAGTCCGTAGTCCCCCCATGTATATGTATACATGTATGTGTCAACACGGCATGCTTTGTGCTGGTCTGGCGCGGCAATTTCTAGGACGCAGTAATCAATATCATAATCGATAATCGAATCGATACAAGGGTAGGTTAACGGATAGTTGAAAAGTGTAATCGCTTCACCCCTAATTTCAACCTCTTTCGGAAACTTAGCTTAGCTTTTGGTCAACGGCTGCAGTCACAGTTTAGCGCTATAAGAGGAGCCGTCTGTAACCAGTACATTGTATACCAAGCTTGTTCATGAAACTAAAGTTCCACTTTATGGGTGGGTGGTCAAGGTCAGTCTCCTTTTGGAAATTACTGAAAGACGAAAAATAGGCATGTCCTTGAATAACATATTTTCGTGGGGGGGGGGGGGGGGGGGCAGACATTTTTCACTCTGCACAATGCAATACTCTTTCTGAGGGGGATAGATAGATAGATAGATAGATAGATAGATAGAGAGAGAGAGAGAGAGCAGTAGTAGTAGTAGTAGTAGTAGTAGTAGTATTTATTTTATTTACCATCGGATGCCTCAACAGTGATATACACAACTTAAGAGGGCCGATAAGCCGATAAGGCCACACGTTTTTATTTCTATATTTCTCGTCACCCGCGCGCATACGATTCAGGAGTCTGGAAGAAAAAAAAGAAAAAAACTGTGCTGCACTGACTGTGCATGTGGGAGCCAGCACACTCATGCACATGTACATAATGTGGTCTGGCCTGCGCGACACATGATGCAAGAAGGCATTTTTTGTGCGCAATCTAGCTGCACATGCTCAGATTGTGACAGAAGCTCCTACCACATACTAGTTGCTAACTATGGATGCTATTTTGCATGGTGTATTGGTGGATTTTAGTGTGAACAAAGGTCTAATAAACTTTTTTTTAATTTTTCGGTCGTTTTTTAATTTTTTTTCCACCTCTCGCATACGTTTTTAGATTTTCAGGTGACGAGAAACATAGAAATAAAAACGTGTGGCCTAACAGGATAAGTGAAAAGGAAAAGGAAAAGAAAAAAATAGAAAAAATAGGAATCCAGACATCAAGCAGTAATCAAACACCAAATCGACTTCAAGCTTTGTACAAGAACGATCAAGATCATCGAGAAACTCAACGGATTCCAAAAACAAGGTGGGAGAGAGAGAGAGAGAGAGAGAGAGAGAGAGAGAGAGAGAGAGAGAGAGAGAGAGAGAGAGAGAGAGAGAGAGAGAGAGAGAGAGAGAGAGAGAGAGAGATGGAGAGAGAGAGAGAGAGAGAGAGAGAGAGAGAGAGAGAGAGAGAGAGAGAGAGAGATGGAGAGAGAGAGAGAGAGAGAGAGAGAGAGAGAGAGAGAGAGAGAGAGAGAGAGAGAGAGAGAGAGAGAGAGAGAGAGAGAGAGAGAGAGAGAGAGAGAGAGAGAGAGAGATAGAGATAGAGATAGATAGATAGAGAGAGAGAGAGAGAGAGAGAGAGAGAGAGAGAGAGAGAGAGAGAGAGAGAGAGAGAGAGAGAGAGAGAGAGAGAGAGAGAGAGAGAGAGAGAGAGAGAGAGAGAGAGAGAGAGAGAGAGAGAGAGAGAGAGAGAGAGAGAGAGAGAGATAGAGATACTGGTAAACATATACAACAAACTTGTAAAGTGCACACAACAAACAAGACCCAAACAAGAGTCACAAGACCCAACCCACCTTGGAGCCAGGTTGATAAGAGGCGATGTAGTACGGAACAGTGGATGGAGATATCGCGCAATGCTTGATATTTTCCAGGCGAAGCTTCTGAACGGGAGCGCCATCTACAAGAGAGTGCAAGTATCCATGTTCATGTGCACAAGCATGCGTGCCCACGTGAATGATACACACAAACACACACACACACACAGACAGATACACATAAAGACACACAGACAAACACACACACACACTACTACTACTACTACTATAGCATGACTGCCCATTGGGCAATGTCACCCCCGGAGGGGGCCAGAGTTTGGAGGGCACCGTCATTGGCAGGACTTCTGGTGCCTCGTCAAATCTTGCTGTCGTCGGAAACGCTTCGGGCAATGCATGCAGATCAGCGGCAGAGATTCCCTATCGGCTGCAGCAAGACGTTTTCCACGGTTGCAGTTATGGCGGTTAAAACCAGCCCGGGACTTGAAGCAGCGATTGCAGCGTTGACAATGCTGAAAGCAGCAACTAGCGAGAGACGCTGTCAATGCCATATCTGCATGTTCAGGGAGTGCAGGCTGGCAGCGATGAACTGCAAGCCCACCCTTACTTCGGAACCATCGGCAGCAACTGACGCACTGTGCTGAACCACGCTGTTGGTGGACGGGAAGTTGGCGCTCAGCCAAACACTTGTGCCGTGCCTTGTCTTGAGGACGAGAGAAAGCCCGGTTGCAAGATGACCAGAGTACGGATTTCTCTACTGCCCGAGGAGGCTGAAAAACCAGAACCTGCTCTCGCCAAACTGACCGGTCTTGTGCGCAATCAAACCAGTTTGGAATGGACTTCGTGTCAGTAGCCACAATGTCTCTCCACCTGCGCCTGGGACCGCAGAAGGGGCGCGCAGCCAACAAATGACCAAACAACAGCTGCAATGGGACACGGTCCTCCGACATCCGAGCCACATGACCAAGCCACTCTAAACGACGATGGCGCATCTTAACAGAGAGTGGCACTGGGTCACCCCAGTGACGACGTAACTGCGCAGACGTGATGCGATCGGATTGCTGCTGACTACGAGGGATGGCTAATATTGTGCCGATGCAGCGATGATGGAAGGCATCCAAACGTCACACACACACACACACACACACACACACACACACACACACACACACACACACACACACACACACACCAGCACGCAGATAAAACCGCTAGAGAGAGAGAGAAGTGCAGTCATTCTACATAGAAGTACACACTTCTACTGCTGCCAACCATCCACACATACATGTATCTTCATTTGTACAGGAAAATAGAGCATGCTAACTAGCTTTGAAATATCCAGCAGAACTACAATGGGTCGGTAGCTACAGATGACTAGGGCTTGGCAACACTGCTTTCTTTATCCTTATATCTGCAGATATTGACTAAGTATGAGCATGATAGGCTGAGCAGGCAGACAGGCATGCATTGGTATGAACCTAACCTGGTACACCGCCATTGAAGAAGTGAACTTCACCAGTTACCACACGGGCACACAGCTCCTCATCTGCTGACCACATTGGATGCCTAAACACACGCACACATGCACACAAGCACATACACCCACACAAATATGATAACCTGATGATCCCTAGGATGCGTGAAACTTGAAATTACAGCTAAACAGACCTCCGGTGTGTGTATGCACACAAGTACATACATCCTGTAGAGCCACTACCACTAGGGTCACGTGGGCCCCGGAGGGGCAGTACATACATACCTCAGACCTCAGACATGCCCATCGCGGAAGCGATGATAGCGAACAGCTATGTTAGACATAGCAACTTGTGCTGGGATTACACCATTCAACAGCTTGCAAGGCTGATGAATTGACCGCCACTATTTTTAGCCTGGTATCCACCACACAGCTGTTTGAAGTGACTTTTTCTGGCCAGTGAATCCCTATTTTTCATTTTTCCATTTTTTTTTCTACACACACACCACACCACATACTCTGGCACATACATACACATACACACACATGCATATTATTGTACACATACACACACAATACATGCACGCACGATGCCGCAGTCATACTTTGAAGTTGAATGTAGTTGAATGTAGTTGAATGCAGTTGAATGCAGTTGAATGTAGTTGGATGTAGTTGACTGTAGTTGAATGGACATTGAACAGCAGCAGGTGGACAGCTAGGTACATCCACACCTACATCCAAACCTACATGTACATGACTGTACAGTGTTTCAACAGATAACATACCATCCTTCACTCTTCTTCTGCACATAGCTGGTAACACAGTCTCCAGTTGACACGTTCCACACATGCAGGTTTGGCTCGCCAGGTGATTGACCTTTGCGCACTACATCACACACATGTGCACACACACACACACACGCGCGCACGCACGCACACACACACACACATGCACGAACACATATGAGTAAGCCACCATACAAACTCAATATCACTCTACCCAGCGATGCATATTCGCATCAGTTACACTTCCCACACACGACATTAACAACAGGGAAAATACAAGTTACCAAGCTCAGGCCGGATGCGAGCACAGACACAGGATCTAGGAATAACTGCCTTTCTCAGTCTCCCTAGACCCTGTGAATGCAAGTGCAATGCAAAATAGAACTGGTACATACACCACACAGATCCAAGCCATGCAGGAGGTGACTGGATTATCAAGTAGGTCAGGTCTTATCTTTGGGTTCTTCTGCAATGGAAATATCTTTAAAATACAGAAATCAAGCTCAAGGATACTGGGATGTGTTGCTCTAAAGAAAAAGGAAAAAAACATTGGTGGAGACACAGATCCGCTTGCCTAATGTCACACAATCGTGTTCAACGATCTCAGAAAGTGAAAACAACCACGACAATGATATGTGTCACATGATACGGTCTGGTGACAGGATGAATCCAATGACCAACAACCATCTACAATTACTCTCAATACGTAGCGCACCCGATCTTGAAGACAAACAAAATGCGTGACTTTTGTGAGTGCGTGACTCGTGGCTGTATACATACAGCGTGGCAGCGTGGCTGTATAGTGTATACATATACAAAGTACATGCCGTCCGAATTGCAAAGGTGCGTGACTTACTGTGAACCATCTACTCACCAGCATAGGGTTCCCAGGCAGCCAGGAAAGAGCCTTTGGGCGAGAACCGAAGAGAGCATGTGCGTGGAAATGGGTAAGACTGCAGAACATGTCCGTCGGACGTGCGAGCAACTTGTACACTGGTAGCGTTTACCCACGCAAACCGTGATCCATCGTGAGAGTAGGTCATAGACTTGCAGTCACGCGAGTCATCACTGCAGATAACAAAGCATTATTGATAACAACATCTGCATGAACGGTTTCCTCGGAGACAAATTAATGCTATAATACTTCGGCCACATTTCCGGTTCCTGAACAACATTTTGAAAGTATTCAGTAGTATACTTACAAGTAGGGCTGCAACGGGTAGGGGTTTGGCCGGGTAATGACATCGGGTATTTCTATGCCATCACCATACACACGTTGCCACTCCACCATCATAAAGTGAAGTATAAATCCTGTTTTAGGGATCTAACTATCGCATAGTATTTCATTCGTAACGCTCTTTATCGTATGGCACATCACTGTAACCATGTACAGTCAACTTCGCTAATTACGACTGCGGATATAACGACAATTCGCGAATAACGACAGAATGTCCATGCCCAGAGCAAAGTCCATTCTACCTGTATACATATAATGAGCCTTCAGGTATAAGGACACTCTGTGAATAAGGACACCTTTCGGATGCCCCGCCGAGTGTCGTTATACGCAAAGTTGACTGTAGACAACCAATCAACACTCACAACAAGTGTACGAAGTCAGTAATTCTCGATATCTCACGCTCAGCTCAAATGCATGCCAATATCGAACATTTGCATACCCTGCAAGGTCAAAGGTTCGAAACGCAATTAGTGGAACAGTGAACAAAGAGGTCAACGGTTAGCATGCAGTACTTGGAATACTTAACTCGCCCATGGTTGGTACAGTGCGTATCGGTTATAGCGTGGTCGTGTAAAAGAATATACTGTAAAACCGGAAAGTCTAACGACCAAAAAGTTTAACGTTTTTTTGTAATTTTTGCATGATTACGTGCAGAAAGTTTAACGATGGCTACCTGGACACCCATCTGTGTGCGCATCTTTACACAGACATCTAGCGATAACGTTTTTTTCAAATAACGAAAAGTATTTGGTCGTTAAAACGTTAGACTTTGCGACTCGTTTAGACTTTCCCGTTTGACAGTACTGCTTACAAGAATGACCTCTCGCATTTTCATAATCATAACATGGGTTTCAACTTTCAAGTGAACATTTATTCTTACAAGCAATGTTATCGCATTGTAGAATATATCGGTCCTAAGAATGGACTTTGTGTAGCAAAACATACCAGATTAGTACAACGTGTATCGCCTGTAGTAATAACATCTGTCTAATGCAGTTCTGATCCGACTCGCATTGCATCGTAGATCGTAGTACTGCAGGTTCAACAGTACTTACTGTTGTTGTCATGTATCTCATGCTGCATAGCCACATGGTAAGCGTATCGTCAAGAGTACATAACCCCCCCCCCCCCCCCCCCCCCCAGAGTGTGCAACTCCCACATACCCTGCTGTCCCGACAGAATTTCAAGTTGACGTCATTATTGATGACGCAATGCTCCTTGCACCAGTGATTTACAACATGTGTACGGGTGTCAACGCATCACACGTTTTTCTTTGCAATAATTTGTACAGGATCGATCGGTTTCGGTCAACCACAGGTTCCGGATTCGTCTGATAATCCGTGTACAGTGCGCATTGCATCATCAAAATGACGTCAAATTGAAATTCTGTCGGGACAGCACCCATAGTGAAGTTGCACACTCTGGGGGGTTATGTACTCTTGGTATCGTACTATGATGATGACTATGAACACCCGCATACACAGCAGCGATACGTTGTATGTATGAATACTATGATGGCCATCCTGTATAATGTCTGCGGACATGCATCTGATATGTCACACTTGATTTATCGTGTGTAAGAAATATCGGAAATAAGAATAGAAAGTCGCTTTTCAAACACCCACGCTATAACCGATACCTACCGTACTTGCATCGTGTATTGTGGTACATGTGCAATTTTGATGAAATTTGTATGTAAGATTTGCCAGCCTCTAGTATTGACAGTGTCATAGAGGTTATATTTACCTGATCCCACCATGGCGAGCACCGTCCGGTAAGGAACAAACCCAAAGACCATTAGAGCCACGCACTAAAACGACACATAAGATGTTCGAGACAACGCATTTTCCAGAAACAGTTTTCACAAATCTCAGTGAAGAAATAAAAATTACAAACCTGCAAACGAGGAGGCAGGCGACGGTGCTGCAGCAGCCATAACTATTATTCAACCACGTCAAGAAGCAGGGAATTTAGGGGTTTCGTTTGCAGCGTGATCGTTCTCTCAAGCCCAACACCAAACGAAGAATGGAGTACAGGAACTACAAAGTGTAGAAGTAGCAAAATGATACTCAAGAAAGTACAATGTTGGATGTACAAAAATAGTTTTCGGGAATGGGCCGGGATCGGGAACACCAAATACGGTATTTGACCCATCCCGAGTCCGATCGGAGTGGACTGGCGACCCCAAATCCATCATGAAATTTCATGCGGCCAGGTTTGTGTAGTTCGCTCTGCAACTCGGCCGGGTCAGGTGACAAGGTTTTGAAAGCTTTGCGATCGAGTTTTTGCTTTGTTTGTCTTCTCCACTCCTAATCCTATCCATGATCATGATGTTCATTGTTTGAGCAGATATTATTGATACAAGTTTGTGATTGAAAATAGTTCGGACACATTGTGTGCAGAGGCTGCTTGCATTAGTTCCAACTAGTTATTCAATACGTTCAGCTGACTTCCACCCTGTCCACGGACTGGATGTGCGCGGAAGATTTTCTTATCTCCCAAAGCAATTTGAAAATGAGTTTGCTATGAGTGCTGCCTGCTTTGTGCAATTAGTAGTGTTTGCGAATTCTACATTTACGGAAGTCCCACGATGTTTGCGGTGAATGCATTATTGCCGCGACTGTGCTGCTGCTTTTTTGAGGATGATGCAGATGATGGAATTCCCCTTTCCAATATGCAGCCCGTCATTCTGGATAGCTCCAAAGTTGGTACGTAGTTTTTTCTTCTCATGAAAATGATTAAATTTGAATTGATAAATCCGAAACTTTGACCTATCTGACTTCTCAGTCTAACCATAGCCACTGGCGCTGAATGTGTATTGAATAAATTACATGTCTTCTTTAGCACAAAGCTTACACGTCCGTCTGTCAACAACAGCTTGTAGGTGTCCGGCTATGGCCTGACCAACCGGACCGGTTGTGCCGGGCCTGGGTACAGTGTAAGCAAGAGTGCATCTCCCTGCTGCTTGGAGTGAACATCTCTGGTGCATTCTTCGATAGGTAGAATTTGCGAGCTACGCAATGACATTGGGTGTTTGTGCGAAGCTCTACTGCTGCTTGCGACCTTAGAACGTGCATAACGTATGATGTACGCGAAGAAGAGACAAATGCGGCTGCAGTCCGCTAATGCCGCCACTCTAGCTCGCATCAGTACAATCATGTACTTGTACATGCATTGCAGGCCCGACGGAACCGGTCCGCTTGGTCAGGCCATGGTCAGACCAACTTGTTGACCACCAACGTGTGTTTACTGCTAAGGCCACCCTTTCTTTTTTCGTTGTTTAACGTCCGCGCCCGCGTACCTTTTTGCCTCCGACCGGAAAAAACAAGAAAGTAGTAGCACCAATAATATGCGAAGTTGTAAATACATGATTGTGTAGTTTCACAGTGTGCTGATCATGACCTTAAACTTATAATCTTGCCTCCCGGGCATGCCTTTGTCTTGTGTTCTTTTTCTTTTTTTGTTGGCTTTTAAATATCGTACGGTGTGTGTCCTAGTAAAAATCCAGATGTAATGAATTCATGACATGCTAACTCCATGCTATGTACCTGTTTTGTTGGATTCATCAGGCATGTGCTCCAATGTACCATCAAAGAGTGTTGTTCTATGCCTGCAAGTGCCGTTAGACCCAGATATATTGTATATATCACATGCTTTACTGGTCAAAATGTTTGATTGGGGTTTCCAGTTTTTGGAATGGGCTTTTGTTTTTTTTCCGCCCTCCCGCGTACCTTTTCGCGAAAAAAAGGACGTTAAACAATGAATTAACAAAGGGTGGCGTAAGGAGGGTATGTGCAAAGTTGTAAACCCTCCATATCATACACAAAGTATGGCTGGAACAATCAAAATCTGCTTCCGCCGGTCCTGCGTTGTAGACTTGGCCGCAGGCACCCATTCATTGATGAGAGAACTTAGTCCCCTTGTAATCATCGATCATCTGTCTCACACGTTAGTCCTTCTGTTTGTACATGCTCGCCCTGCAATGAGGTGAATAACACCAACAGACTGGGTACTAGTAGCAGGCTAATGCTATGTTACAGCAGGGGCTGTGTTAACCATCAGTGCAAAAGCCTGGGTTTTGTGTGCACATATGTACAAGAACATGATTGTACACAGTAGAATAGTGGAGCAGGGTCAGCTCCCTGCAGCATACATGCAAGTACTTGAAGTAAAATAGAAACCTAATTTGAAAAGATTCCTAGCTATCACATCCAGAATAAGTTCGGCTTTTATTAATGTGACATTGCGTTATATTTTATACTTGTAGGAACCGTGAAGAAAAGGGGGTTTGTCAACTGACAACCGCGTTGCTATTCACGATCTGCGCATGCGATGCGTTAAAAATTCTTTATTGTGATGTTGACAAAATTATTGACGGTTCGGGTCAGTCACCCATCGTTCTGTTTTCTTCATAATGCAGTTGCGTGATGTCCACAACTTTCTTAGTTGTAGGGAAAGTCTCCGGAAATTGACCGTCAGGGTACCCCGTATGTTTTACATGCTTGTTAATATAAAGCATATCAATGATCTTGTTTCCACTGTGCCTGCATACCGTGCTCTGTGTGTTCTTTTTCATGTAGGACTTGAATGTGTAATATTAAAGGGAGGACGACGGCTGTGTGGTGCTGGCGCTGCACTGGCCAATGCTCCTCTCGTGCAGAACAAAAGCTATTTTGAGGTCAAGATCCAAACAACAGGTACGAGTACCATCACCACCCCCCCCCCCCCCCCCCATCTTATGGTCTACTAAGTATCCCTGTGGAGGGCTAACAAGAGTGATATGCAACAACCATCAGGTTTTCATCTGCCCCACACTGTAGCAACTCGTGCATGAAATTGCAGGTTTTATTTCGAAATGTTGGATTGAGTGGAAGTTTGTTCGGAATATGATATGAAGAGAATGTTGGATTGTGTAGAAATGACTTGCTTTACCGCTAGCGGATAGCAATGCTTTATTTACTCTGTGCTCTTCTTTTTGTGCAGGTACATGGGGAGTGGGTCTTGCGACACAAAAGTGTCATCTGGACAGGGTGCCACTTGGTGGAGATATGAGTAGCTGGGTGCTGCGGAGTGATGGTAATGTCTGCCATGATGGTGAGGTCATCTACACAACTTCTCCCAAGCCTGATGAAGGAGATGTAGTGGTAAGCCTGAGTGATGTTCTTGGTTGTGCCTCACTCTGTGTGTGTGTGTGTGTGTGTGTGTGTGTGTGTGTGTGTGTGTGTGTGTGTGTGTGTGTCTCTCTCTCTCTCTCTCTCTCTCTCTCTCTCTCTCTCTCTCTCTCTCTCTCTCTCTCTCTATCTCTCTCTCTCTCTCTTTCTCTATCTATCTATCTCTCACTCTCTCTCTCTCTCTCTCTCTCTCTCTCTCTCTCTCTCTCTCTCTCTCTCTCTCTCTCTCTCTCTCTCTCTCTCTCTCTCTCTCTGTGTGTGTGTGTGTGTGTGTGTGTCTCTCTCTCTCTGTCTGTCTGTCTCTCTCTCTTTCTCTTTCTCTCTCTCTCTCTCTCTCTCTCTCTCTCTCTCTCTCTCTCTCTCTCTCTCTCTCTCTCTCTCTCTCTCTCTCTCTCTCTCTCTCTCTCTCTCTCTCTCTCTTGCCAAGTTCACCCACTATGGTATTGGTTGTCTTATTGCGGGATATACTAATAGCCATGTTGTCACCGTTGTGCGCTCGAAATGAAACATGGTGCTTTCCATTCAGTATGGCTTTCTGATTTGACTGTGAATATTCATGTTTATTTTGTGCTGTTCAGAGTTGTACGTATGACCACATTGAGCTGAATTTCTTCCTGAATGGCAAGTCTTTACAGTGCCCTGTCAGTGGGGTACGAGGCCGTGTCTTTCCAGTGTTTTACGGTACGTTTTGCGCAAGTAATTTATGAACTCTGGTACAAACTGAAGATTTGTTGATGGGATTTCGCTTTCATTACTACGGAGGCTGAAACTCAGTCTAACTGAGTCTCAAGCGAACCGTATTTTTTTGCTTTCTTCGCCGCACTTGAGTGGAATCTGAGTATTGGACGTCGTCACCCATGTGCCTGCATTTAGCATCCCTGACCACCACCCCCTTCCCAGTACTGCAGTACATGTACATGATCGTTTCAACCACTTTTGAACGTACTTCTGGGTGTACAGTCATGCTCAATGAAACCAGGTTCATGAATAAGTCAGCATGCTGCGCCCGCACAGACTAGTGTTCGCAGGTCTGAGCATGCACAACCCGCGCACAGTCCAATGTTTGCAAGTCTGTGGCTGCACAGTGGACAATGTCTGGATTTCATTGAGCAGCACTGTACAAGCACTTCTTCAGTGTATATCTCGCGTTTTCCATCTGCTAACTTGGAAAATTATACTTTATGCTCTGTAAACACGTCTGCTCTATAGCATACTTTGAAGTACATGTACGAGGAATGAGTATGTTGTGTGTCAGCTTCCTCCTCTCCTACCCTCCTCTACTTCTGAACTGCATGCCTCTGCTCTCTTTGTCTATGCTTACGAAAAGCTTGCAAACCTGGTGCAAGTGCTCAAATGATCAACTGATTGGTTTTTGATCCTGCGGTGTGTTCTTTTATTCGCTTTGCAGTTGGTGATGGTGCCATCCTCGACGTAGCCTTCAAGGATTTTTCCTTCCCGGCCCCGGATACATTTGATGAGATCATGTTTGAGCAGAATATCCTCTAGATACTTACACTGTGCTAGCTAGTCACCACCATCTGTATTATCATCATAGCTGAATTCCTGTACCCGTGTCTGCCATAGAGAATCCGGTACCCAGCAGTGCACGGCAGTGTCTTTCCTTTAGGGTGAGCGTTAAGCTCATAGCACATAGACTTACTTCAAGCAACGTCTTGTCAAGTTTCTTCATCATGTCGGTCGTGGCTCTGTCATGGCTGTGTGATGGTGCCACACTGTGGGCTGTTGTTCAGTCTTTGCCACACTGAGCATACTCCCACTCATAGTGTGCACTGTGTTGTCGCTGCATGCTGCAACTACGGTGTAGACCTCTTGTTCTCAATTCTCTCAGAAATGACCTCATGAAGATGTATTTGTGTTGTAACTGTGCTTTTCAACGAATGCTGGTCATTGTTTTTGGTGCTCCCTGAACTCACGTTATCTAGTTTAGTTTCTATGGTTACCGTTCCGGCCCGGCATTGGTCCTATACGTGCAGTCTCTCTCTCTCTCTAGTCTTGTTGTAGTAGTAGTATTTTCACCAGGGAGTCGTAAAAAAAGTTTTTTCGACTCTCTGATTGTCACTGTATGTGCTATTTATGCTAGTAACTCACAAATCCTACTTCCTGCCGGTGTTTCTGTGTACTGTCCTGCTATCGTACAATGCAGGCGTTGCGTTCCTCACCCTCAACCCCCCCCCCCCCCCCCCACTCGTTCTGTTGAACCTTTTTTCCTTCATTTTACTGAATACCTCAGAACCATCAGATCAGATGCTGTTATCCACATAGTTTCCAGTATACACTATTCAGTTATTGTAGCAATCTAATTACTGTGTGCTTCTAAGTACAACACCGAATGTTCCCTGTTCTATGACAGATCGTATCTGTCCATGTTATGAGTGTCAGCAAGAGCACATGACCCCAAGCAGATAGCGCTAGCCCTCATACTGATTCATAGGAGTCATGTACTCTTGGTGTGGCGCGGCATGCATGGAATGTAGCCGTGTGTGTGTGTTTGACACACACTATCGCGGATGAAGCAAACTTCGCAATCGGGGAATCGTGAAGACTCCCTTATTGGTAGTTATGATGCTCGACGTGTTTGCCCAATCCACTTTGCTCCCATACTCACGGTGTCGCTTTCTTTCTTCTATTCCTCCATCTGAGATTCTCTCCAACATCACCTCCTTCAAATAATGTTATGCCTTATGGTCTACATCGAGGAGTACGGTACTAAAAAGTAAAAACCATTTGTCTACCTGTTGGCTCCTGTTCGTTATCCTGAATCTTCTTCCAGATTTGGCAGAGTCTACCGACCTCATGCATACGACCGTCCCTACAAGGCCCTGCGCTGCATGCAAGCTTGATTTCAAACTAAACTTTGGAAATGACGTGGGCCATGGGCCACATGTAGAGCGCGTGCACGCTTTCGATTGTTTTGTTTTGATTGATTTGAAATTATCGAGTCCTGATGAAGGTGAAATAGACACCACATGGGGTAATGGTTTCTCCTAGGTCAGATCCTTTCATTTACCATTATTTTATTTGAATGTTATTCACAATCAGCTCAGGGCCGGTCTGAAAGAATTTATACTGGAGTGTTTCTCTGGCTGCACAAGTACTTCTGCTTGCAAGATCAAGAGCCATCTGTAAAAATGAAGTTTTTGAGCATCATCAATTCTCATAGTTCGGACAGATCATAACGAACATGCGTTACGTTTCTTTCGTGAATCGGCTGGAGCTGAAAGTTCCCGGTAATGTTTTGGCTCAAGCTCTTTGCCTCGGTGATGTTGACAATGACGGGGTGAGTTGGCAGTGTTCAAATGAAACTCATTCAATCAACAAACAACATGATGACCTAGCTTCATGCTTTGAAGTGGATTGATACAGCCAGGCCAATGGCTCCCATGAATCTGTGTATCTGCATGGGGGCAAGGGTTGTGTATGTGTTCAGGGAAAATTGCAGTTTTGGGACAAGCGGAGTAGTTGTGACTGATACAATACTAAACATACAGCCATGTGTTATGACGCAAATAATGGGTCGAATGGTCTTTGTCCGAGGAAGCTGATATGCTTCCTTTGTCCATATTCCCAAGCGAAAGCATGCACTTCGCCGAAACTGGGCGAATGCACCCTACTAGATAGGGATTAGTGTGGAAAAGTTCGCTGGCATCACGGTAATCATCTAGTTTAGGGTCCCAAATTATTTCGCACTTTCCCAGTGTTCGGTGTACTTTCTGTGTACGTGAGAGCGTGTCAACCCCAGTAATTTGCAAATCAAGATCAAAAACACAGTAGCTGTTGATATGGACTTTTTTTAATCAGAACCGATCAGACAGGGTACTGCTGATGAATGCTGCGGAGCAGGGAGCCGAAGGTGTTTTGTTCCTCTCGAACTCTTTGCCTCCACACGAACTCCCAGAGGTAGGTTGGAAACAACTCGCGAGACGTGCCGAAGTTGCGTTTGAGATGGCGCTTCGCACGCATCCACATATTCTCGACATTGTTGGTATGGATGCTTCGATCATCCGGATCAACAAAGTGGTCGTCATGTACGATTACATCGTGGAGGTATATCCCGTCGCCTCTGATCGGCTCCCTCCTCTGCAGCATTCATCAGCAGTACACTGTCTGATCGGTTCTGATTAAAAAGTCCATATCAACAGCTACTGTATTTTTGATCTTGATTTGCAAATTACGGGGGTTGACACGCTCTCACGTACACAGAAAGTACACCGAACACTGGGAAAGTGCGAAATAATTTGGGACCCTAAACTAGATGATTACCGGCATCACTTCGTTCTTAGCGTACTTCCGCACATATAACCGCATGTGCTTATGTCTGGACATAAGCACCCCCCCCCCCCCCCCAATTAGAAGCGCATGCGCTTATATGTGAACACTATTGGTGAAACACCCGGGAGTTGAATATACCCGGTACTGCTAAGCATTGGGATAACACCGTTGTTTAGGACACTGACAAACCTTTATTGCACTTATAAGCGTATGGGCTTCTAGTACCCGAACATGTTCGCACAGCAAAATGTCTTTTTGTAGCAATTTTTCACTTATAAGCCCATGCGCTTATATGTGGGGAAGTACGGTATAGAAGCACGGACGACGCTGAAACTCCCAGAACATGTAGTCTTCTGAACGTGGAGTCGCATGGTCGTTCGATTGGGAATACGTATACAGTTGACTCCTGATATAATGAACACCAATGTGCAGGAGAATTTGTTCTTTATAACCAAAGTTATTTATAACAGAAATACATACATACCATGCAAATGCACGTCATGCCTGGCTGACATGCGGTTCGTGACTGCATGAGTGCACTTGGTTTACATGCTCCCCAACAACAACAACAACATAATAATAATAATAATAATAATAATAATAATAATAATACAATCATATACAGGCATATAGCTCATACTTCAAGTATGAAAAAATCAAATGAGGGTCATGCATCTGTCGACAACATGGAGTCAGTGCGTTCTGTCTGAGGCAAGTTGCTCCGCTTCCAAGATGGCACTTTTCCAGCAGTAATGTACGTTGTACTGTGCTTATTTGTGCTGTTATCTCTTTGCATTATGTCATGTGTGCACCAGTTGAACGAACTAGCTGTTGGAAATGTCAGTGGATCACTGTTCATCTTCAAAGGCATCACATCTCGTCATCCGCTTTGCATAGCCGAGGGTCTTGGCTTGGTACGACAATTAGTAGGGTGTGTTGAGAGAAAGCAGTTCAAGGTTCTAACCGGAAACATGTAGTATGCAATGTTTCCATAGCTTAGCTGGCTGAAGGATATCACTTGTTAACCTTCAGTCAGTTTTGTTAATGTTATACCTGTCAGTAGGAAAGTTAAGGAGAAACACGCAAATGAAGTCGCCTGGTTATTGCATTGTGCAAGAAACTCTGAGTTGCAACACACTCTGTAGGCCTACGTTGTCAACACACTCTGTAGGCCTACGTTGTCAACACACTCTGTAGGCCTACGTTGTGCCTTTTTGTGTGTAATAGTGCTGCTCCGCATTATTGTGTTGAGCCCTCTCCGCTGGTTAAAGGGAAATTTCCTCTTTGAATAAGTAAGAAACGAATATCTAGACAACTCAAGTATGTCTAGCTAACGTGTGTTTAGCAGTCCCTATCTGGAAGCCTGCAAATGACTGATCTCGTGATCTGTGATGAGGCGATTCGTTATATTGATGATACTTTGTTTACAAGGCAGAACAACAGAGACCAAAAGTCTCTCTCATAACTCCGAGTTTCGTGTTCAAAATACACTGATCAGACGATAAACAAAATAATGCTATTCGCTAGTTATATAGGGTAATTGTAATGTAGGCTAAGGGCATGTTCGATTGTACGAATCCATGAGCCCTGAATCCGGATTCGCCAAATTTGGACCTGTTTGTTTGTACGAATCTGGATCTCGGGCGCACGGATCCGGATCCGACCAACCCACCCCCAAAAGGCAGATTCAACGGATTCATCAGATTCGTTTTCGCTCTGCTCCCCAAAATTGGTAAAACTCATTGTTTTCTTGACCGCAAAGGCGGGTAAAGTTGGGCTTCTCCACGTGTGGGGCCATTTCACCATGTGCGAGGCCCTTTTTTATTTTTCTGAGCTTGTCGTCGAGAGTTATTTTTCAGTTGTTCTTGTCAGAAGCAGTAATGTCGTCCAGCAGTAGCGTCTCCAACGGAAGTGAAAGGAAGACACTGTTCCTTTGGAACCGTGCTCTCACCTTCCTGTTGATAGAGGCCCGGTGGAGTTGGGACGAACAGTTCAACAACGTAAATTTCAAGAAAAAAAGTCTCTGGCAGAAGATCTCCGCCGAGCTTGCAGAAGAAATGAAGGATGAACCCGTGTTGCCTTCAGCTGACCAGTGTAAAAATCTCATGAAGAGATATAAAGAATACGTGGACGCACAGAACAAGACGGGGGCAGAGAGGAAGAAGGAGCCCGAGTTCTTTGCAGAGATGAATGAAGCTGTGGGGTGGAAGCCCAATATCAAGCCAAAGTGTGTTTCAGGATCTTGTGACACGCATTCCAACACATGGTGAGTCATTGATATTTTTGGTCACTGTTGAATGCGGATCAGTGTCATGACAAATTTTGCTATCTTGTGAATGTTGTAGAGAATGAAAACTAGCATGTGTAACTATCATAACATGTACTTGCTCTCCGCCTTACCCCACTGTCCGCTTCTTATGCGATTGTACCTGGTACATCGTTTTCTGTTGTGAATGTTGTAGATAATGAAAACAAGCATGTGGAAATATTATATGATGTATTTGCTTTCCGCCCTTACCGCACTGCCCGCTTCTTAAACATGTACCATTGTACCTTGTTCTTGCACTTTATTTACAGACGCACCTGACACTGGCAGTAGTGATTCCCAGCAAGAGCAACCTGCAATCAGTGATGCTTCACAACCACAACCTGCCACTGCTGCTGCACAACCACAACCTACCAGTGCACATGCAAGTACTCCTGCTGCTGCTGCTGCTGCTGCTGCTGCTGCTGCTGCTGTTTGCAGTCCGGAACAAGCAGGAGCAAGGAAGAAGAGGAGGAGAAGCGCAGGAGCATCCAATTCAAGCAGCCACACAACAGGTGCTCTTCAGTGGATGAAGGAGCAAGAGGAAGAAGACAGGAAGATTACGGGCCAGCGACACATAGAGCAAATGGCTTCACTTGCAGGTCTTACTGCTGCCGTTAACCGGCTTGCAGACTCATAGCCGATTCATTTTCAGTACTTGATATCATTATGTACTTGACTCAGGCCATAATAATTATTCAATGTGTTGCAGGCCCGGCGGAAGCAATTGTTGATTGGTCCGGCCAAGTTTTTTTCGCCAGCACATCACTTGCGCACGTGTGACACAACATAACGTCTCTTTGCTCATCGTAGGTCAACCAAGACCATGTCTTGAAATATGACGCCTGACAAGAGCGCTTCACCACTGTCTTTTTCCCAAATTCCCGCCGAGGAAACGCGAAGGAAGTGGTTGGGTGGACTGGCACTTCTGGCACAGATATTCGCTGGAAGAAGCCATAGCCGCTAATGCACTGCAGCTAAGCTGACCGAACAGCGAGAAAAAATTGAAAAACTACTTCGTTCAGTAAAAGAATCTGAAGCACTCGACGAAAAACCCTCAAGACTACAAAAATATATTTTAATTGTAGAATCCATCATGGCACGTGCTTTCACTTCAGGTCGCGCGTCTCGCGCCACATGCACAGGCCCACGGCCCACAGCACAGGCCACAGCTAGCTAGCTAGCTAGCCCTCAAGCGCGCACGCGTGCACGGCAAGATCAGTACAGAGCCAGATCGCAACCTCGCAAGTACCATGAGTACGCGTACATGCAATCGATGATCACAACATAAAGTTAACTTATAACCAGGGAGTCGTATGCTTATAACGTTATACGTTACTGCGTCGTAAAAAAATCGTCGGTGGCCGAAAAGTTGGTCCGGCCATGGCCGGACCGACCGGAGCGGCTCCGCCGGCCCTGCGTTGTGGTGCGAAATATTGAAGAGAATAATCACACATGATACCAACGTCTCAGATGGAAATGATGGATTGAAAGAATGGTTGACACTTCAAGGTATATCAAAGCATGAAATAGCGTCACTGCATCAAATCGACAATTCTGTCTCGCTTGTCAATTGCGGGAATATTGGGTTGGAACTAGAGAACAGGGTTGTGAACATTCCCCTCTGGAAGATTGTGGAGGAAATCTTCCACATCTTCCTTCTCCATAATGGCAATGTTGTGAAGAACGCATGCTGCTACGATGATGTGAGTAGCATTCTCCACATGGGTCACGTTAACATCCTTTAGCTGCCTCCATCTGCCCTTCAACAAGGCAAACACTCTCTCAATACACATACGCGTGGACGAGTGCTTGAAATTGTAGTTCACTTGCTGGGCAGTTAGCTGACCATTGTCACGGAATGGTGTCATCAGCCATGACAACAACGGGTACGCAGAGTCGCCAACCATGAACGAACCACTTGGAAAGAATCTCTCCAGATCTTGCGTAGCAAGCTCTTTCAAAGGGCTAATGTCGAATACACAAGCATCGTGTACAGACCCTGGCCATCCACAAAATGCATCAATAAACAAAAGGTTCATATCGCATACTGCCTGGAGGTTGATTGAATAAAAAATGTTCCTGTTCAGGTATGCATCAGCTGCTTCAGTGGGTCTCTTGATCATGATGTGACATCCGTCGATAGCTCCCGTCACACCATGGATGTGGTGTTGTCTGTGGAAATCTGCCTGAACGTCCCTGGCGCCCTCCCTGTCCTTGAGGCCAGCAAATAATGAGTGGTGCCATATCTTGGAGGGCAAAGCGAATGCGTCGAACGCTGTGCCACACGGTGGATGTGGACATACCCCCTTGTCAGATACTTCTCTGATCGTGCTTCTGTGGATGTGGACATACCCCCTTGTCAGATACTTCTCTGATCGTGCTTCTGGACTCTAACCACCACAGAGTTACGAGAAGCTGCTTCCTTATGGGAATAGGAGGGTGACCACCATGACCAGTTACTTGTAAGTGCTCAGAAAGCTCCAACTTTGCAACAACAACAGCCACTGTTGCAGGGGGAAGTCGAAAGTGATGCCGAAAATCCAATTCTGTTTGTTGAGGAACCACGTCTTCGTAATAACCATTTTGTCGTGGCACAAAAGCTCGTCGATTGAGGGTACCAGCCGTCCACGGAACTCAGCAAAATCAGGATCAATTTCACACAAAATACAGAACTCCTCGATGAAAGTATCCCTAAACTGACTTTCACCATTGAACAAAACGATTGCTGCAGCAACTGCTACAATTGCTACAGCTCTTTTCTTCCGCCTGCGCTGCACAATATCCGTTGTCGGTGAAGGGCAAAGGATCAAACGGGAGAAGAAAAAACCCATGTCAAATTGTCAATGCTCTCAAACGACTGCTGAGAAAACACTTCGTTGTGAAAAGAATCTTTGGATACTCGCTCTGGACATACAATTATGTACAACAGTACGTGGTACGATTTGTACTTTCTTGTTTGAGTACGACTCTCTGGGTACGACTGCCCTTGGCAACGGAAGTTATGGATGCGCCATGTTGTTCGCCATGCCAACCCCGTCCTTGTGAGGCTACGCGGATCTGAAATCAGTTTGAACTGTTCGATTGGATCCGTACGATCGAAGTGATCTGGTCTGCGGGGATCGGGATCCAGTTTCGACAATCGAATGCAGCCTAAGGCAGTGCTACAACCACGAAACTTTGTTCATGTACACTCTAACGAGTTCAATTGTTGTGTTGTGTTTTGTTTTGGCTGTGTACTTGGACAGATAACGTGCATTGGTGTTGGTGATGTGTTTTCCCGGCAACAGGTATGATCATGTACATGTATACACTCATAAGTTATGACTCAGTGCCCAGTGCGCAGTGCCATTGTTGATATGCCCAGTTTTTGAACCTCATTGTCATCACTACTACCTTCCACGATGGGTCATATGCAGTCCAAGAGAACTGGCTCTATAGAAGAGTGCTTGCAATCACTGAAGAGAGGTTCATCAGAGACAAAAGATCACTTGGAAGAAGGACACTCCTCAGGTTCTTCAACAACAGCTTTTTGAAAGTTGAAACCTGAAGTATGTCCTCCCTCCAAGTGTTAATCACTGAAGAGGTTTAATATGTGGTTGTGTAATCATTTGATGTGTTTTGTATGGAGTGGCATCGCAACCATTGGTTTGCTGCTCCGTATATAGCACATGCGGTGATGTCATTCCTGTGACCTCTGCATCTGTTCCCTTGCCAGTCCTTTTATAGAGTTGGTTAGGTTTAGGAAGTAGTGCTTGCATGATGAATAGAGCTGGGATTTGTAACCATGCCCTGTGATGGCTTTCCCTGTGTGCTGGTGTGATAGGAGCTGACACTTGTGGGCCGTTGTGGCTGTGTCTTGGGATGGGGTTTCCCGTGTGCGTGTGTGTGTGTGTGTGTGTGTGCGTGTGCGTGTGTGTGTGTGCGTGTGTGTGTGTGTGTGTGTGTTATGAGTAGAACCATTTGCTTTGTGTCAACGCTGAAGGACAACTGTATGGATTTGACATCACGGTACGTTGCTCTTATGTACAAAACTTTCGCTAGAGATTGATTTTTTTGCTATTTTCGCTCCCCTCACAAATTCGCGAATTTAAATCACAATGAGCTGCTTTTTGCACTGATAGTGAACAATACACAGTCCAACTGAATACTTAATCTGCGGACAGAACAGTTTTCTCCTTTGTTAACTAGTCAGCGCAGCCCAGAGAACATGAGGCCAAGCCTGATAGCAATGAAAAAATCCAAAGCCATCAAGCTAATCAACTGAATAGATAAAATCGTAAAAAGTTCTCAATGTGCCCCAGTGTTCTTGAAACCACAACAAAATAGCAAACAGTTTCTTGGTTTACAGTAATTAATTCATGCTTCCACGTCTGTGAGACTTATCCTTATTATGGAGTGTTCAATGGAAAGTTCTGGTTCATCTTTAAGAAGACTATTTTGTTGTTGGTGTACAGGATGTGAAGAGGAGTTCATCTGTTGCACGCATACAGCCTGTCTTCAAGCAGCGCCTGCCACCGAATACGCGCACTCTCCTCCTGGCTAATCTAGGTACATCTGTGTGTGTGTGTGTGTGTGTGTGTGTGTGTGTGTGTGTGTGTGTGTGTGTGTGTGTGTGTGTGTGTGTATGTATGTGTGTGTGTGTGTGTGTGTGTGTGTGTGTGTGTTGTGTGTGTGTGGTTGGACGTCTTGTTTGTTGTGAACCAAACAAGTGTTCAGCCATGGCTGGTCGTTTGAACCTTGGAGCAACATTGCTGTGGGCTATATGTCCCGTCATGCTTGTTTTCTAGGTACATCTTTAGTGGTTACAGCATGGGTTCAAGTACTGCCTAATACATTGCCCTTTGGGGCACTGTATAACACATTATTTTCGGTTTATCTTTAATTTCAGTGATATCGGTAGAGAAACCAGGCACCATAATTTAGATTTTCCTAAAAGGCACTGGAGTGTGCACAGTATGTGACGGGAATGCTGGTCACCTAACTCTACATTACACCTGAAGCCTGTCAGGTCCCTGGCACCGACATTTTAATACCCCCATGTTACCAAACTAGCTCGTTCACCCCCGTGCAACCACACATCAGCGCAACCTGAACAACCATTATTGGTTACACGAGTAGATTATCATTATGAATTGGGAGAGCAAAATATGAATTACAAGTCGAAGCAAACCTCCATGACCAACCACCTCTAAAGCCAAAAAGATCCGCCGAAAATACAAGCTGGCATGCCTGCATGCATGCACGTACAAAGTCATCATACAAGATGTACAACACTAGCGTATACTACTGATGTACAGAAACACGTGCACAGTCCGCAGCAGACCAAGATTCAAAAGATAACGATTCAAAAGTTCGTCACTACGCAAATAAATTACTTGAACGAAGAGAACATTGATGAAGCGTAATTATTACTAAAACGGAAAGTACTGCGAAACAGTTGTACAGTTCAGAAATACTTCGAAGTACAAAGAGGAATTAGACATTGAATCAACTGAGTAACATGTTGTCAAAACAAACAGTTCTTCGTCTTCACCCAAAATTACATGTTTTACAGTAAATACTTTAACTGGTGTAGACATGTTCTCTACCGTGATGCACACCCTTCGTGGGAGTGTTGTTGGGCTGATTTGAATCACCCAGCGCTCCAACATTCGCATTGCTTGTGCTCCCAGGACACAATCCTCACTTTCAACAAACAATGTCTGCATGCTGTCAAAGATCTGAACACTCATTATAATATATTGTAGTTAGGCTGATCTCAGCATAGAAGCAGCCGTACAAAACCATGTCTCACTGCAGGTTTTGTTTTGATATGTGTTTGTGTTGTTTGTGTTGTTTTGATATGTGTTTGTGCTGTTTGTGTTGTTTGTGTTTGTGCTGTTTGTGTTTGTGAAGGTGAACAAGACCCATGTACCCTTGTGCTTGGTTTTACTGATCGCAATGTTCGTGCATATCGCTGGGCGGATCAAGGCAGGGTATGTTCAGCCATGTTTGTTTTGTTCGATCTCTTCGTTGTTAGTACAAAATCAAAAGAGAAAGAAGTAAAAACAGCTTGAAAGGAAAAGGGGATACTGCACTCCGCAGCCAGTACAAAGGTGGAGAGGTACACATATGAACTCCAGTAGACTCGCGCCTGGCGGGCTAGCTAACTCTGCATGGATACTAGTAGTACTCGTAAGTACATACGGTGTGAATGCATGGGCGTAGAAGAATGAGACAACGGGACCGTACTACAGCATACTAATCTGTGGCACTACATGCGCAGCGATAATGCGTACACAACAATGTTCACTACTGTGCAGGTCACTCTATCTTAGTTCTGTGGGGCTTTCAGCACTGCGACGTGTTCACTGTTACTGATAGACTACTTACCCACCAGTTGCTCTCTCTCTCTCCCTCTCCCTCTCCCTCTTCCTCTCTCTCTCTCTCTCTCTCTCTCTCTCTCTCTCTCTCTCTCTCTCTCTCTCTCTCTCTCTCTCTCTCTCTCTCTCTCTCTCTCTCTCTCTCTCTCTCTCTCGCTCGCTCTCGCTCTCTCTCTCTCTCTCTCTCTCTCTCTCTCTCTCTCTCTCTCTCTCTCTCTCTCTCTCTCTCTCTCTCTCTCTCTCTCTCTCTCTCTCTCTCTCTCTCTCTCTCTCTCGCTCTCGCTCTCTCTCTCTGAATTGATACGCAACGACTTCTTGACTTACTTCGCTGCTGTTAGTAGGAGGAAATCGATTTTTGCGAGAGACACCCTTTCCACATGTCTCTTTCATCCTTGTCCTGCGCAGTATGTTGTCATTGTTGTTGCGACCTCCAATCCGCTACACACAAATACACCTTGGCGTCACCACACGACTTGAGTTCATCCGAATTTTCACCCAGGAGGACACATCCTCAGGGATATATCCTAGGAGGTATCCTCTTTTGAAAGCTTTTCAGTCCAGCAGGGGACTGATCATACACTAATTGTCCATAACAACTTGCATCGAAATGTGAATCAGTTTGTGTGTGGTGTTCTCTTTGGTGTCTACAGTTGCCAACAGACACAACCATTCTTGGCAAATTTGTCCAAGCAGATGCATGGAGCTTCGATGGACAGGTATGTTAAATGGCGTGTCTTCATCCTCACGATTCCTCAGTGCAGTGTTCTTTGAAGTAGTACATTGCTTACCGGCTGGTAGGTCTATGGTTTCATTGTTCATTTTAACCCTTTGTTTGTTGAGAAATCTCCCCTTCTTTTGTGAAGTACTTCAAGTATATTGAATGATTATCAATCATACCAAGAGTACATGAAACCAAGAGTGTGCAGCTTCTGACTTTTCTTTATGTGTGTCTGTCATGGTGAAATTCCTGGGTTACATCATAGTTGGTGCAGATATGCGGCGGAAAGTGGCCTAGCTTGCAACACTGAGCTACAGTTGTGAAGCAGGAGACCTGTTTGAATCTTACTAGTACGCACTACATCAGTAAAATGATGTAATCCAGGAATTTCGCCGAGACAGCAACCGATTCGAGGTGCACTGTGCAAACTTTTGGTTTCATGTACTCATGATCGCTTTTCTATTCTTCTGTTGTTCTTGTCACTATTGTCATGGTTATTATGTTGTTCTTGTCACTGTTGTCATGGTTATTCTGTCATCTGTATCAGGTTGGGTCCTTGTCGGTCACGCATTCATCAGATAATCAGCATCATCTCCTTGTTGTATCACAGCCCGGTGGTTGTTATGTCACACTGGACTGTTCGCACTGGCAGTACAGGCATCGAGCATCTAGGTCAGCAACTCTCTCTCTCTCTCTCTCTCTCTCTCTCTCTCTCTCTCTCTCCTCCACGACAGGAAGAGGTTCCTGAAAGTAGAGCACACACCAAATACAGTGGAACTTACTTAGTACGTACCCAGGGAAAGGGGGGGGGGGGTACGAGGGGGTACATCTTATCCGAGTTCCACTGTACGTGCACCTCTCTCTCTCTCTCTCTCTCTCTCTCTCTCTCTCTCTCTCTCTCTCTCTCTCTCTCTCTCTCTCTCTCTCTCTCTCCTCCTCCACGACAGGAAGAGGTTCCTGAAAGTAGAGCACACACCAAATACAGTGGAACTTACTTAGTACGTACCCAGGGAAAGGGGGGGGGGGGGTACGAGGGGGTACATCTTATCCGAGTTCCACTGTACGTGCACCTCTCTCTCTCTCTCTCTCTCTCTCTCTCTCTCTCTCTCTCTCTCTCTCTCTCTCTCTCTCTCTCTCTCTCTCTCTCTCTCTCTCTCTCTCTCTCTCTCTTTCTCTCTCTCTCTTTCTCTCTTCCTCTCGCCTTGATATTGCATGCAGCAGCTGCAAAGCATTGATTGCACAATTGACATACTCTTGTCTAATGTATTGTATTGCTCCGAATGTGTTCTGTGCAACTCCTGTGTTGCTGCTGCTGTTGTTGGCGTCATCGTTGTTGTTGTTGTTGTTGTTGTTGTTGTTGTTGTTGTTGTTGTTGTTGTTGTTGTTGTTGTTGTTGTTGTCGTTGTCGTTGTCGTTGTCGTTGTCGTTGTCGTTGTCGTTGTCGCTGTCGCTGTCGTTGTCGATGTTGTTGTTGCTGCTGCTGCTGTTGTTGTTGTTGGTGGTGGTGGTGGTGGTGGTGGTGGTGGTGGTGGTGGTGGTGGTGGTGGTGGTGGTGGTGGTGGTGGTTGTGGTGTTGCTGCTTCTGTCGTCGTCGTCGTCGTTGATGATAATAATCTTCATGACCGATTCGTCTCCAGTGCCGTGGACGAGAGTCACCCAGTGTCGTCTTCAGTCTACAATCTAGTCCAAAGTAAACACTATCCGGAAGCACCAACGGAGGTTGTTGGTAGCTTGCAACGTGCTGGTAAGTTTGTTCTAAATGTCCGCCACTAAGGTGTGATATCTGGATGTTTTGCACCATGTGCATGGACTTGCCACTGGCTTCATGCAATTTAACTGTAAGACGTCTTGTTGCATTACCTTCTACTATCTGTTTATCACCGGATCTGCTGGTCCACTACTATTGTCTCTACTGCAAGTCAAGCAATGATTATGTCAGGGTTGACATGATGTTACGTTTCATATCTGTGTGACCTTTATTGAACGCGTTGTTTAGGATCAGCCGAGCCTACTGATTTGATCACTATCGCCACCCTGAATGGTAAGGACATAGATGCGTTATCAATTTATCACTTAGCACTGAGTATTTTGAAAATGAGATGGTGCAGTCAGCACTTTTAAGTCCTCATACCTTACTCTACTAGAAGCAGTTGTTGTGCGCTGGTAGAATTTCAGCACAGGTTGGTAGTCATTGCTTGTGATACTGTTTTGCTGCCTGACTCTCCGAACCAATTCTTCTTTATCAGTTCTCGTGCACAGCGCATCAAAGGTGTGCACTCTTTGCACGGCTAAGTCATGTGACGAGTCATGATGTTGTTCGTGGAGTTAAAAAAATCAAATTGTCTATCCTGGAGACGATTGCTCATTCTTATCTCAGCTGCTGCTGCTGCTCTGCTATGGTTTATGTCATGTTCAGTCCTGACCTGCTGGTCTATAGCCGTGTTCAGTCCTCGGACCTGCTGGTCTATAGTCATGTTGAGTCCTGACCTGCTGGTCTATAGCCATGTTCAGTCCTGACCTGCTGGTCTATAGTCATGTTGAGTCCTGACCTGCTGGTCTGTAGCCATGTTCAGTCCTGACCTGCTGGTCTATAGCCATGTTCAGTCCTGACCTGCTGGTCTATAGTCATGTTGAGTCCTGACCTGCTGGTCTGTAGCCATGTTCAGTCCTGACCTGCTGGTCTATAGTCATGTTGAGTCCTGACCTGCTGGTCTATAGTCATGTTCAGTCCTGACCTGCTGGTCTGTAGCCATGTTCAGTCCTGACCTGCTGGTCTATAGTCATGTTGAGTCCTGACCTGCTGGTCTATAGTCATGTTCAGTCCTGACCTGCTGATCTACGTATACAGCAGCTCTATAGTCATAGTTATCTCTGTTACCGTTATGGACTTACTGGTACTACAGCAACTTTGCCCTCACTGTCAACAGGGCCACTGGCTTTGAACTCATTGTGCCGGCCCACTGACTTTCCACTTACTCAGTGACTGTGACCACTGACTGTAACCACTGACTTTCTACTCATTGTGACCAATGACTGTGTACTAATTATGACCTCTGACTGTGCACTCAATCAATGCCAGTGATGACTGACTGTGCACTCAATCAGTGACTCAGTGATGACTGACTGTGCACTAAATCAATGACTCAGTGATGACTGACTTTGTACTGCTGTTGTGACTTGGCAGGGAGCATCACCCTACTGGAGAACAATAAAGTACAGTGGCAGTTACATGTGGGACATCAGCTGTTTTCACTGACCAAGATGGACATCACGGTAAGGCATGAACCCAGCTGCAGCAACTCACAGCATCATCTAACTGCTCTGCTGCTGCTCCATGAAACCTTTTTAATATACAGCAGCACTTGGGCCACCCGGCAGTTGCGCACGCACACGCATGCACACACGCACAACATGCTATTAATTTGAACGTGCCACTCCTGCACACATGTACATGTATAGTACTGGCAACTGAAATCCGACCCCCTTGCCGCGCCAAGGCTTGCCGCGCCAAGGCTTGCCGCGCCAAGGCTTGCCGCGCCAAGGCTTGCCGCGCCAAGGCTTGCCGCGCCAAGGCTTGCCGCGCCAAGGCTTGCCGCGCCAAGGGGGTCGGATTTCAGTTGCCAGTACTGTACATGTACAGTAGTGTACCTTGAGAGTACCCGTCATCTGGACCTCTTCCTGGTCGTCTTTAGTTGGGGAGAAGGTTGAGCAGGGGGTTGGGGAGGAGGTTGGTTCTGACTGTAGCTCACCCAACATGTACATTCCCAGATACCGGTAGGCATCTAGTTGCCTCGAAATGAAAGTTCCAGTATGCACAAATATTCCAATAATGCTACACAAGTACTGCAGACTAGACAATACCCTTTGCCCTGGAAAGGTCTCAACTTTAAAAAATGAGTAGGATTTAGCCATTGGTGTGGAAAAGCGGACATTTCATATGAATGGCTAAAGGCTGTTCAGTGCGACAACAGCCTCCGAAGAAGAGTGCTCTTAGTGATAGCACCAGCTCGATATTCCTTGTCTGTGCCGTTGGCCTTTCCCAGTGCCAGTGGCTACAGGCAACATGATCACCTTACATGTACATAGGTATCAGCAGGAAGTTTGTTTGCTTGTTTGTGTGAACTCAGTAATATTCAAAAATTTGTAAAGGGAACCGAGTATCAATAAAACTGTGAACCGAATACTAGGCGAATAGTGAGAGAGTAGAGAAATAAGAGAAAGCAAAACCACTCTTTTATAGCTCTAGTAAAAACTACTCTTTTTCGCTTTTCTGGCAGTTCACCTGAATCACTTCCCCTGACTGTTCACTTTGAACTTGAAGTTTATCCCATTCCCATTTCATAACCAGACAAAAATGAAAAAATAGTGCAAAAGGGCATTAGGCCAAAATATCGATTCCAAGTCAAGTTATCGATTGAGATTTTATTTTTGGAATACAGAAAAGAGACTCTGGCTAGACTGCTTGAATGCTTTTTGATTTTAAATCAGATTTGAACCAGGGTGGACGCATTTTTAGATGTGGAATAGCTAGGCATTCTGGGAGCACGGCTACTCAAGTCCTAAAGACTCCTGTCCAATTAAATAAGGGTGTCACTGAAAGGCCAAAGAGAGCTAGGGGCGGTACGTGCTACTGATCATCGTTCACTGCAGAAGACGGGAAAAAGCCACAGGAGACAAGCAGCTTCAACCGAATAGCGTAATTATAGTGGTGAAGAAAATGGAAATCCAGAAGCGGGGGTGTACGATTGTTAACAGTGAAGGCACGTCAACAGCATAATGTGATCCACAAGCTGCGCCAATGGAATGTCTATAGTAGATGTAGTATGTGTTGGGAATCTCATGCCAGCGGCCTACTATGCTATTTATTCCCATCGTCTCATGCCATCGGCCTAGTATGCTATTTATTCCCATCTTCCATGTCAGTGACGTTTTCGAGCCGAGGTTTGCTGATGCGAATTTTCAGAAGAGTTGGTCTGGAGTGGTAGGTTTGACCTACACGGTTGTTCAAGTCCTCCTCCTTTAACAGCTGCTTGATAGCTTGATCATCAAGAGATGTTGCATCAAGCTTGCTGTTGGTGAAAGCTTTGATGCAATCAAAGAAGGCACGTACATTTGAGAATGAGTGCTTTTCCTCGCGTTCATGGAAGTAATTGATCTCAAATCCAGTCTTGAGGAACAGGTTTTTCCAGAAGTCTGCTGTGCGTACTAGCATGCCACTGGCTTCCTCTGTTCCTTGACCATTGAGTTTGTCTGCCAACAATTTCACCATTCTACCTGGCGTTAGTGTGATGATGCCTGCAACGTGTCCACCTGGTGCCAGACACTTGTGTAACATCACCAGGGTGTGACTGAGTTCTGCTTCGCTCACCCAGTGCAGGACAAAGTTAGTGAAGACGCTGTCGAAAGGGCCAAGCGAAGACACGGAGTAGATATCACCATGGACGACTGTGATGTTATCCAGCTTGCTTTGGACAGCTGTCTTCTTTGCAATGCTTATCCGTGACTGATCTGGATCTACAGCTAGGACTCGACCAGTGGTACCAACGAGAGTTGCAAGCAGCATAGCCAGTTGTCCTGTTCCACAACCCAAGTCTAAGATTGATTGTCCAGCTTGAGGCTCAAGAACATGGTGAATAAATTCCACACCCAGATCATGCTGGACAGAGCTGTTCTTTGCGTAGAACATTCCCGTAGTGGGTTGGTTTGACTGGACCTCCATCTTCGCAATCACTGCAGCAAGTAGCACCTTCTGGAGCCCAGATCAATAACTAGAGCTTGATGGACAGAATAGAGTCACAAGGATTCAACATTTCTCTGTGTGCATACATGTATGCTGTGCATGGTCCGCATCGTCCCTTCCTCCGCTAGTAGCCAGAACTTGAAGAAGAGAAACTCAATATTAGAAGCATAGTTCAACGTGTCCCGAGAGTGCTGTGTGTATATGTGTGTACGTGTGTGGTGCCATTGTGGTTCTATTCTATTTATAAAACACGGTGACATCTCACTTTGGGAGAGCAGGGTATTTTAAGAAGTAGACGCTTGTTTCCAGTTATATATAGTACACATAATTCGTGTGTGCAGTGATCTAGTGACGTCATCAACTGGGCATTTCCGCAAGGGAGCGCAACTACTCAACATGCTGGTTTCCGTCTACACAGAGGAACTTCCTGTTGGATTCTGACAGTATGGGATCACTACTATATGTTTGGTTTGTGTTAGCAGCGCACTGGTGTCACCCACTGGGTCAGTAGTCCAGGGGCGTGCTCGGCCCCCCAACTAGGGGGGTGCACGGGAGCCGAGGGGAGCCCCCCCCCCCCCCGGCAATTTTCTGCAATTCGTTTGCAACCTTTCTTGAATTTTAGAGCATATTTGCATACATTACAATTGCAATTACCCAGATTGAAAATTTTTGGGGGGTGCACGTGCCCCCCGTGCCCATCGCCGAGCACGCGCCTGGTAGTCGGTAATATGTAAGGCAGACATCATGAAGATGCAGTGTCCACTGAACCCCCAATGTCCAATGTCTATTGTATTCATAGTGTGCTGCTGTATGCATGTCCATTGTATGCATAGTGTGCTGCTGTATTCACAGTGAGCTGCTGTATGCATACCACTGTCTTCACAGTGAGCAGTGCTATGCATACTTTGCAGTTACAGTAGTATTACCAGTGAGTGAGTTTGTCTAGTTAACAGTTAGCTCAGCATTACCGTGACCACATGATGACAATGCCGTTGACAGCCGCACTGACAGAGCCCTACCCCCAACATGTCACTGGGCCAGTCTCGGCAACCCTCACTGCACTGGTACTGGAGCCATTGCACCGCTGGTTGCGCCGCTGCTGCAATGTTCCCGACATTGCCACACTACGCGTCTAGTTTTCTGCGCACAACCTGTGACGGAAGAGTAATGCATACCGGTATGCTCTGTATGCACTACCCGGGGCTGAGAAGTAGAATGCTCCGCACATGTATGCTCTGTATGCACTACCCGGGGCTGAGAAGTAGAATGCTCCGCACATGTATGCTCCGCCGTGCGCGCCGCGGCACAAGTGAGGAAAAGAACTTGATGAAAACACAAACTCAGCTCAGCTAAAGATAGATAAACAGGAGTGCTAGTACCCTGGGTAGTTAGGGAGGGGGGTTAGCAGAGTGCAAGATGTTCACGTTGTGTGTAGCAGCCTTCACCTGGCTGGCTGTGTGTAGCCATGCTGTTGAGTTGCAGAATATGAATGGCCTGTATGCAATCTCGAATCCCAACCTCCAGTCTAGCGCTAAGTTCAGTACGGATTACTCAACCAAAGATGCTGAGTACTTTGATGTCTACTCCCCACCCATTAAAACACGCTATGGCCAGGTTTGGTGGACTCTCATGGATCCAGTAACCATTCCGGATGAGATCATTCAGCGCTTTGCCAACAAGACTATGGCTGTGATTGGGTATGAGACAGATCAGGTACGGCAGACACCAACTGGAGATGTCAGTGTACCCATTACCTGGGCATACAACCATCACTATGTAGCCTACATGACTGGATCTCGCTCGCGGCTAGAGAAAGCTGACTCCAAGGAATACCTGAGCACTGTGTTTGGAGATTTGTATGAGCACACTGCGTTCTATGCACCTCGTGATATCCATGTGGACGGTGACCCTCCAGACATTCAGAACATGCCGAAATCTCAGCTTTTCTCTGAAGGTAATGGTGGAGAGTTCCGTAAATCGTTCCATGGTTATCCAAAGGGATATGCTCAGTTGATCTACTCACCGGATACATTCCACATTAGTCCCATGCAGATAGATACACACAACAGAGACCATCCTGGAGCTGACTATGTAGCTGGTCCTCTACCTAAAGCATCTCAAGCACCAGCCAATGCTAGTTACAGCGGTATTCTGGAATGCCCATGTACTGATCGCATCAAGAAAGATATCCGTACTGTATACTCAGCACTGACAAAGGGAGCATGTTCTGTTGCTGTCATGAACTCATCGGAATGTTTTGCTGCTGCTTTGAGTATTGGCACAGCAAGCAATGCTACCAAACAAACTGTATCTGAGAAAAACATCCCCAGTGGCTGCTCTGTCATCCGATCACCTGAAGACGATGTAAGCAAGATCTATTTCAACACAGAGACAGCCGGTACATCATGTGGAGGTGGTACGCTGTATAGTGGAGAAGCATCTGCACTGAAAGGTGTCTCCATGAAACTGGATTTAGACTCTAAACAAGACCAGGCTACCATTACACTCTCTGGACCGGATGGAGTGTGGTTCG